CAAAATCATTTTAAAAGTATTAAAAATATTTAAGCATTAAAAAAAACATTAAAAAAATTCTTAAAAATTTTCAATAATTTATAGAAAAATCTTCCAAAAAGAAAGCAAATCGAGAAAATAAAAAATTCAAAATCTTAGATCAATGAAAAAATCTTCCATTTCCCAGTTTACTTTCCAATCCCAATATGTAATATGCAGTTATCGCATTTGCAAATAATAACAAAGAATTCAGTTGCATTATCTGTAATGATTTGCAACATAATTTACTTCCATCGGTAATACTTTCATTCAAAATTTTTACATTCTCCCTGGAGAAATACTTTCATCACTCCAAAAAGTTTTATTTTTAAAAAACCATAATAAATCATAAAACCATAACTTGGAGAAAGACACGGCGCAAAAAAATGGTCTTATTTCTTTTTTTCCTTATTTGAATTTTAAAAATTATGGTTATGCAAAAAACAATGAAAAGGATTAAAAAATAAAATTTAAGGAAAAATGAGAAAAAACATTTTTATTTAAATTTTATAATAGCGTATAATCGAATTATTTTAATAAGTCATTTTGTCTATAACTTCGAAATTAATTTAATTTCATTTTGAAAACTGCGAAATTAATCGAAAAGTTTCAAAAATCACAACAATAGGAGCTTAAATGCACAAAAATGAGTTGCGTTCCTTTTTGTTTTTTTAAATTTTTAATAATTTATTTTTATTTTATTTTAATAATCTTTAAATTTTTAATAAATTCTTTAAATTCTTTAAATTATGGTAGCATTTATCTCGGAATATGAAGGCCTTGCAGCCAAAACTGTGGATAGATTTTGGGCATCCAAAAAAAAATAGAAACACAAATGAAATTTCCGCGAACAATCGATATAACTAAAAATTAAAATTAAACCGAGAAATCCAGTAACTAATACGACGAATTAACAGCTTCATTAAGTAAATCGAATCGGTAATGAATTTCCTGATGAATTTCTGGTTGTAGCGAGGCATCCACAAAAAAAGTCTATTATCCATATACAAAGCAAACAAAGCAAAAAGCAGAAATCTGCCATCCATATATAACGAGACAAAACATATGTGCCAAATCCTACCTTCAGCTTTCCTCTCTCAATAGATATTTTAGAAAATTCTAAAAATAATAGAAATCTCCAAAAATATGTATAGCTTATACTGGGTTTCAAAAGCAACTTTTTTAAAATTTTCCTTTAAAAAATAACCAGCTTAGACGAAAAAATTGATTTGGCTCTAATTAATTTCTGAACCGATTTCTATGTTCCACAAATTTTCCACTTTCATATCTGATGAACAAATCTTAATATTTCGCACAGTTGTTGAATAATGGTACTAATTTGATTAATTAAAATTTCAAAGATTTTTCGAAAATTTGAGAATTCATCGAATTAAATTTAAAAAATTTAAATTTAATCTGTTAAATTTTAATATTCTTATAATAAAAAAAGTAAGCGGTTGCTGCACACCATGTCTGGTTGGTACTGGTTGGTTCTTCTGCTAGTGTAGTTAGTCGACTGCGAATTTTTGCCACGAAATCACTTGACAATGGAAACATAAATGAACTCGCTCAACTATAAAATCATTAAAGCAAGAAAGAACTATAAATATTTAAATGTCATAAATAGTAGAAAGCAGAAAAATGGCTCGAAAAACTCGCATAGAAATAAAATTATTTACTACTGAAATTCTCTTAAGCAAACCAGTGCGAACAGTATTTCTGGTAAGATTCACTCTATTGGTTGCTAGATACGGTAAGACAGCTCTGTGAGTTTTATCTTGAGAGCCTCTTAGAGAATGAAGTATAGACAATCTAGGCGAATGGTAAAGCCCCGGATAAAAGCCTTGTTGGCCTTTTTGGAGCTTTCCAATAAATGATTGGCAAGAGAACGCTTAATTCATCAATGATTTATTTAATATTAAATGAAATATATTTTCATCACCGGTGCCAATCATTTATTGGAAATTATTGTGCATTTCACTGCTACGAAGTTTTATTTCATGACATTCGTATTCGAAACATGCAGAATGTTTCATTTTCGACGCCGAAATTGCAGAAATTTTGCAGAAAACTTGGCACACAATACGAAACGGATTTAAGCAATAAGCTCTCGGCTAATAGTTCAAAATCAAAAAAAGCACAATGGCTCGAAGGCAAAATTTCCTGGAATGCGAGATCTCGTTCGCGATTAGGACGCTGGGAATTGGGGCTCATTCGCTTTTTCATCTACAAACCTCTGAAAAAATTAAACTTTTCCAATGATTATCGTTTTTCAAATTTCGTTGATTCCACTGTGCTGATTTTTTGATAAAATTGCACACGAAAGGTTTATTTAAAGGTTATAAATGCAAGCCTTTGACCTGTTTTTGATGAAAAATCATTAAAGTAATGCTTTCGCTACGAATGAATTCCACGATAATCGTAATATTTTAGATTGATATTTTGATAAGCGGAAATATGGCTTGAGTTTTGTAGAAATTAAATGAATGCTTCTGAAAATTACTTAGGAAATGTTGCAGTCCTTTATGATTGCTTCCACTTCGTAGATAATTCGTCTTCTTTATTTATCAAATAAGCATTAACAACAACAAATGGGGTGTCCAATGAAAGGGAATTCGTGATATCGATATAAAATATAAAGAAAGAAAGCTAATATAAAGGTAAGTGAATATCACAAATTTTACTGAATTTGTCGCTGGCATCGATGTAAAAGGGTGATTTGCAAATAAACCATGTTCTGTTCATTTACCGAGCATTACACTGTGCTTGTGACGACAACCAACTTTACGCGGTTTGCGGTTCAAACTAGCTATCTTGACCTTCACCGTTGTTTTCTGCCGGTTCCACCAAAATATAATCGTTTGCTGAGAGCCCAATTTCAAACTTTTTGCTAAATGTGAACGTGAAGATGTGAATATTATAAATGATGTCACCACAGGTATAGAATTTTTGTTGCGCACATGTCGTTCGGCAATTTCCGCATTTTTACTCCAATAATTAATGGTACGAATGAAAAAAATCGTGAGTTCTTAGCGCAGTTTTGCACAAAGGTTCCATTAATTTTGGTCCATTAGGTCTTGTTGGGTTCAAATTTAACCTAAAATTATAATGCTGGGAGCAATCTAGTTTGACATAGCCATATAGAATTTTATGCGTATGAATTAAACCATGCTTAATCCATTGAACTAATAGGGAATCTAGGTTATATAGTTGTATATAGTGAAGCTGTATTTTATAATTAAAATTGCTATTATAAGAGAGATCCTTCAATCAATTTGCCTGATTTTCTAGAGGAAAAACAGGTTGTACTATGAGCAGAAAAGAGGCCAAAGAACGCTGATGAGAAATTTTTCTACAATTTTAAACGATCAAAATTTAATACTATGGTTCTAAGTGAAGTCGACATCAAGGTTTCCTCCACAGATAGGCCAAGATCTGAGATATTCGACATTTGGCACATTGATCTGATTCGTCTGATTATGTTACGATTAAGAAGATGAGGAAGAAGCGACCCTTTCATGTAGCAATCAATATGTTTGAATGAAAATAGTATTTTGCACGTCACTTTAACCAGTTGGCAATTCTATTGAGGTCGTAGATTATCCGATTCACCATAAGAATAATAATGCACCATTAATATAGAGGTAATTGGTAGAATTAAATGCAGCTTTGGTGATATCACTCACAAAAGTTGATGGCCTCAGATGTCTTAGGAATACCAAGTCAAAACTCCATTGCCAACACATGTTAGGATAAACCTGTGATAATCATGGATATTTCCCTTCTTTTAACTGAGCTCCATATAGGACAATCATTGGATTTTGGTCATATTCATAACATATTTGTAAATTAAAAATAGAGGAAAACTTGTGGAAACCGTACATTTTTTATAAAACATTTGTGGATTAATATCAAGATCAGTGTGCGGATGGATGATTTGTTTATTCAAGGCATCATAAACATTTAAAAATCTAATAGCTCTTTGTTGAGGGAACCGCAACAACTTCGATTTTCATTTAAGAAAGTGGTATCACCAACAAATCACTAGAAAAATATTTGTTATTGGAAAAATATGTATATTAAATGCAACAACAAATGAACTCAACATCGCACCACCAAATTATGCTGCAGAATTGTTCGCTGTTATGCTGCTTTGTGATTTTGTGATTTTGTTATTCTCGTGGATACATAAATTCTTTTAAAATTTTTAAATTTCCAGAAAGAACTCCCCTTTTAAAAACTGCCCATCTTTATTTAAAAAGTATTTATAAATAACATTAAAGATTTTTCAAATTTATAAAATTTTATAATCAATTTTGAGCATTCCTTGTGTGCGGAAAGATCCCTCGGCAGTTTGGTTAATTTGTATTTATTATCAAGATTCTTTATCTTTTCTGTAAAGGTTTTAAGGAAAGTAAGGTAGACCTAATACTTTTTTTTGTTAAACCAGTGTGAGATATAGCATATTGTTACTTCTTTTTTAATAAAATAACGCTACAACCATTTGATTCGTGACTCTTAACCAAACTAACAAAAGAATTGCACCATAGTCAATTAAGGTAACCAAATGAAAAATGGTGAATGGTGTTAAAAAACAACAGAACCAGGAGTGGTCAGTTTATTTAAAAACTTTTAAGAAAATATTCATTGTGTTGTATCAAATAACTTGAATAAAAACTCGGATAGCGAAATAAACATCAAAATGCACCAAAATATATGTAAAGATTGAAAGATATCAAATTTAACCGAGGTCATTAAACCGAGTGAGAAGTTACAATTAAAATCAAGCTCAAAAGAAAAGCTAACGAAGAAAAAAGGTGAAAGATATGAAAGAAATTATGAGTGAAAGCAATGTGAAAATTCATACTGTCCATATCCACTGAATATCCATGAAAATTTCAATATTTCTTCTAAATAAGTACAACTGTTCCTCAAATATCTGCAAAACGAAGTTCATCTATTCTCATTATATTTATGCAAATCTACTTGGTAACTTGATATAATGCGTGAGCAAGATAAGCAACATTATTCGATGAAATTCCTGCGACAGAAATTCGTCCATCTTTTGTGAGGAAAATACTATAATCTTTCACCAGTTTTTCTACCTGCAAAATAATGAAAATCTGAAAACTTCATAATAACCTAATAGAATTCTGCATCTTCAAGCAAGAAACAATACCTGTTCAGGAGTTATACCCGTATAACAAAACATCCCGATTTGATTAACTATATGTCGCCAGTCGCGAGTAGACCCTTCTTTGATAAGTAGATCATATAATTGTTTTCGCATGGAAATAATTCGATCTGCCATTCCTTTAACATCCACCAACCTAAAGGTAAAACCAAGGTAAAGGTTAAACCAAACAAAACTTTTGAATTGAATAGAATGAATCTCAAAATGATTAAAAATTTAACCATTCTTCAATAAAACTGACTGACCATTGTTTTTTTAATGATTGATCAGATAATATCCGGGTAGCCAATCGTGCGCCATGAATGGGAGGATTTGAGATCATTGGACGTATCAAAATTTTCAGCTGTGACATAACTCTCGCAGCTTCGTCCTCAGAGGCACAAATTACAGAAAAAGCACCAACCCGTTCTCCTAAAACACCCACCAAAATATTTTGCACAATTTCAATTTAAGATAATTATTTTCTCAGATCAGGTAAAAAATTTTTCACTGATACATACCATATAAGCCCATATTTTTCGCGAATGACTGTGCTAAACATATATTATGACCACGTTGAACAAAATAACGTACTGCATATGCATCATGATCAATATCACCAGAAGCGAAACCTTGATAAGCCATATCAAAGAAGACCAATAAATTTCCCATTTTAACAACTTCCTCAATTTTTTTCCACTGCTCCGGCTGAAAAGATTTGAAATTTTAAATGAAAAACGAACTTTTTGAAAGTGAAGATTATCAATAAAATTATGAGTAAAAAAGGAATAAAAAATTAAATTTAATTTAAAAATTAGATTAAATATATCGCAAAAAATATAATTATGCAAATGTATTCAGAATTCCATTTACTAGTGATTGATAGATTTATATTAATAATAGTAAATTTGAATAATAGTAATTAATAATAGTAATTGAATAGTAATTAACGATAATAAATTAATAATAATAAAAATTTATGATAAATGAAACCTTTGTAAATTAATAATAATAATAAAAAATTTATATGAATGAAACCTTTGGATCAACTCCTGTTGGATTGTGAGCGCAAGCATGAAGCAAGATCAATGATTTTTCAGGAATTTCTGAAATATCTTTGAGAGCACCGCTTTCATCAAAACCGCAAGTTTTCTTATCATAATAACGGTACTGTTTTACATCAAAACCAGCAAATCTGAAATATTACGAAAAAATGAAAAACTAATAAAAAACTATTTTTTGCTCCAATAAATCTTATTAAATCTAACTAAATACCTATCTTACTAAAAAATATTATTTTTATATAAAAAAGCAAAAAAATATTATTTTTGCATCAGAACGTTTTTTAAAAGAAAAGGAACAACTGACAACTATTTAAGGATTCTAAGATATTCCTTGAGATTTAACAAAATTGTTAAATGACTACAAGGTTTTTGCCCAAATGACAGTTTATTACGTTTTTCGTCATTTGTTTGCACCAGTGATATTTCTGAATTTAATTTAAAATGCAATTCAAAAATTGTTCGAAGAAATTTGAAAAATTTCCTTGTTTTCGAGCAAATTAAAATATTGAAAGAAAATAGCACTTGAAAATTGGTATATGATTTCCCCAGGTTGGTGCTGGTTGATAAATTACTTTTGGTCCTTGGAACCATTTTGCCTAAAATAAAAAATAGATAAATAATATCTTATCTTTCTAACTGTAAAGAAAAATAAGAAAATTGAGTTTAAATCATAAATTCTCATAAATCATAGATCACAATCAAACCCAATTAAACCTAGTTTATTCTAATTGATTTACAACAACATTTGTAATTGACTTACAATAACATTTGCCCATATAAATATGTTCCACTGAAAAAAAAAGCCTCAAAGTGACCTTTCTATATAAATGAAAAATGGCTAAAAGATATGAATATCGAAAACATCCAATTTTTGATTTTTGAATTCATATTTATTGCTATATTGTTTTTTTTTTTCAAAATGCTCCTTTTTCATTTTTTTTCAGTCCATCTATTTTCTTTTTTAAAATTAACAATAAATAGTTAATGGCAATGAGTTAGATTTTTAAAAAATAACCTTTAAATGATACAATCCCTATTGTATTTAACTGAAAAGAGAAGCAGGAATTTATTTACTTTAAAGTACAATTTAACTAACCAGAAATTCGGCACCAATCCTTAGCGCTCCTGTTCCTGAGATACTTTGCACGGTTGCATTCCTTTTTTCTTTGATTACTGAAGAATTATCACCAAGCGATAATTTCGCGGCAACATTTGTGAATTCCGGAATACCAGCGATTCCCGCATACTCCTTATCAAGATTTTCCGATAACAAAATCGATTCGGCCTCTCGCACCGATGGCAAAACATAAGGTTTCCCCTAAATATTCGCGTTTATATAGCACTAAAATACTGTAGCAGTACCAGTTAAATTTTTTCGATATTTTCCGAACAACAAACCAAAAAAATTTATTCGATAAAGCAAGATTTACTTAGCAAGAAAGAGCAGAAAAAGATAACCGAATATTGCCCAAATTATCATCTTAAATGGTTGACCACTACCACTGGGGGGGGGGATGAGAATTAAAGTGCTACTAAGGACACAGCCATTTCCTTCCCCAAGCGACTCTCTTTCAAAGCCGTCCCACCCTACTAGCGAATAAAACCAGCTAAGCCAAGAATGGTGGATACGATACTGAATATTTACTTCCAAACAACTCTTTTTTTTTAATATTTTAAATATTCATTCAATATTTATATAATAATTTATATAATATTTATAATTTCTAATAAATATTTGTTCAAATATTTATTAGAAATTAGAGTCGAATTTCAAACATACATGGTCATCACGATAGGCTCCCACACCAAGATTGATCTTCTTCGGATTTTTATCAGCTTTAAACGCTTCAGTTACGCCGAGAATTGCATCCGGCGGACCCATCGAAACATTTCCAAACCAACCGGAACTGAAATTCGGTTCATTTCGGGTTAACTATCTAAATTATCACTTTGCAATAATTTGCAAGCGAAGATAATTTCTACGCCACTTGGATATCACTTTTAACGACAACTTTCCGTTTAGTTCCACCAAAGGAGAACTCGTAACGCGCAGACTCAGTTGAAACAAAAACACATATCGATAACTCTGCTTCGTCGCTAAACAGTTCCATGAAATAACTAAACAATTGCGATAGACAAAGGAATTTCATAGTTATGTTAGATAAAACGGATTCGCGTCAAAAAGATTACCTGAAGCGAATTATTGCTCGAAGTGGATTATATCGAATCACCGTGCTCGTAAATATTGAGAACATTTCGTTGGAACTTGTGGAACCCTAAAAACCTTTCAAAAATCTTTTAACTCGGACAGTCGTGGCTGCGACCTAAAGAACTGAATAGCCAGGGCCTGAGGCCTCGTAAGACGACGCTGTGCCGCTCCACGTGAAATCTAAAAAATTAAGCGGAAATAAGAACTGGTTTTTTTGCAAGGAAAAAACCAAATCAATAAAAAAGCCGACCGCGCTCGGTCTGCTGCGGCCGCGCTTTTTTGCAAAAATTTACAATTTATTTTGGCTGGCCGCTTTATGTTCAATTTTGTAAATTCATTTATTTTTAGTGGTTGGTTTTAGTGCAATTAATTTTACGTTGGGAGGAAATAGAAATTGTAAAATGTTTTAGAACATTTTCTTCGGAAGGATTTTTCTTTAAAAAAATTCCGAGAATCGCAAATTCAGAAAATGAAAATCGCCAAAGAAAGAGAAATTGAAAAGAAGAAAAATTCAAAAAGAATACGAAAAATGAAGAAGGGAAAGAAAAAAGAAAGCGTGGAAAATCGTTCGGCGGCCATTCCATCAAATTTCGATTCGAATCATTTGCATGGTTATTCGTTTCTTTTCTTATCGTCTTTTGCATGCTTCGCGTTATCGCATCTCTGTCAGTTTCTCACCGGTCATTTAGGCGCGCGGAAATGGCTATTTTTACCCGACGGTTGTGACCAATAAACCTTTTAATTAAGCCAAATGAATGTGAAATAGTACAGTCATTGTGCATTGTACTGTACTATTGTATTGTGCTATTCTAAAAGCACATTTCCGGTTTGGTTGGTTGCACCGATTATTAACTTCGTCCTTTTTGCTGGAGAGTCCTTGCAATGGTGTGTGTGTGTGTGTGTGTGTGTGGCGGACAAAGTAGCCACCAGATTTAATTTTTATTGGCATACTCCTGTCAAGAGACAGCGTGACCCTAGATATGTGTCGGAGGAATATCATATTCTTATCGATGTTATTCTTTTTTTATATCATACCAAAAATTTACAATTAACGTGGTTGAACGTGGTTAATATTGCAAAATTCACTCATTTTTATCAAATTAAATATTTATCTGAGCATAACAAAATTTGCCATAAGCTTGTAATAAAAAAAGGTGAACAAATGTGCAGAAGAATGAAAACAATTTTTAAAAAGCCCAAAAGCCTAAACGGAGAGGATGAATCCATTTGCTGGTGGTAACGGCAAGGAATCGCTAATAATAATAATGCAGTAAGAGAGAACCAAATCAAACATAGAATAAAATAATGTCATGCTAGAAATGATTAATGTTTACTGTTTAAATGATGTTCTGAATAATGTTGCTTTATTTTGAAGTTGAAGAAAGCAAAGGCAATATCGCTAAACATTCCAATAGTCGAAACTTTTGATGACGAAAATAGTTAGAAAGGATTTTAGGATATGCAGTTGAGTAATTTATCCATTACTTCTTGTAGCATTGATTTGGATCATACTAATAATGCCAAATAGAATCTTTTAAACTGAAAATGAGCTTGATTTTGCTTAATTTTTTTAACCTTTATTCAATCGATATTATATAAATTTAATGTTGATTAATAATTTAATGAAATAGTCGATACTGGTTTAAAATATGGAAAAAAATATTTCTCTCTCTCTGTAAACTCTCAATTAGCTATTCTAAATGTGGACGTTTTGGAGTGAGAGAAGGAGAACTGGTAGGCGTGGGATTACGGAGACCGAGCGTCCAGGCCAAGCGTGGCGTCGATAAGGTGTCATAACAGGAATGTCGTGGCAGCTGGTCTGTGTTGAGGAATTCGTTTTACTTATTCTCGAAAGTTATGGAAAAAAAGGTTTAAAATTCTGGAAGATTTTCTGACAATATTTCTAGGTTACATAAATACACTAAATCCTAGATTATATTTCAGAGCTGATCTTCATTAATTGTTAGATAAATTAGCTATTTATACGAGATAAACTGAAAAAAGGATTTAACATTAGTATTAAATAATATTTAGGATTAAGAATTTAGTATTATTAATAATGTTACATTTATCATTATATTATTTAACAGATAATTTGAATTAGTCCTTCAAACCAAATAAACATTCAGGTCATCTTGAAGGCTACCTTAATTCTCTAATAATGAGGCAAATAAATCACTGGCATAAAAATAATTTGATGAATTAAAAATAATCTCTATAACACCAATCCAACTACCTTGAAGCACCCTCGATTTGACTGAGGTGAAGTCCAATGGCGCATTATTTATAGGGGCAGTTGATAGCAGTCACTTAAATAATCCAAAGCTCAGTTATCTGCAATGCTGAAGAAGAACCTATTTTAAGAAAAAATATCAAAAGGTTTTGCTACGTCTAAATAAATGATTCAAATGTCTAGCCATGTGATTAAGATCAATAGCGAAGGACTGATCGTGTACTGCAATAAAAGTAGTCGATCTGTCTATGAAAACTAAGTCGAAACTCCGATTTATTTGCATCAAGGGTAGTCATATTATTTGTTGTGTATGAGTCTCTTTAGCAATTTATTACTGAAAATTTTTTGGAAAAAAAATTTTTTATTAATTTCTTCAAAGTTTTTTAATTGGAAAATCCCTCTTTGTCCAGAAAATTGAGTGATTTTTAGTATTAGTGTATCGGATAAATCGTGAGAAATATACGGCTGAGAGAAATCTTTTTTTAAAAAGCGATGCGACTGATCCATTTTCGATATTAGTCGTTAATCTGCCGTCACATTTTACGAAGGTTGTTTCTTCATTCTAATTATTTTAGCTGGAATAATCTTATAATTTTCTAAACATTCAGAAATTTTAAGAAAATTTAAAAAGCTAGCAAATATTGAAAATATTTTGCGATATAATTTAAATTTGGCGATTTCTTTTGCTTTCTTATTTTTTCTGTTATTTAGCTTCATTGATTTAAATAAATATTTTTTTTTAAATAAATATTTAAACATTTATTTTTAGGAATCCTTACAAACTGTTTTCGAAAAGATTTTGTGTTGTCGAGTGAAGAATATTGCTATCCGCTCTATCGCTCCAAATAAATCCGTTACTGAGGTTATTTTTTAAAATTTTTCAGAAATACATCAAAATTATTTTTTTCATTTTTTGTGCCTTTTTTTCTATTGAATAAATTCATTTTGTGGAGGTCACATAGTTTTAAATAGTTATAATTTTAGCTTTAAACATTTATAATTTTCCGGTTGTTCACTCTTCAGTCATTATTTTTCTAAATATGAGAAAATAGCGAGAAGAGAACGCAAATTTAATTTTTATTCATTTTTTCAGGGCTATCATGCCATGTCAGTTACATTACAAACTGAATATGATGTCATGGATGTTCTACGCCGATGTCAATCAATTTCACCATTTTATTTATCCGATTATGGAATTCGGCCATCAAACTGTGGCTTATCTAGTATATTTCTTGTGTTTAAATGGTTCATATAGTCTCGTCAAATTAAAATTTAATCGTGAAAATAACGCATTTCTCTTCCATAATGTATTTTTCAGAATGGTGTGAAGATTATCGAAATGAATATATTCCTACTGAAGAGTTGCAGCGAAGAGTAGATAAATTTTTCGATGTCTTCGATGCAAGGAAACTTCAGGCAAATGAATAAATTTCATATCCATTTCATACTTAATTGTTTAAAAGAAACCTAAAATCTTTTGGAACTTTTTCAATCGCTCTATTTGGCTTTATTTTTTAGGAAAAGAAGTGGGCAAAAAAGATGAAGAATGTACCTGATGCTGATGGCTGGATTACTGTCATGCGATCACGTCTGTTTTATAATTTGCTTGTTTGATATTTTGTATATATTTATATATCGAGATATATTTTATTTCATTTATTTGATCTCTTTTATTATTAATTACAGATCATAAAACGGTTCCGAATGCTATAATTGCCAAAAATAAAGAAGATATATCTCGATTAAGCAAAAAGAAAAAAAGCATCGTTGGTTTTTTTAATAAAAAATATCGCTAAATGGATTAGGAATGCACTTACAGAGCGATATTATTGTACTCAGAAATATTCGATTTAAAGTTAGAGAATTTTCGAAGAAACAAAATGAAACTCAATAAAATAAGTCATCTAAATGAATCTAAATGATTTCTTATAAATTAAGAAGCATTTTTTATTTTAATTACAGAAAGAAGATATTGCCTTCTATCGTTTTCAGTTGAAGGAGTCAAGATTAAAGCGTATAATTTATTCATTTAAACTGTTTTAAATTTACATAATATTCTACAGGCTCTTTAATTATATTTTGTTTAAAAATTCTTATCATATGTTATATGTATAAATTTTATATGTATAAATTTTAAATTTCAATTTTAGGCACGGAAGAATTAAGAAAAAAATTCGAAATGGACAAGAAGAAATTGGCATTGGCCAAAGCAGCTCGAAAATTCCGGCCGGATTAATCTTTTTTGTGTTTTTAATTTAATTCCGAGCCTAAATTATCAGCGAATACCGCTAAATGAAAAAAATTATGCTTTCTTTTTTTGCCTTCTAACAATTTAATAACAATTTTCTAAGAAAAAAAGGTAGATTCTATTTCTTTTCACATTCGTTAGAAACAGAAATTTCTTGCTGAAATTAAAGAAATTGTTTTGTAAAATTTGAAAAAATTTGTTATTTTGTTTTATGTATACTTGCTAATAAATAATTTTTTGTCATTGGCTTTACATATTGTTATGGTCGATTTATAAATTTGTTCAAATATTTTGATTAGGTATTTCATCGATTCCTTTTTTTATCAGTTTTATCAGTTAAATTCTTGCTATAATTCATCTTAATAATTGTCTCATGTGACAGAGTGGATAAACCGCAAAATTAGTAGTGAATTAGGCGGAAAGAAAGGAACGAGTTAAATAAAAAATCGAACCATCGATTCAGCAGAAATATTTTAATGCGATATTTATGGAAATGAGAAGTGTTATCGAAACAAGAAGATCGATTATTAAACAGCGAAAATTGAGTAGTGGGAGCGGGTGTTAAACAGCTAACTGGTACGGTGTAGTTTTTGGCTTCTGCTTGTTCTTTAAGTTTCAACATTTTCATCACCTAAGCATTACCAAATATAGCATAAATGCGGCATGAGATCTGTAAACTTTAAAGGTTTATGTTGAAGAAAATGGAATTTTTTCTCGTTATTTATTTGCTTTCCTAATTTTTCAGAATAGTTTTAATATCGTATCGTATTAATTTCAAGTGAAGAGGGGATTGAAGAGGAAATTGAAAAAAAAATGAATGGATTAATATTGTTGATGACATTCAATAGATGTGTCAAGGCCGTAGGTTCATGGAGAAATATTAGCATCGCTGCTGCAAAAAATCATATTCTGCCTGGCAAAAGAGTTATCATTTATCATTTAATTGGCGATAATTTAATTAATATCGATTAACATAAAATGCAGATTTAACACGATCTTTCGAACATTGTTTTTTATATTTCTATGCTTCTTTTCAAAAATTAAATAGCCGTTTCCCTTGATTTCGAGCAATTATCGTGGCTTGCAAGCAGATCATGTTCTTAAGCCTTGAGGTCATTTGATTATGATCGGGTTGCATTTTTATCGCAGGTACCACCTGATTGAGAACATCATGGACGCTGGACGCCGTGATAAAAAGACCTGACCCTTTCACCACAGAGTCACTTGGGAATGAAGTTACAGGCGGGTCCCCAGCAACCACTTAGATTTTTGTTACCATTATAAATTAAGGAAACTCTAGCGAAATATGGCGGTCGGCATACAGTAACTGTTCTTCCTGGTGAAGGAATTGGTCCTGAAATGATGTCACATGTTATGAGAATATTTCGTTTTGCTAATGTTGGCTGTTTTTTCAATTTCTTTTTTTTTAATTACTTTCGATCTATTTATAATGAATGAAAATAAATGAAAGAATAAATAAAAAACTTTTTATTTATGAATTTTAGCTTTTAATTGAATAATGAGAAAAATCATTTTTAGTTTTCTTTTTTTAATTTATTTTTTTTCAAGAAATGATTTATTTGAAGGAATGATTTCTTCAGGTGCCAGTTGATTTCGAAGAAGTTGAACTAACTTCAAGCCTTGCTGATGATTCTTTAGAAAATGCAATAATTGCTATAAAACGTAATGGTATCGCTATAAAAGTTCGTTAACTCCTCAATAAAATTCTTTAATTAAAAAAATTGATAAATTCTTTGTGAATATTTTTTTATATCTTAATTTAATTAACCGAATTTTCTCGACTTTTTTTTTTAAATATTTCGAATCCATCTATGCATTTTAAATTACATTCAAAATCACATTTAATTAATTTAGGGAAATATTGAAACAAAATTCGACGACCCTGCTTTCAAATCACACAACGTTGAACTTCGTAAGCGCCTCGATTTGTATGCTAATGTACTACACTGTGTAACAATTCCCACAATTCCTTCAAGACATAAAAATATTGATATCGTATTAATACGTGAAAATACTGAAGGTGAATATTCTGGGCTTGAACACGAAGCTAAAAAGGGAATTGTCGAAAGCCTGAAGGTTTCGGATTATTCATTTCAACCTAATATAATATCAGTTTATTAATATTAGTTGATCTGGTTCGATGTAATTATTAAAACTGGTAAGTTAAAATTTAATGGTCAAAACTGAAGTGGCGGCAGTCTTTTCTCATTTAACTTGATAGCTGTAGATTATATAATTTTTAGATTGTAACAAGGCATAATATTGAACGAATTGCTCGTTTTGCATTCGATTATGCAATGCTGAATAAGCGAAGAAAAGTAACAGCCGTGCATAAAGCCAATATTCAGAAACTTGGCGACGGTCTTTTTCTGAAGGTTTTTCAATTATGATAGTCTAAAAGTTTTTTTTTATCTATAATTTGCTGGATGGTTATTAATAATAACGATAATAATAATTATAAAGTAGGTTTAATAATTTTCAGTATAAAGCGTTTATATTCCCTATAGTTTTTGATTTATATTTTTTTTCCCATCCGAAAAGAATTTATTGTAATTGGAATTAGAAATTCGTTATAGGTTTGTAAAGAGCTTGCTGCGTCGGAATATCCATCGTTGGAGTTGAATTCAATGATCGTCGATAACGCTTCTATGCAATTGGTTTCAAGACCACAGCAGTTCGATGTGGTTCTTATGCCCAATCTATACGGAAATATTATTTCAAATATTGTTTGCGGAATTGTTGGTGGTGCGGGTCTTATATCTGGCATTAATATTGGTTCTAAATATGCTGTTTTTGAAACTGTAAGTTTTTTTTTAAAATTTGGATTTGAAAGTTTCTAAGCAAAACATTTCTGACGGATAGAATGTAATTCTTTTATTGTCATTATTAAAATTTCATTCACTGGACGTGAAATAAAATTTTTTAAAAAATTGACAATGGTGAAATTATAAGAATTGTTTTATTTGAAGGGCACTCGAAATTCGGGTACAATTTTAGCTGGTAAGGATATTGCAAATCCAACTGCTTTTATTTGTGCTTCTCTTGACGCTTTAAGATATTTGCATCTTGATACGTATGCTGATCTGATTTCACATGCGTTGTATAAGGTATTGATAGATACATTTCCTATATTTGTCCATAGTTTTCGCATTTCGCAATTTTGGAAATCTCGCGAATTCCTTAAATCTGTATTATAATTATATTGCAGAGTTTAACAGTACAGGGTATGCACACCAAGGATATTGGTGGTGATAAAAAATTGTCCGAAGTCATCGAAGCTATAATTGATAATCTTCGAGAATCTCAGTCTTTATGAACAAAAATACCAACTGTGAGAAAGCAGTCATCAGCTGAAGACTGATGTTTCTCATTTTTCCTTCAGATTTATTCTGTATGTACAAGAGCATCGGATTTTGGCCGTAAGATCATGTTCCTTCATCTGTAGATTGAAAATTTCAGTTGTTCATAATTATATATACTAATCTCTTTATAAAATAAATATTGGCCTATTTTGTTCAATTCTTTAAAAAAATGAGGCCAAATAGTTGAGTGTGAAGGTAAATATGAATTATTTGTAACTATTTGAGATTGTTTAATAAAATATTAAAAATAATATAGAAATGCTATTATTGTCTGTTTGAGTTGGTTATTATAATAAATTTAGATTAATATATAGTGGAATAAATAAATTACCAATAATATCGAAACATTTTAATTAATGATCTGTACAACTATTCTTTGAAAAATTTAATAGGTGAGTAAAGCTTCTTTATATTCAGTTGGATCAGCAGAAAAAAGATCTTCTAATTTCCACTGCAGTGTTTCGAACGTTGGTCGCCTTTCCGGTTCTTTATGCCAGCATTGCAACATTATTTCATACAATTGAGGTGGACAATTTGGTGGACAAGGCATGCGGTAACCGTTTTCTACCTGTTGCAAGACTTCAGCATTTGTCATTCCTGAATTATTTGTTCACAGTGAATTTACATACAATGAATGAGTGAGAAAAATTTGTGAATAAACTTTTTTCTAGAAAAGACTAATTTTACCAGGATATGGCATTCGTCCATATGTTACAAGTTCTGTTAACAAAATTCCAAAACTCCAAATGTCTGATTTTATTGTAAATCTATTAAAATTTGCTGCTTCAGGTGCCGTCCACTATAAAAAATTTGTTTAATTCATTTATTAATTATTCTGAACGAAGGTAAATTTTCCTTTCATCGCGCTTTATCAAAAATTTTTAGACACTCCGATTTGATCGCTTATATTCAGCACCACAGTCATTTATATGAATATTGAAATAACCTATTGAATTAGTACTTAACGAAAAATAAAAATGATTCAGTATGACAATAACGAGCATGAGAAAAAACGGAAATTTTAAATTAAATTTTGTAATATTCGCCAACTGAATTTATGAAATGGAAAATTATAAGATAAAATAATTGTGCTACCAAATATTCATCAAAAAAAAGTAAGGGCCTTAAAGATCATTTGTTCGGAAATATTTTCCTTCCCATCATTTCCATAAAAAAATACCTTGATAGGGAAACGTGCTCCAGCTCTGGCTTCATATTCGTCTTCACGAACTAAACGAGCTAATCCAAAATCTGCTATTTTAACCGATAATGCATGTGACATAAGAATATTTCTAGCAGCTAAATCTCGATGAATAAAATTTTTTTCTTCTAGATAGGCCATACCAGATGCAATTTGAGCAGCTATATCAACAAGTTGTGTCATTAAACAAGTTCGACCTCGACCCTTAAATATATGATTTGACTGGTACTGGAAAAAGAATCTGCTCAAAAATTGTTAAACCAACGACTGTAGAAATTAGTTCCTGCATGGATTAATACATATAAGATCAGGATGATCGACTGATATTTTATGCGTCAGAGGTTAAGTATTATGGTTTTAATCGTTGCAATCCGAAACTTCTCATTAAAATTGGAATTTAGTATTCAGAACCCATCTATTTAATTAATTAATCCATCCCAAATCTAAATGGTTCACACATGAAAGAATTTCATCCAAGCAAAGCTATCGAAATCATAAATGGTCAATAAAATTAGAATACGAAGAAAAATATATAAAATGTCGATGCAACTTGTAAAAAATGAAGTAGATTTTCGTGTAGCAGTTCCGTGATAATAAGCATTGGTTCATCTTTTGTACATACGGCAAATAATTGAAGTAATTTAGGATGCCTAAATTTTTTCATGATTTGGGCTTCCGAAAGAAAATCAGTTGGATCCATCGAACCGCTTTTTAACATTTTAATAGCAACAGGTGTTGCATGGTTCCATCGACCTTCCCATACCTAAAAACCTTTCCAAATTAAAAAAAACGGTAATGGGACGGTGATAGTGTGGCGATGTTTTCCTAGAATATTCTATTATTAAAAATATTAATAACAAAACAATAGGATGTTCGAACGATATGATGCTAAACTAAGGTCAACTCGCAGCAAACTCGATTTTTGAAAGTCCCTTTAAAGTTGCCATAAAAAGTGAAGTCAAAATGGTGCTGAGAACTCATCCTGTACCTTTCCACATTCTCTGGTGAAGAAGACATCCTAATAGCCAGTGAAGTAAATTCCACCAGAAATACTGAGTGGTTTCAAAAAGCGAATCAAACATACTTCACCAAACTGCCCAGCACCGATTTGTCTAATCAATCGTATAGACCGTCGATCGATTTCCCATTGATCATCGTAAGTAAATGTACGAGTTTGTGGAATATCAATTCTGGCACATGGCTTTTTAAGGATTACACATAATCCATCGGCTTCCTCAGCATAATGAGCGATGAGTTCGGATAACGTGACGAACGGCTTTCTTCGAGCGATATAAAAGCCACCTTGATCGAGGTGACGAACGCGGTAGTGCTTTACTGCGTCACCATCTCTTACTAAAATTTTACTTGTTATGCTACTTTCTACTTATTAAATATGCCTCATAAGCCTTGGAAGCCTTGGAAAGGAATAAAGCTTACTCGATAACGAAAAGTCATTCTGCGTACTTTCCGAATCTCGAATCAAAAACGAGCCATGTTCATTTGCATTCAATAAAAGCAATTTTTCAGCCTCAATTCGTCTTAAATTACCGAAATACCACCTAAATTAAATTTAAATATAAGACAAAATTCTGGGAAATCTGTCTGAAGTCCGATAATGTCTTTTCAGACCGAAATTGGATTCCTAAAGCGGTTCTTAACTTTTTTCCTATTCTCCTCTCTTTGGCTATGGCGACCTTCTTGGATCTGTGAATCTCTTTCTTTAATAAAATAAGCAGAAGGCAGCATGATGCGAAAAATTCTGCGAAGTCACAGGTGCTGCTTACTCTGCTTTTGCTTACCCATAATTATACCCATGTTCCCATAAATAAAGCAAGCTTAATGGAATTAATGATAATGAAGAAAGTGGAAGATTTTTCCTCACCCAAGTTCATATAGGCCGAAGTAAAGGCCTCTTAAATTTAATTTAATTACAGGAATTGCTGTTAAAATAAATAAGAATCAGATGAATGCGTTGCTTCGAATTAGGGAGTATAGCGTAAACTTGATGCCCTTTCCCTTATCTCTTAAAACAATTAAGTACCATTTTAACAAACAATTAAAAAATTAAAATCAACGCAATTGTTCACGATCCATCACTATTTTCCAATTTTCTGGTGAGAAGATCCCGCTCTAGTAATCATTACAGTCAACTAAACCAGATGTGCTACTACTTTCCAGAACAAGAAGGTGCATGGTGCAAATATGCAAATATTTTTTAACAATGTATTCATGTTTTCTATATATTTTCTATGATAAAAAGTTATACCCAAGAAAGTATCTTTCAAATTATGGATTGGAAAAAATTCATTAAGTGGTTGATGTTCACCATTTCTGGTAAAGCTATCTGTGCTGTCTGTTAATTAGAAGAGTCAATTAATTATAAGTGGAAGTGTATCACCAGCATCATCCGGATTTTTAATGACAAGTTTACCCTTGATTAGGATCAAAAGCCACGAAACCTTGGCTTTCTACGTACGAAAATCTAAATCATTGTCCTCTATCCTGTCCATGTTCATTTATATTGTACATTTCATTTTTTTTTAAAGAGCTTTCATCTAATAACTTTCATCATCACTAGGCTGGCTCCGCTGGCTATAAAGGTAAAACGTTTCCGAGCCATTCGATCAGCCATCATTAGTAATAGATGCCATTCATTTTTCCATTGCCTAAGTCCTGGTCCTTCTATGCGTATTTCTCTTCCTTATATTACTGTCAGTCCAAATCTTGACTGGATCACCTCGCTCTTGATGTCATCCGTCACAAGATTAAGCAAGCAGAGCAATATGTGTCAGCTCCGGGCGACGAAGAATGTGCGCTAACCAGCGAAGAATCTGGCGGTACTGCTAATGCAATTCGCATTTGAACGAAGGTGGATTGCAATTATATGTGATTTTATTCTTACTAAACATACCCGTAAAATATATCTTGGATATGAGTGGTTGAAGGAAGATAATATCCTTTTTAATATTCTTCCACTCTCACTGGCTATGGCCATATGGCAAAATCAAGCGAATTGCAGCTATATGGACGCGAAGTTTCGTTTATGGTCACTTCGTCACTCCGACTCCATGAAGATTTCGTCAAGGAACGCATTTCTAGCTACCATTATTCCGGATTTTAATTTCGTCTTTTGCCTGGCAATTTGAATCCAAGACATTTCAAGGGCACTCACTCGCTCCGCTGGGTTATACATAATTAGACAAATATGCTAAGGAATCCCTTGGTTATAGAAATACAGAGGTGAGTAGCCAGCATCATCCAAATTTTTGTTCACTTCTGCCGGAAGTAGAATCGGAGCTCCGAATTGAGCAACAACCTACTGAGCTATTTATTCTCGTGGAATTTACCTTGCCATTGAGTTATCGACGCAAAACCCAGCTATATATATGCAGATGATATGGAGAAATGATGTTAACTATAAACCTATCTATTTATAGAGAATAAAAATTTATAATTATTTGATCAACTGCAAACAAAGGACATGTCAAAGGATTATAACGATGCAATGCGATGAATATGGAATCGACCGTTCAAATTTCTAATTTTCCAACTCTTGTAACCCTTAAATTTCTTGCGTCTTATCGCCTAACTTTTTTTCCCCAGGAACGAACTGATAGTTTATAATGGCTGTGGCAGCGAATAAGCGAATGTGCCAAATGTGCATAATCTACGCGATAGTGATCTTTATTTGTTATGGTGCTTTTTATGCTTTAAATCATATTATTTGAAATTTCTCCACATTTTAACAATGAATCCTTCCAACAGAAAGAATCGCGCGAATAGAAAAATCTAAAAAATATTTCTAAAGAAGAGCAAAAGAACTTTGCTCGAACGAGATCGAAGTGCACGACAGCATTAACTATTCAACGATCGAAATATTCAGTTATAAAATTCAATGAATTCTGGATAGTTGCTACTGACTGAAAAACTGACTAAACGGAATTTGTGTTTGGTTGTTATAATAAAGTTATATCGCCAGTTTCATTCTCCATTTTCCATTATTTTCAAGCTTATCTCGTAATTATTCATTATTCGAAGAACATTCACTTATTTCGAAGACCAAGCAGGCAATCAGCCATGTCTTCTTTATTACTATGTCTAATGCTAACTGTTATAGCTGTGATTATCACATTTATGATCTTCTACTGAATGGACGTTCTCTATATCTCCTTGCACTCACCATTCCTGATAAACTCGTTACACTCATTTTAGCGCTATAAGGAATTTTGATCAGCTAAATTTGTCACTCAGAGATATGAATACAAACGGATCTCCAGCATCACCCGGATTTTTAATGATAGCAAGAAGATGGATCCAAGCCTTGACGCTCGAGGCGATATCGGCTGCCTTGCCGCTCGGAAATCTAAGTAGCCGCTGGTGAAGAAGAACCATACCTGATGTTATTTCGGCTTAAAATCATACTCTACTTTCAAACTCTACTTGATTTATTTTCGCAATGTGCCATTGACCTATCGATGTAAATGTTGATCTCATTTTCTTCATTAAAATCGCTTACGATAGTTGGACTAAAATGAATTGGTCCCAATTTACAATAAAATTATTTGACAATCTGTCAAATAACAGGAGTTCATTAACATTTTTTCCATTATTTTCAATGGAAATTCCCTCACCTTTGCAATTTTAAAATTACAAAAAAATTAAAATATTTCTTTTCACAAAGGTCAAGCGGGGTCAAGAAAATTAGAATATGTGTAATAATAGAAACCAAAATTAGGATAAAAAACGTCCAATATTAAGAAGTATAAAGGAGAAAGGTAAATGAAATTTAAAAAGTTTTCGGCCCCAATCGGCTCTAATGAAAAATTTCGGTGAATGCTCCATATTTTTGAAGCCTATCACCTGACAGAAGTAAGCCTTTTTACTGAAAATTAAACGCAGTTTTGCATATCCAACTGTATTTCTATTCTCCAAATAAGTTAAAATAAAATAGTCAAATTAAACGATTAAAAGAATTTTTCAGGCAAAAAATTTGGCCAAAAAAAGAAAAATCATGTGATTCTTCCATAAATAAAACGGCCATTAATAAAAAAACAAATAGGATGATATAGAAGGGATAAAATTATAGCAAAAACTGGATGAATCATTTTCCAGGTCTGCTGCGGCATTAACCTATAATTCCGCACATTTTTCGCTTAAAATGAAAATAATTGTCTGACAACAACGGTGGGATCTTCATGTTCTATGAAACACAGGTAGAAGGAGTAGTTCTGGCTTATTATCGTTTAGTTCTGCATTCGGCAAGAATGAACATCATTAAAAAATCCAGTTATTGCTGCAAATCCTTCCATATTTCCGTCGCCAAGTGGCTCTTTGCAAAAATTTCTCAACGGTTTTATATCAAATCTAAACAGAAACAATGAGCACTAACCTTATTTATTTTTTATTTATTTATTTTTATTATTTATTTACTTATTTATTATTTTTACTTAAGGAACATCATTGGATTCATATAGCAATAAATAGTTTAGCAATAATAGCGAAAAAAATTACGCATTTATTTATAAATAGGAAACGAATAACTGATATCATTGATAAAGATTGAAAAAAGTTTTTTTTTGGTATCGGAAGCAGTGTAAGCACTTTCTAAGCTCTAATTCTTATCAGCAAATGCAAAATAATCGCCAAGTCGAGAAGTACTCGTGAATTTCGACAATCACTTTACTTTTTAAAATTTTTTTTGTCTTGCAAAAGTAATCACAAGTTGCATTCGACTTTTGCAGAATTTGTGGTAAGTATGAAGAGACCAGCAGGAAAAAACGAAATGATTGGCATATTAGTTCGAGCAGCAGCCTGAGGCTGATGGTGAGGGCCTGTTTATTTATACTTCGCTCTTCAAGCAACTCTCTAGTGAAGCGGCCACAGAGGCCAAGTTGAAAAGGTGAATATTGCAAGAAGAAAGGTTAATTCGCGATTGAAAATGAATGAATTTTTTAATGCAAACGCTACGAAAAAGTTTTTATAGAGATTATTTAATTTTTAATTTCGGACAAAACCTGTTTTAAAGTGAATATTTCTGAAAACTAAAGATGCATGTGTGCTATCAATATTCTTTCATTAAATATCTACGAATGGAACTTCTATTAATCGCATTATTCCAACCGTAAGGCCTATATATGAGGCCTAATTTTTTGGGAAAAAACGTAAAACAACGCGACTGGGTAAATTCTGGATGAATTTCGTTATATGACCCCCGTCTGACCCCGAATTAAACCCTTTATTATTCACTAAGAACACAATTAATGTAATGGAAAGGTCGCCATTTGACATGAGTTCAGTTCATTGGGATGAAACATCACGCAAATAAATAGAATATAATAGAAATCAAATCGAAGCACAGGAAGTTAATATGAATTGCGAACCGATGAGCAAACAAACGAATAGCCAACCAGATGAAAATTTTAATAAATCACTAGTATTCTTTCTCCTTCCTCAAATATTATTTCTTGCTTACACTCGCTCCACCGCGAAGCGCTTTCGCCAGAGAGCATTGGACGAAAGCAATAAAGCAGCTGAATGCCGACTGTCACCCCCCCTCCCCTCACTTCCCCTATTCCATTATTAATGATATTAGGAATTGAAATCTCAGTCGAATATCTCGTTCCATCATTAAAAATCATTATGAAAATTTGACAAAAAAAAATCATTCAATCATAAATAATTACGAAATATTTAGAAGGCATACAATGTTTCAGCTATTTTCGAAGAAGCAATGATTCGCACCTTTCGAAACGAGTGAATTTGTCATTAAAAGTGATAAATTAATCACATGAAGTGATAAAATTTATAAAATAATCGCGTTGATAATATGCGTCACTTAATTTGAAATCTATGTAAAATATCATTGGATTAGACATTACTCGACTGGATTTGATATAATTTTTTTATATATAATTAATTCTTAATTCTTAATTCTTTTATAGAATGAGAGATTATTTTAATGTTTGAAAATGGATATCCAAAATAAAAGACCACGGGGACTCAAAGAAATTTATGGGCTAAAGTGACATAACTGAGAATGGATTAGGCTGATGCCTACTTTACGTGGACAGAACGAGACTGAAAACGATATAAATGGAAATGATAAGAATGAAAAAAAGTTATCACTGCCGCTAAATTGCATTTGTCATAATATTAACATCTCATAAAACAATTGTGCTATCCGCTTAGGTGAGATACATTCGTTGTGATGCCAAAATTATTTTACTTACCTTCAGTGGTCATGATAAATGCAAAGTAAGAAAGAAGACAACGAGAATAAAAAGAGAGGAAAGGATGAAAACGAAAAGAAAATAAGCAAAAACAAGCACGGCACCGAATCTCATTGGCAACGACCCTGGTTCCGGATAATCCAAAATTTTTCACAATAACCATGAATAGATTTCATAAGAAAAATAAACTGTAGCGCGAATTTTGAAAGCAACGATAATTTAGAAAAGACAAAGAGAAGTGGCGCTGTGGACCCAATTGCAGTTCCATTTCCATCGAAATGGCTGCACCATTCGAATGGAACCACGTTCGCCAATGAAATCGGCCAAATGGGAAATAAGTGGTGCTTTTAGAAGACGAATAATTACTTGCCATATAAAATCCTATTATTTCAGAGAATAAAATTCAGTCTTAAAGTGTTCAAAAAGAAAAAAAAAGTGAAAAACTTTCATCAAAGAAAAAACGATGAAATGTCGGATACGATTAAACCCATAGGAATTAAATTAAAAGAAATTAAGTAACATGTTGATGGATGACAGTTTCATGAAATAAATGATGAATGACTAAATTATATATAAGTACACCATTTCTGGTTAGTCCACTCCATTAACTGTTAGTAGGGTTAGGATAGCTGAGAGAGGAGTGGAGTGGTCAAATAATCGTGCTGAGAAGCAAGGGTTCCGGACTTGCACAGGTAGGCTTTCACAAAAAAATCCTCACGTTGCTCGCGAGCCATCCGCACCGTCAAGTGATTCATCCCGAGGGAAAACTCTAACCACTTTTAGTACGATGAAAAACTTTTCCGGAGAGCCATTAGCGATTAAAAGGCAAATGGTTTTTAGCATCACCCGTAATCGAAGCAGGAAATCGATTAAAATAAAACTTTTAAATATTTATGTAAGTAAATTGGATCGAATTCTAAACTCATTTGTGGAAATAAGCAGCGCGGATTTTTCAGCGGACTTATGGGTTAGCATCCGTTAAAGTGCCAACCCGTTAGAGGCTACCGCGTGCCTCAACTGAATTTCGCGAACCTACCTCGCATTTGCGATTCATATACGGGAACAAGATCTTGTTAATACATTAAAAAGTAAATTTAGTAGTGGCCACGACAAAAAACGTGAAAATAAAGGAAAGCTCACGGTTGCGCGTCAAGGCTTTTTTCCCGAGCAACATAGTTCGACGGAATATAACCACAGCGTTTCGTGAATTTACTCCTTGCATACCACCAGTCACCTTGCATGTCATTTAAAATATATAATAGTTCATCTTTTTTAAAACTAAGATCATCATCCGTACGTGCATCATAATCGAAAAGTGCAATAAATAACGGTGGTGAGTGTTTATGCACTGACGGATCAACAATCGACGGATTCGGTGGTGTCAGACGTCGTAATACCGTATCGGAAATCACCATAGACGAGTGCATAATACCGCAGCTAAGTGGAGCCGCTGTCGTTGCTGTTGTTATTGAAGCCGATTTCTTGCCGAGGCATGAACCCATGAGTAATTTGTGAGAATATTTAACAACAACTAACAGGTAGTAGTGATCAAGAAACCTCTTTTCGCTGTCGTCGCGGTACAATGAGGATGATCAATAGAGAAAAGAGAGAGGTCAACAAACAAAACGCAATATCGAGGCCATCACTACCACTGCCACCAGCGCCACCACCACCATCACCACCATCACCACCAACCATCGTCGTCATCGCCCATCGCTATATCGTCGTCGTCTTCCTTCTTCTCGCATTCGCTGTTTTATTCGATGTCAAATTAATAACGATTCTGGTTGACTCTCGCAACACATTTGGTGCAAAAAAGGTCGAAAAATTTCATTTTAAACTTTAAGAAATATCGTTCGTTTTATAAAAAATTCGTTTATATTTTATTGTAAAATTTTTTATCAACGTTTATTTAAAATTTTACTTTTATTTTTTTCCTCAAAAATAATAAAATTTATTATTAGAATATAAAAATTCCAAGCATCGAAATCATTCTTATTAATTAATTTGGTCAGTGGTCAACTCATCGCACTAATAGTGCAATTCGAAATTTTCCGCCGTGGAACCACAAGGACTCACCGGATAAAAGCATGAAAACACCACCCGGGCTGCAGGTTGTCAGAGGCTGAGAACGAAGCGAACGACGGCTTTTATTTGCTTCGGAAATTGGTAATTTTCAAATTTTTATCTTCTATTGAATTTCTAGCCATGCGTCTGCAAAATTTTGAGTTTCGAAGTATTTCTCTTCAAATGCTCGTTATTACGATTTAATCATAGGTTGGTTCCACTGAATTCGTCATATTTTAATCATTTTCTTAATGCCCAACGACAGAAAAAGGCTAAAATGCCAACATTGAAGTTGTTTCGAAATCTGCTTTCGATATAAACCGAGTGAAATCGCATAAACGTTGATCGAAGGGCAATTAAATAATGGAATTTTTAAATAAAATAACATTTGGAAGTTTTTTTTTCAACGAATAAATGTCTTTTTTCTCCAACCAACAAACATAATTCAACAATATTTTTGAAGGACGAATCGCAAAAAATGCAAAACTTTCTCGTTTTTTAGAAAATTCATTCTTCGCAATATTATTTCTTCTCGGATGTAAAAACTATTTTTCAAATAGTTTTAGAAAAGTCGTTGAATGGTGGTTCCTCGGGGATACCCAAAGAACAGCTGCATTCGCCTCCGTCTTCTCGGCCCTTCGGATTGTTGTTCTAGGGCAGTTTTCTGTCTCTCACGATTTGCTCTCATCTAAAGCAAAACTCAATCCTCGTCGTAAAAAAATTTGTTAGAAAATTAAAATTTAAAATTAGAACCGAAAACTGCACTTCTCGAAAAGTGCTTTCCACTACAAAATTCAGTTTTTTGCAAATTTCGTCCAATAAAATTTGTCTTTTGACGTGCAATTTGTGGTAATTTCATTGAATAAATGCATGTTTCCTTCAAATATATAACAATAATACAATCCGCAAATTCATCAATTCGTATCGCAGAAGCAATTCAAAATCGAAAATTCATATAAAATTTTTAATAATAAAATCTACATCAATTTACCGCTATCAACGATTAAAATTGTCACTTAAATATTGTGAATATTTTTTTTAATGATAAAAATTGAAAATTATTTTTTAAAGAATCTTTAGGCATCGTACTAACAGATTATTTTGACATTTATTTAGATACGAGTGCTTTAGAAAGAAAATTTTTTTGTACTGAATCGATTATTTTCATTTCATCTTCATTTCAAGTGGAAATTCGTTTTTTTCATTAATTACTAATTTTAATTAATTCTTTTGAATAAACATAAGATAAGCGGTCAGCGGTCTCATCATTTCAGGTTAGACACGCTCCGCAGGCTACTAGTGAAATCATAAATTTTTTCAAAGGAGTAATCTAGCGATAGGTATTGAACACGTCTAGCACTGAACTGAACAATTTAATGACAGATTTGCTCAGAAGTAGATCCACTCCTGGTTCTCAAAATGACAATTTAAGCAAACATTTGGCAACAAACGATAACAAAATTATTATCTTATCTTGAATATAATTTTTTACAAAGGTATGGGAAAAACGAAAAATCTATATTTTGTTTTGAAATAGGTAATAACAGAAGAACATATAAAACAAACATATGAACTAGTTCAGTTCCATTTGTTTTTCTGTTTCTTCTTCCTTATTATTCCATTTATTCTTTTCCGTTTCTTCTTCATTCATAACATTTTTCGATACAACAGGTGCACGTATGAGATGAATTTTTTTACGTGCTTTATTAAGATCACCTAATCGTTTAACAATCTTTCCAGGTTGTAATGTCTTCTTAATATGCGTATCGTACCTTCTCTGACGTATTGTTACCGTTTCCTTCAATGCTTCGACCGCATTTATCCATAACTCTCGTTCATACTTAATTGGCTCATTTTTGCGATTTTCCAAGAGTGATATACTATCATTTTTAAGTTCCTTGCCTCTTGCGAAACGCGATGCCTTAGTCCATCTAGCTTTGCGCGGATTACGTCTCTTTTTAAATAATTTATGACATTTGGAACGACAAAATCGAAGGATCTAAAATAAAACAAATAAAACATAAAAGAAAAACAAAATAAATAAAAATAAATGATAGTAAAATAAAGATATATAAATATCACTGTTCTTCCTAAAATTAAAATTAGTATTAATAAAAATACAGCGGATAATTTAAGATATTCAAGAAATAAACTTTCAAAGCAAAGGTGAAAAAATAAGAAATATTTAATTTAGCTCAATATTAAAATGAATATTATATGCAGGAAATATAGTAAGGCTGCGATATTAAGATATTTTACGTAAAGCCACGACGTATTTGATTCCTAATTTTTCGTATTATGTGACGTATTTCTCTTAATTGGAACAAACAAACCATTGAAATTAGAGGATGGTAAGTATCAACATAGAAGTGGTCTCAATCTTTAGAGAAAAGAAAATTTTATAAGAAAAATATGCAAGCACTTTAGTGTGAAAAAAATAATAAATTAACAGAAATAACAATATATTAATACTAAAATTTCTATTCTTTATTATTATTATTGCTATTCTTTAGATATTGCTATTCTTTGTATGAACTTTTAAAAAATTTTAAAATTTTATTTAAAGGGCTTTACATTAATACATCGTAATATTTATAATATTACTATGATAAACTTCGCTAAATGTAAAAATATTCGCATTTAATAAATATTTGCATCATCAATGGTTCTTTCAATATGAAAATTGAAAGAATTAAAATTTGAATTACCATAGTTAACCTTTTAATAATAATAAATGTAATAAATAATAAGCGCAACTAAAAACAGCGAATAAAAAAAATATTTTAATTTTAATGATTTGAAATAATATACGATTCACTGCATTTTCACTTCCTCCATAAAAAGATAGTTGAAAACGATCTAGCAAAACATTATTAAACCCAATGAAATATCCACCTGATTCGATAAAAATTTTAATAATTTAGTAATAATGAATGAATAGAAAAAACAAAAAGAATAGAAAAAATAAAAAGAACTAACACTGCAATCATTTCGCACAAATGTAATTCCGTGTCCTGGATATATATTTGATGAACAAAAATAACACTTTTCTATCCGCATAACTGAAGAAAAAATAAATCAAAAGATTAGAGAAAAGTGAAAAATTTCAAAACAAACAAACGATGGCAAATCTCGTGAAAAATCAAAAATACAAGAGAGGATTAAAATTAGTCAAATATTAAATATTAAATAAAAATATTAAATAATCAAAATAATTCAATTTCAATAAGATGATTTCAAACAGTTTAAAAATTTAAAATTAAGCCGTACCATGGAAAATTCAAACAAATAATTTTCCAACTTTTTACTCACAGAAATAGTTTTATTTACAAAATCTAATTTTTATATTTCTAAAAAAGTATTTGAAAAAAATAATTGGCACCACTGTATAATTTAAATTGTGGAAATTTAATTAGAATTTAATTTAAAAAGTAAACAGCCAATTCATTCAATAAACAGCCAATAAAAGCGAAGCAAAAAGCAAATAATTTAATAAAAAAAATGGGAGGCAACTTATAGCTCCGAATAGCATTGTTTCGAATGAGGTGAATGAGGTGACACTTTAAATGCACACTGCACTTATCCCCAGAAATCTCAACACTAAAGGTGAAATCTGAGTGGCGCAGGCGACATATATACATAGTTCCACACCAAGGCGATTCACTGGTTACCTGCAACCAAATCTTGAACCCAGAACTCTCGAATGCTGATAAATGAAGAGGAATAACATTACTACACCGCAGCTCGATTATTACGAACAGACTTAAATTCTTGTTGCGTCACGGTTGAATTAGTCACTATTGGAGATGGGGGTTTTAAGCCGCAACCATTTTAGCAGATAGGTTCAGACCAACGTCCCCTAGCAGAGAAGCCTAGGCCACTTTTTTGCGATTGGTTAGTGGCCTTCTGCTTATGGTCATGCAAATTTCAAGATTCGTGTTTGATCGAATTGTCGTGGAAATTTCCGAAACATTTTTTGGTTGAACGAGGATAACAGCATTTGTAACAGTGGTAACGGAAGACCATCTTTACCTTGCGTAATTAGGCATTTATTTTCTCGAAAAGAATTAATAAGCACGTTAATTAATTAACATAGAGATATTAGAAGAAAAATTTTAAAAATAACTTATAAAACTTGATAAGATAACAATAATCTGGAGACAACAAAAATAACTGAAAGCTAAAAGTATAAATCAAGTTTTGTGATGGACAATTGAGAAATATGGCAAAATATTGGAATTACATAAGCACATACGATAGTGATATGATAAGAATGTTGCATTTGTATCAGAAATAAATACTCCTTTACCCCTTATCACTTATATTATCGACAAAATATTTTTCCATTCCGCTGTTCTCAATAATTTGCAATAACTTTTCACTGCAATGTTGCTCTCATTCGAATTACTTGGTTACTATTATTTGTTCTCGGTTGTTTCCCAGTTAGCTTACCGATTAACAGCGATTTTTTGTTAAATATACGAATCAAGCCTTTAATGAAATCAAAGCAAAGAGCTATTAATAATAAGCTATTATTAATGGATAATCCTAAGCTTTATAAATTATGTTCAAACCATGCGCTAATTTCCAGCGTTGACCATTTGCTCACCAAATAATTGCACCTGCGGATATTTCTGATAATAAACAGTTTGGCACTGAGCAATCCCAAGTGTGAAAATGTGCAAATAGTAAAGAACCACTGATTTTATCGATTTTTCACGAAATCCATAATTCTGTTTTGCAGCGACCGATGAAAGACTGAACAGACACACTGGTTTGCTCAGACTTCTAATGTTGGCTCAGATGACTTCACGATTGAAGCCATAAATAAGCCCCTCCCTTTAACCGCTCGTGTGAAGAATTTTCTATGGTGCAAAGACGTTTTTGCGACGAAGTTTTCTTAGCTTAGTCAAATGTCGAATGGATTAGATAGGTTTGGATAGGGTGAGTTGGTACTTCCTTGGGCCAGGTTTTCACCTTGCTTTAGTCGATTAATTACACTGACATGACTACTTATGCGGTAGCAAATATAAATGTTGCAATGTTATATAGAAAATTTGGAATGTAAACTATTGTTGCGATGCCGTACGGTGTCATTTGTTTAGCTAATTTAGTTATTAAATATTATAATTTAGTTATTAAATATTTCTTCTCTAAGTCCACGCAAATTTTGCATGATTTCTCATCTTATCTTTTGGCTCTCTTAAAATTTCGAATTCTTTTTAATAACTAATTTTGCAGATTTTAAAAGTCATCGAAACTATATTTTCGTCGTTTAATGTATTGTTAAAATGGCAGATCAGTCAGATTTTATCAAAAATCACAGGCAACAATTTATTAGAAAATTTCGTCGAAGGTGAGTTTATTTTTTTATGGGCCATAAATAAATATTTATTTCACAAGCGTTGTTTTTTGCTTTTAGTTGTCTGATATTCCATTGTTAATTTTGTCCACTATAAATTAGGATAGCTGAAACAGATCAGTCAGACTGTGGAAGAATTGTTGAGGAAATTCGGCTAGAACTATACGAGAAACAACAGGAAATTGTTTTAAAAAACCCGAAATGATTTCTTGTCCGATTCAGTTTTAAGAGCAAATGAAGAATATTCAGACAAAAAGACATAATTGACCACCTACTACGGCGAGAATAAATACATTGGGTCAGTGGCTTTGGTCAGTGTTAGTGGTTTCACTGCACTGAAAATTCATTTTTGTAATAAGAAAGTAGTTTGTAGCTCTGAGAATGTACCTAGAATGAGATTATAAGAAGGTCGAGGAAATCATCAAGAAAACAAAAATTGAACTTGCTTCCGTAAAAGGAATTGATTGGCATGGGTAGAAATGGACTCCAAAATCAAGAGGACTCAAGATTAGAAATAAATAAATATACTTACTTATACATTACTTGAGTGATGAAAATGTCCTCTCCACTTTATAGAAAAAGATGTGAAGAAATTGTTGTGCAAAATGTTCTTACTTAAGAAACCGGAAATAGTTCATTGCGCGCATGAATCTATACATGTGATGCACCAGGAAAAAAGCTCATATACTAGTTTCATTATGGCGAGTATGGAAATAATATGCGATAAATAATAGATTAAATAGGTATATTTAGATAATATAATAGATATACATTGTATATAAATTATATGTCATTATATTAAATGGACCTTCAGGTAATACTAGAAACTGATGATGTTGATTGTAAACTCATTTTAATATATTAATGCATTTTTTAAATACATATATCTTCTTTTCATTTTAAGCGAAATTTGAAGTGATCTTACTGTCAGTGGTTTAAGTTGAAATACAGGGGTTTTAAATAGATCATTAAGATGGAGCTAGGTACTTGGAGTAATTGGCTTGCTTGCCATCATTTCCACTCTCTTTAAATGAATTTTAATCTGATGGATAGCTATGAATTCTTATTTTAGCAATATTATTATAGAGATTGGCGTCATCCTAGAAATCTGAAACTGTCTTATATTAATCCTGTTATTAAACCCGAAGATAGATATTTGCCTTTTAGTTATGAACTTGTTAGCCTGATTTGCATATGGTATAGAATATTCGAGAGGCTCATCTACAAAAGGCTATTGGATATATTTAGGATGATAACCTTCTATCTGCGCTTCAGCATGGATTTCGCTGCGGAAAAACTACTACTTTGCGATTGGAAAACTTTTACGATTGGTTTGATTCTATAGGTCATGGGTAACTAGTTACTATATAGACTTGCTATAGCTTTTGGTGTTGATCCGCATAAGAAATATTGTAAATATTATTGTTAATTCGAGATTAACTTAAATGGATTGAAAGATCGATATCAAGCTATGCGTGTTAAAAGTTCAATATTGGAAGTGTATGCTTCAAGATAACACTAGTCCACAGTTCTTCTTGTGTCCTCTTAATTCCTCTTAACTCTTAACTCCATTATTCTATTATATCTCTGCATTGATTGTGAAGTCTGCAGCTGTTGCACAGTTTTTATTTGCTAGAATAACCTAAACAAAATTACTAATTGGTAAAAAACTTATTTTTTCCATTGTCCTATGTATTAATTCCAAAGGCTTTTCCTTTTTCCTAATTTTCCTTCGTTCTTTGTTAATAACAGTCTAATTATGCCTATTCAATACTCCTTGGAATTACTGTTGGTAAAAATTTAATTTTTGTCTTAAAAAGAAGTTGATAGTAAAAAAATCATCCAACTGGGTAAAAAACTGGTAAAAATAATGCTTAGATCGTCTTAAAATTGTGATAAGAAAAAAGAAATTTGTACTATTTATTTCGCCTTCTTGCAAAGAAAGTAACATTGCATTTATCTAGATTCAAGAAATCTATAGAACTTATAGAAGGACTGCAGAATTGCTTCTTAAACAGATTAAAGTCAGATTTAATCAATTAATTAGCAAAACTTTCATTTAATTTAGAACTGACGGCGTGAAGAATTTTTTTAAGAACATTCACCATTACTCGTTCTGATGGCTTGTCGTATAAGATAAATATACCAAAGAGTTCCTTGGCGATAAAAAAACAGGTGACTCACTAGCATCACTCGGATTTTTACTTCTCTTAAGTTTACTTCTCTTCTCTCAGCGGGAAATAGAATTTCAACTCGGCGCTCTGAATTAAGCAACAACACACTGAGCTATTCTACTCTCCGTTAGAAAAATCGGACAAAGAATCCTAATTTTTATTTATGCTTGCAAATAGATTATCCTAGTTTCAGTTGAGATATAGTGTGATTGAATGGATTGAGCTTATCGAAGTTTAAGATCTGTAAGACCAAATGAGAAGGTTAGTTTCTTTGTTCGTAGTTTTGTTTATTATTCTCTCCCTAATAAATTCTATAAGATGAACGATTATTTGATATGTCAGTCAGTAGTTTAAAAAACGCTATGGTATAATATAATATTCAGCTGGATTAATTATAGGATTATTCGAAATATAATTTCATTTCAGTGATCTATATTTACATAATCATCTGTTTTTACTTACTCTCACTATTATAGTTTTTAATTTTTTTGTGTTTTCTATTATAAACTTATGATATATGAAACATTATTGCTTTTATTCTTTTTTAGTGTAAACATACTACCACATGGCGTGATGTCTTTCCTGAAACTATTGTATAAATAATAAATAAAATATAATAAATACTTTAATTCCATCTTGTCTTATCTTGTATAAGTTGCCAAATTCACTCTTATCTGACTCGCTTATTTGTTAGTTTAGGAATAAATTGTGGCTAATTGAGAGAAACAGTGGCGCCAGAAAGTTAAAAGATCTTAAGGCAGTAACATATGTACGACCAATAAAATGAGTTATTGGTATCAGTAAGAATGAAGTTAGAAAAGAAATAGAAGGTAAAATTTTTACGCATAAATCTGATTTTATGCTTAAAATAATTAAAATTCATTATAGCAAGATTCTCACCATTCACATACATTTTTTTTCTTGAAATTCTTCCAACAGCACATCGTTTGGCTTTATTGACAGCTGTGGGAGACTTCTACCAAATAGTCACTGAAAATAGGAGCAAAGAAACTGTGCGGATGCAATTTTTATTGAGATATCTTTTTCTATCAAGGAAAAAGGGTTTAAACCCATATTACCTAATTCCAGATAAAAGCACATGTGGTCGGATCATCCAGATTTTAAATTATTACGGTTTTTCAATCGTTTTTTCTGACTTCTAACTTCTGATTTAAATATTTGCAGTATTAATCGACAGTCTTCGCTTAAAACTGCTATCGACACGCTTAATTTGATGCGAACAATTGTTATTGCAGGCAGTTATAAGAATGCTGAGTAATTTTAATTTTTTATTAATCATTTTAAGATTTGATAATTTGCTGATGAAATGGTACATTTAGATGCAAAGTGTATCGCAATATAGTTTGTAAAAAATAAAAAAAGAATTTAATAAAAATTAATGATAATGATCTCAAATTTGCAGGGAATTAATCGAATTATTAAAAGATGAAAGAAAATTTATCGTGAAGGCGATTGCTTCGGAGGAAATTGTCATATCAAATGTAGCATTAAGTGTTATGAAGATGGTACGTGAAGAAAGTGTACGGTATAAATTAGGAAATGAAGAATTCAGTCCTTATGAATCGCTTAGGGTAGTATTTTAACTTTTCTCTAAAAAGTAATTCTTATTTTTCAGTTTCTTCGTCACTAACACGAGTTTTTTGAAGTGCTTTCTTATGTGGTCAGATTCTTTTGCCTATTGAAATTCCGATTGAAGCCTTTATATTACCTTTATAGCCTTTATATCTTACACATTTTTTTCTAAGATTATTTAAGAAATTGGGTAATGCAATTACATTTTCAAACGAAATACCAGCTAAAGAGCTGAAAAAATCGGTATTAGCTGCTATGCATGAATATTCAACTGAAATAGAAACATGTCGTGGAAATATGATTGGCCAAGTTTAATCTTTTTGCATTATTTTATAAAAATCGAGAAATTTTCCATTTTTTGATATACTATTTAATTTTCAGCATTTTTTGGTGTATTCCATAATATGCAGTTAGGGATGAGGAGACTAACAATTTTTGGAAACAGGAAATATGGAAAAATTGTAAGAAGTTCCGTTAGTCCGTTTCAAAATCCAGATTTTTTTTACAGGCTCGAAATTATATTGGCAGAGCTGATACTGTTTTGACTCATTCTCTGACATCTTCAGCAACTCTTAAAGCATTTTTCGAAACGGCGAATAAATTTAAACGATTTCGAGTGTTTTGCACTGAAGAAGGTATTAGTTATGCTGAATATATTCAACCGGAATCTTTACTGATGTGTATAGAACATACGACACGTGTGGTTCTTTCAGCTGCAGCCGTTTTTCTAGATGGATCGTGCTTTGCAGTACCAGGTTCTAATTTTTACTTATTCATTTTTATGTTTTCCACTAATAAAGAAAGCAATTAGAAAACAGCGGCATTGGCGAATTTTCAATTAAAGGAATCGTAAGGAGTTTTACATTAAGTTTTATCGGAATAGGAAGGATATTTGGATAATTGGTTTTGAAGTGGTTTTTCTTGATATCTTTCAATTTTTTCTGCCCACCTTATTTAATATAGAGAATTCTGCTAATAGTCCTGAAAATTTAGTAAAATTTGTTAGAAAATTTTGCCAGCCTTGAAGATCTACATTTAATATCAAATATATATTTATTCTTCCCTCAAATATTAAATATTAATATAAAAATTAATATTAATATTAATTAATAATTAATAAAATATAAATACATTTGGAATTAGATTAATTAATTCAGTTTTTTTGGAAAAGAATTCTAAATGGAGAATGAAAACTTTTAAAATTTTTTTTTAATTTTTTAATAGCATTTTTTCATTTTAGAGTAGTTATTAATGTAGTGAGCTGTATTTAACTAAAGTTCAATTCAAGTCATGCTTTGTGTGCTTACTTTCAGGAAGCTTAACGATTTGTCGTGCTGCGAAATTGCGTTCTGTTCCTGTATTTTTTTGTGCAGCGTTTTATAAGATTACCCCAATTTTGCCACATACATATAATGCGGAACCGGTCGGCTCACCTAAAACAGTTCTTCCATTTACTTTTTCCAAAACTTATTGCTACAGTCAAGTAATTAATCCCGTTTTTGATTTTATTCCTGCTGAACTTGTCACGTCATATATTTGTCATACATCAATTATTGTACCACAGCATGTAAGAAGAGTGTTAGGTGATTATTATCATCCTGAAGATGTGAATTGATATTACTGCCAGCTAATTTTCATTTTTTTCTTTATATCGTGTATATTGACTCTTTGAAGGATCTTTTATTAAACTGAAAGTTTAAAGCCGTTATTTAAAAGCGAAATATATTCACCTTTAGCGAAACATTCTCTATATCCTTAAATATCGAATATTATTAATATTTTTTTTCTTGCCTTTTATAGATTGGTACCACTTGGCTGTATTTGATGTGCTTTATTTTTTCATTGAATTAGCTTTATTTTTTATTCATTTTACTAATTGAATAATAAACTATTTGGTAATATTTTTTTTTTGCCACTAATATCTTTTGAATAATTAATTTTTTCAAAAATAATATCAATTTCAACGAAAGTAGTCTTTCATCTTTAAAAATTTTTTGAGAAATTTAAAAAATTTGAAAAATTCTAAAAAATTTTTGTCGAAATAATTAATTTCAATGCTCTTCAGTGGTTTGTTGCTCTCTAATTCAATTCCTATCTCTTGAAAGAAATGATCCTGTGAAGTCGCATAATTTTAAGAAAAATCATTTTCCTATTTTTTTAGGGTTATAAGTTTTATTTGATGGCAGAAACTGGAGATGCAATTATAGAAGATGATGTTGAAAAAAGTAGTGAAAGTAATGAAAGCGATGAAGAGAGTTCAGAAACTCTCGATAGTTCCGTAAGCGATGAAACAAGTCAAGAGTCTAGTGCGGACGATGAAAGCAGCGGTGAAGATATAAATGTTTGGGATACTTCTGATGAAGACTGCGAAACTGAAGAGGCTATTGTTAGTTATTCTTTAATTTTGGAATAATTAAGAGATTATTGATGTGTACCGAATTTCAATGCTATTGGCTTCAGTGGCTCACAGTTTACCATTGTTCATGGATGGTGGTCCACATTTTTAAAAAAACCTAAAAAAACGGAAAGGTAATAATACTGACCCACCTATACGTTAAATATTTAAAATTATATGTTCATTTTGTTTTATATTTTTGTTGTACTTGCAGTGGAACCATTATTGGCCATGTTTTTATATAAGTTTCGTTTTAATATGAATTTTATAGGAAGCTGGACTCCACTCTGATTATATGAATGCTTTACAGCTAATAGTCAGTGATAAATTAAACGAAGCGAGGTATATCTTGGAGAATCTTCTTGCACATCCCATGTTTAAAGCTTATCACGTGCGTAGATATTTTTAATACTTTTGTTATATAAATTTTGGCTTTAGCAATATATTTCATTTTTTCTTTATCAGAGTACCATTAATTCGAATCCTAATATGTAAATCGAGAAAAAAATCAATTTTGTAGTATAAATTGCGGTAGATTAACTCAATGGGTAATTGCTGTCATTTCAGAGTGCCGATGGTGCGTCCTAGGAATAAATGTCTTTAAAACCTGGATAGTACCGATAACCCATTTTTACTCTGAGTGAATTCTTGGGGAACTCTTTGTCTGGTCTGACAAGTCGACGGAGCTTAATCGGAAATGGAGAGAGCTCATAGAAAAAAATCGAGATTTGAACTTATAGTTATGCTATAAGTTAAAGAATTTTATAATTGATAATTTTAGGTTAATGTTGATTTTTTCGATTGGGAAGTGGCTAAAGAATCTGCAAAGGATGATAGTCATCGTATTTCTTCAAAAGCTCGTCTCTTTGCCTCAATTCATTACAATATTGCTCGAATAATGCCCGATTCAATAAAGGGTGTCCGACATTTGCTTTATGTATGTAAATGCGAATAATTTAAACAATTTCTTTTTTACATTATTTAAAAGTTTGCAAATTAATAAAATGGATTTAATCTGATTTTCTTTTGATTACATTATGTTGAAAATTGAATTTAGACACTAACAGTCCATCCAACTGACGAAGCTCTGTGGAATAAGCTTGGTGAAAGCAGTATGAAAATATCAGACTGGGCAATGGCTTTATTTGCTTTCAGTAATTGTAAAACAATCTGGAATGCCCATCATGGGACAATAATTTGTTTATTTAAAGCAAACCTTTACGAAGGTATGTTTTATAGTTTATAATTAGATATAATTAGAATGGGAGACTGTATTGTATCCCATTCCCACAAAATCTTCCAATCTTTTTTTATTTTTCAAAACAAACTTTTTAATCTCTTAACATCCATTCTTATCACGGATAAACACATGCGAGGCGTTAAAAGAACAAGAAAAGAGAGAGGATAATATTAGATAGTGGTAGCTTTAAGGCGCTTTGACCACGTTTGGGTTGGTTAAATTGATAGAAAAAGATCTAAATGATGTCGTTAATTAATTAGGACGTAATTGGCTTGATTAGTAAAAAGAATAACTTTTAATATCATGCAAACATTTAATGCAATTTGCGAAAAATTTCGACACGAACCATTTTGGGAGATATCAAAGAATTTCGACTTATTAAAATAGGATTATTAGAATAGGAAGAGCTTTAAGAGCTATTGCTATTCGCTATTAACAAAAAAATATTTTGTAGCAAGGTGTTAAAGAGTATTAAAGAGTATTAAAAGGATTTTTGGGGAAGTCTTCCAAGAGATACTGGTATTTTCAAGATTAGAATATTACAAGAAAATTTACTGACAAAATATTACAAAAGAATGCGACAAATTGATAGATTATTAAAGGAATTTAACGAGGGACATTGTTAGGGCAGTAGCTTCTAATAAATTAGGGAATAAATAGATAAATGACAGATTCCATGTAAATTTGGATATCGTTTGAATAAGATTATCCTTTGAGTCATAATTTTATTTTATAACTTGATTTTCTTCACACTATTATAATTTTGCATTTTTCGCTACAACACTTGAAAATTGCTTATTTTTCATTTGCTAGCAATGAAATTCAGCGTAGATCAGGTTTAAATTGTACAGGCAAATGTAGATCATTGTGATAGTTAAATGCGTTATCAAGTATTCTTTTTTATATGTTACGTTTTTAATCGAGCTGCATTAATTATTTTAAACTGATCGTTTCTTAAGATTCTTTTTTTTATTTTATGTATTTTATTTTCTTTCCAGAATGTTTATTGAAAATAAAAATGATTCTTGATGAAAATAAAAATTATCTTACTGGTTTGGTTCTAAAAGATGTGATTAGAAATTCTGGTCCATTTTGGGAAGAAGTTTATCAAGAAATTTTTGAGAAAGAGTCCACTATATACTATATCGACGAATCATCAGTGAAGTATACTGATGAACAAAAAAATCGGGTATTTTTTTAAAATATTCTGCTTCATTTTGTCTTAATTTCATAAATATTTTCCAAATATTTTCAGGTGTTGGAGGAAATCGCAGCACTTGGTGCTCATGAGGAACAAAATGTTGAAGAACTTCAACCTTATTTTGTTGGTCTTTCTAACTGCGACAGGTTTTTTTAAGATTGCATTTAATTTCTATGAATGCTTTTGTGAAAGAAACTTATCTATCACAGATAATGACAGCCTTATTATTTTCTTATTTTATTAACATTTTCTTACTCACACATTGAAGGTTCAGCGAGGTGATAAGGTGGTGGTCTGTGCATTAGAAATTGTGTCTTATTCTTGTTTCATTATTTATTTACCACCATTTTATTAATGGAGGATTCTCTCATAAGATAACAAATCAAATTGTTGAAAAACATTCAAGTGGAAAAAGAAATTTATTATTTTCTATTTTTATTGATTTTATTTTAATCGTTTCCGCTTATTCTTGCTTGTTTTTAAGTATTGCTGAAATTGGAACACATTTATGCGATTGGTTTGATCGGATCGAAAGTAGTGCTAGCGTTAGTTTCTATTATTTTCTCAAATTTCGACGAATTGAGCGTGCATTTTACAAGGATAGCAGTTAATATCACAATAAGAAATATTTTATTTTTTCTAAAGGAGTCCAGCCGTAGTCAAGAAAACTCGTAAAATCGGGTGCATTAATCATATAATTTTTTTTGTCGCTATGTCCGAATTATGGTTGAAATGGAATTTGAAATTATTACTTTACTTATTACTACTTATTCTTATTATTTTTGTTACTTTTGTTTTGTTTTGTTTTGTTACTTTTCTTAACAGATCTTCCATTATTGATATGTTAAATTAAATTAGAATTGGCTTATCATTTGGAATTAAAAACCAGCATTCTAAAATTTTTGTCTATTAAGAATGTTCTCATAAAAAAAGGCTAGTAAAATAAAGGAGCTATTTCATCATGGATTAAGAAATGTTCGTTTTCTTCGTTTATGGGAATGATTTATAAAAAAAGTAGATAAATGCTTTATTCAGTAGTACAAGAATAGCTAAAGTACCAAACTGTTTTTCATTTTTATTGTATTGTTACATTAAATTACATTTTATAATTACCCTTAAACTTATTCTGTAAAAATTTTTAGTTGTCTAAATTTTAGTTAGCGTTAAACCGAATTCGAATTGCTAAAGTCAAAAATTTCGACGAAGCTGATGTTGGTGTGGTGCATATAGTGAGCGAAATTGTAGATTGTGTAGTTGTGGTGAGAGATATTGTTGAGCAAGTTTCAGAAGTTCCACTGAGGTCATTCCAAGGAATTTCACTATTTCTGAAATATAACTAACATAGAAAATGTTTTTTGATAAAAAATCATTTTGATAAATTTTTTTTTGTTATTTTTAATCGAAATCATTCAATTCAAAATCATTAGAATTATAATTTTAAAAAATCATGTTTGCGTAATATCTATTAAAAATGAAAAAATTTGAAAAATTTGTAGTAAACCTGATTCAATTTGTAAGAAATTGATTTGTGAAAATGATTGGAGTCGTCGATCAACTCGATTTCATGCCGAATTTAATATAGATGAAGAATCTGAATCAAGGCATTATGCTTCTGTCTTAGAGGTCAAATTTTTAGATTCAGGCCAGACAAGTTTAAATTTGATATAAATTTTGATTAAATATTTTTATGGTTTTGTTCGAAAAATTTGGAATAGAAATCCAATTCGCAAGAGAATTTGCAAAAAATTGTTTATTTGTTCATTTGTTTATTTTTCAGTTGTTGGAAATGGCGAGTATTATGGAGAAAAGTGTTGTTCCATTGTTATCTGTGCAACCAGTAACGCTCTATTTGTCACAGACAGACAAGAATTATAATTCTGTCGCATCACCACCATCGAATTTTGATGAAAAAATCGCTGTGCGGTCATGCATAAATCATTTAGCTTCCTTCACTGAAACTGAACCTCAGTGTATTTTTGATGTAATTGGCAGTTTTCTTGCTTGGTTAGCCAACGAAACTTCTTGCGCGTGTTTTCTTTACGATGCGCGTGAAGTTCTTATTCAGTGTTATCGACGGTGGGTTCCTACGCGTGGCAATACAACGTTTCCAGCAATAACTCGTGGTGATGAACTTATCTACATAATGGTTGCAGAGATTGGTTGTCGAGAAGCACTGTTCGTTTGCTCAGCAATTCTTCTTATATCTCAACTGCCTGTTGAGATAGAAGTTAAAATGCACTGGGCTTTGGCAATTAATGGAGTATCGATGTTTTCTTCTGATGTAAATTAATTATAATACTGTAAATAATGTTAGATTTTAGTGAATTAGAGCATAATTTTTTAGTGAATTAGAGCATAATCCAATAATTTCGAGCTATTTTTCTTATTCATTTGGGTGAATTTACATAAATAAGAAATTATTTGAGTATAAAAAATTTCTTAGGTTTGTCGATACCATATTTGGAATGTTTATGATAAGCTTTCGTCATCGAACTCATTTTACACATCGCTAATCCCTGGTTATAGCCAGATTACTGCTCGAAGCGCTAAAAATTTCCTCGAATTCATCGACCGTCGTGAAAGTATAACAACGATTGAACGTCATTTTAAAGAAAGGAATTTTGAAAAGGTGAAATTTTTTAGTTTTCGTATTAGAATTTTCATTTTATTCCCAAATAATGAAAAGCCAATGAATATTACTGAAACGTTGATATAATTTATAATTCATTAGATTCTTAATGAAGAATGAAGTGGTTAATTTCTGTTTAAGGTGGTGCGTATTATCGAAGATAATTTTAATTGGTGCGAAGCAAATTTTGATCTTGCTTTATCCACCTTATTAAAATTAATTGATTCTCATATCAGTTTGGGACATTCAAATGATGCTGCCACTTGGATTGCAAGGTTTTTGCTTTTTTTTTTATTTATTTGCCATCTTTCATCCCAATATTTCCTTTCAAACATTGCATGGTAAAATGCATTTTTCAGTTTTAGCAGATATATTAACTGAATATGAAAATTTAGAGCGTTAGATTTTGTGTCAACGAAGGAGAATATTAATATAATCCTTGATAAATTATATCTATTGGAAATCGAAATGATCGATCGTAAAAATCTATCAAATGTTATACATTATATTGCGCCTTTGCTCATTGCCGATTACTCATTCGTGGGATTTCAGTATTTAATGTCTTTTTGTTAATTTGCAAATTCTTTATGATTTATTAAATAAGAAAATAGCTGCATGGAAAAGAGGCTTGCTTGTAGGATGTCTCATTATGGATATGGTTATATAAAGCTGCTTGCCATCTTGAAGGAGAACTATCTGTGGAAGACTTACGTTCTCTTTTTTCTAATGGTTGCTTCATGGTGAATATGTCTTTAAATATTTTAGTAGAAGCACATGAAGTTCTGGGAAAAGTTGGAAAGTGTGTCGCTAATAATGTTGGTTTTGGTTTTTTCTTTTTTAAATATTTTTATTCCAAGAAAGAGGTTGTTAGCTATGAATCAAAGTAAATATAACGATAGCTTTATAAACGATAGCTAACTACTTTTATAAACTTGATGTTTTAAAGCTTTTGAGGTCTTTAAAGGTTATTAAAATTTGAATTATAGTATTATTTTTGTTTGTTTGCCCTGCATGAATTTGCAAAAGCGCGATCGAAGAAATATGTTGAGGAAATTTTTTCTGGAGGTGCTTATGCGGAACAAATGCGAGCGTTTAATGACGAAATTTATCAATTATTGTTCTGCATGACTGGGTTAATATTTTTATTCTCTAATCTAGGTATTTTTTGCCAATTCATATGTTTGGTTCAAAAAATGGTAGCATTATTCCCTTTAAAATCCTTTGAAATTATTTATTGTCGCAGTTATTAAAGTTAATTATTTTTTTGATTCTGTTTCTTTTTGTTTTTCTCGTTCAGTTAAATCTATTTTATGTTGTTTTTTACTTTAAAGATGTCCATCGCGCCGTAAACGCTTATTGGATGACCATGGAGGCAATCATGATTTTTCCGCATCAGCCGAGGAAGCGGAATGTATTCTCTACTTAATGATGCCAGAGCGTATTCCATTATATGATGGTCCGGTTTCACTCGACCTTATAGAAATCATTCAAAAAAAAGCCGCTTTTTATGTGGAACTAATGGACGATGAACTTCTAACAGTTGGTTGCAGTTGCAATAACTTTCAATAACTTATTTTTTTGAGTTTTTATGTGTTATTCATTAATTATAAATTCTTTTAAAATAATTTTTTTTTCTGATTTTCTTTTTCTAATTTTTTTCTGATTGAAATTAACTATGAAACCAGTGAATAATTAGCAGTAAATGGCGAATTTTTTTTTATAGTTAGAAAAATTTGGTCAATTTGTGAACCGTTCACAAATTTGTACTGATTGGCCGCGTAGCTCAGTGAATTTAAGAGCACGAGCTCATGCATTTTATCATTTGGCTCTTCATTTATATCGTAGCCAAAAAGTAGATGAAGCAGTTCGCTATGCGAAATTATGTATCATTTCACCAAGTATTCCACTAACTGATCAGCGGTCATTGGCTAATATTTGGACGATACTTGCATTTGCTTCAACCGCTCTTCTTTTTTCGGTTATTTTTTTGAGATTCCTCGAATTTTTAATTTTGTATTTTTAAAAAAGGAATATGCACCGATAGAATTTGTGTTATTTTTGTGGTTTTAAAAATTTTGTTTTTATTTCATTTTTGGCAGCAGCAGCATATGACTCACCCACCAACCATGCATGTTTCTTTAGTTTCTTTAACTAAAATAGATCAGATTCATTAAATCCATCATTATTATACAATGATTTTGTTGTCCTTTTTTTGCTTCATTTCTTTTGCTCAGTTAATTTCGAATTAAATTAAAATTAGGTAAAATATCTAATTTTCAACAAGTTTTTGATAAATGACATTGCGAAATTTTCCGATATATAAAGCACCTCCTTATAAATTTTAATAAAGTTCAAATGTGTTTTTTTTAAAAATTTAAAAGCGTGCACTCATTAGAGAACATTTCTTCATAAAATTTTGTGTTTTAAGTGAGAAGTGGAATTTTTTCCAGATAGCGGAAGACGAAGTATTACCTCAATTAGCTTTAAGCATTTTATCCTTTCGTATGGCATTGCATTTTGATTCACATGACCATTATATAACCTATAATTTTGGCAGTGCTTTGTATCAAATTCGCTCACGAGTGAATCATTTAATGCAACAGGTACATATATTTCCAATTTTATGAGAATTTGTTAATTTCTAATTTTATAATTGATTTCAAATCAGATTCATTCAGAGATCAGAAATAAATCTTCGGCCCTTTAAAGTTTATTTTCTCTTATATATATATGTATTTTTAAATTTTTAAGAATATTAGATTTAGTTGGCAATCGATGATTATCGATTTCGCAGGTGCCATAGGAATCTTTCGGAATTGTTAGAAGAAAGCCGCAAACATTTCCTGTACTGCATCTTGCATCTGCCTGACGGAGATTTCAATCGGTGGCGAAGCTATTACTTCCTTGGAAAAATAGCCGAAAAATTTGGTGAACCAGGAAAAGTTAGTTTTTTAACAAATTTTTGGATACACCAGAATTAGATTTTTTCTTTGCTATTTTGAATTATTTCGTCACCAAAAAATTATATTCATCCAATTTATTGAGGTGCTAAATTATTATTATGAAGCTGCTCGTCAGATGGAATTCTCAGGTGTGCAATATCCAGTGCGGATTAGTACCAAAAAACAAGAACATCTTGAAGCTATTGAGGTTACTTGATTTTTTTTCTAGTTATTATATTTAATAATCAGTTTTATTAATCGTTTTCACATTATTCAATGAACATATTTGAACAAACTTCAGAAGTGGCCAGTGGATTTTGACTGTGTAGGAATGGTGTGAACGAAGGGACGCATGAGTTATTACAAAATGAACTAATTTTTAGATTCATTATCGAATGTATGCTTGCTTTGTTAAGTGGTTACTTGAAACTGAAAATGCAAATTGGTCTGTCTATGACCTTATGGAAATGCATTCATATGCTACATTTTTTCAGTAAGTTTGTTTTGAAAATCTTTTAGTTTTTTATGTATCGCCTATTAAAAATTTATTTTTAAAAATTTGATTTTGCGAAACACCGTTAATCTTAATATGTTCGATGTAAATTCAATTTTATGAAAGTTAAATAAAATTGATTAAAATTAATCCAGTAATATATTTTTGTTTCATTGATAGGAACCATTTCTTTTTTCTAGCATAGAAAGAAGACCAAGCAGATGGTTATATACAATAGTCATAGGTGCAGCTAAGAGAAAAAATATTCGTGAAGAAATAGTATAGAGATAGACTAGAAAATAACAGAAGAAAGAATAAACTAGAAGTTTAGGGATAAACTAGAAAGTAATAAAAGAAAAAAAATTCATATATATATATATATATATAAAATATATAATTTTTACAATTTATATTATTTAATTGATTTAATATTCAATTTATTTTATTAAGAGGAAATCGTTTTATTGTTAAAGTTGAGAAATAATTTGCAAATAAATCAAGAATAATTTGTTGAAACGACTGTTCGCTAATAAAATTTTTTTTTAAAAATTTTCTATCATTAGAATATGCCTTTATATTTAAGAGACCACGGTACCATACGATTCGATTGTAAGGATGATGGTACGATTGTTATTGACCCCGATGTCAGAACAACAGTAACAAAGCTTGTTTTCGAAAGTTCATTATTGTCGAGCGATGTTGGTCAATGTGTTAGTCATCTTACAGAAAAGATTTATCTGACTGAATCAATTTTGAAATTTTGCGAAGAAGCATTTATATTTTGCATAAAAAGGTGATCTATTAATTTATCATTATTTTATGAAAATTGCCGATTCATAGAGTAATTTATCTCTTAATATCAAAAAAAGTATTCTGTCAAAGGTATTTTTCAGATTTCCTCATTTCAAGTCGTATTATCGTTTGGCACAATTGGCATTATATCACGGTGATATTGTCGAAGCATCGAAGTATATATTTGATCGTTTACTTTTGAAGCGACGAGCAAACGCTGGCTGTGATAATGTTTTTGAGGTTTTTTTAAACAGAATTCTTTGTTTTTTATCATTCCTTTAAAAAATGTGATATTTCAAATTTTTCATGGGCAGCTTTAAAAAAACAGTGCGATTGTGGATAGCTTAAATTGATTATAATTTAAGAAGAAAAATAGAACATTGCTGAGGAAATTATAATAAGAAAACTACAACAATAAAATGTGAAAACAATAATAGAAGAATAGACTTTTCTGTCTTAAATGGCGGAAAGCGAAATCTGGCTCATGATTCCTCTTCTCCCGTTCTGCTATTCAAATAGCAAAAAAGAGCTAAAAATAAAAAAATTTGCAAAAATTTTTGAAAAAATTTTAGAGTAAAAATTTTTGTTGGTCCTTAAACAGTGTTAACGCTCACTATTTTTTTCTGATTGGGCTTGAAATCGTTATGGTCTTTTCCCAGAGTGTAAGTTGACAATAGAGGTGCTTGCTCAATTTGGAACCCTGATGCTGAGGGTTCTATTCCCCGTAGGAGTAAACCGTCCGGAAATTCGGATGATGCTGGCGACTCATCTGTATTTCTATCGCCTCCCTGGCTTATGCGACAAGCCAGCGGAGCGAATTTAACCAGCAATTGTGAGGACTCTTTAAAAAAAATTTTTTGTCTATTGTTGCAACAGTAAGTTTAATCCCAATAATATTTCTCAATCTTTAAGAATATTGTGCCAATAATTTCAAAAGATTTTGATCGAGGTGACTCTTTACAATTTCATTTTTATCGGATTGCATCATTTGCTATCAATGTTGCTTATAAAATGTGTAATATCGACAACTTATCAACTCTTCTGCATACGTTTGCAACGCTAAGCTTTTGCAATAATCAGTATAATTTTTTTTTCATTTTGCAATTACAAAAGTCACTAATTATTTAATCGATCAAACATTTATTTCATTAAATTATTTAATTATCACTTGAATTTTAAAGGGACTATATTCTACCGAAGCAATTAACCATTTTATATTACCGTTCATACAAGTCACTCGCTGAATGTGTAAGAAAGAAGATGAATACGTCTGAAATCGACATCACCCTTTTACTTAATTTATATGATCTGTACCAATATTCACAAAGGTTAAACTTTTATAAATTTCAGAATTTTTTCAGAATGGAAATTAAATTAAGATTTCAAGTTATGTATAGAGAAAGAAAGATTGTGTATAGAGAAATGTCAGCGCAATAGTTACTAAATCGCACATATAAATATCGCGTCATCGGCTAATCGGATAGATTTAAGTCACCTCTTTTACTGTCGTTTCTTCTGCGAAAGAATTAGTTTTGAATCCAGCGTTTATTATTCGTTTAACCGACATTTCAAATATTTTATTTCCTATTGTTTTTATTATTTCAAGAATAATTATATTATATTATTTGAAGAAATAATGAAGAGAAGCTTTATAAAAGGTTGCTACCGCTTCTTGCATTAGTAGCTAACACTTTAAATGCACCTAATCGTATTCAGGATCCGCTGCAATACTGCAAGGTTTGAAATGCAAAATAAATTGTTTTTGAAGTAAAACGCTTTTTTTTTCAAATGAATTTCGCATTAGAGGAGTATTCGAGCATACTGCTTTTTTAAAATTAGACAACATTCCTGTTCCTTGTCCTCTGATATGAATGAACTTGCCAAAAAAATGGAATGTTGAGGACTCCAGGATTCCGTTTGTTCACTATCCTCTCATTAACGAAGTATCTTGTTCTAATAGACAATAGAGGCAGCCAGATCGGAAAATGATTAGAAGAGGGAATTCTAAATGTTGGAAAATATATATTCTTTTATACTTTTCCATTATTTGTGAGAGGGTTTCCACTGTCATTTTCTTAGATATATTTACTTTTCTCTCCTTATGCTGAAATCGATTTTTTGATTTTGGCTGATTTCAAAATCTGAAAATTTTATATTTTTTTGGGTTGTTTGGGAAAACAAAAGTTATTTTGTTTGAAAGTTATTATTTAATTTGCAGACTATGCATCTATTGGCTAGGAGAAAATCAGGAAAAAGGCGAATCATCCAAGTGAGTTCGTCACCACCACCACCGAAAATTATTCGAACTGCCGACAGTTGATTTGCTATTTCTTATTTTTCTTGCTTATTATTTTTATTTTCCATGATCTCTTCATTCTTTGAATGGATTTCACTATTTATATAAGTCATTTATACGAAAATAGTTCATATTTTAATTTCTCGGTGAGATTTATCAGTTTCATTATTTATTTTTTATACTTTTATCCATTTCTTTTCAAATTTTTTGTAGCATAAAATTTTTATCGCATAAAGTTTTGAAAATTTTGTTTTTTTGATCAGAAATATTTTTATGAATTAAAAAACATTATTTTTTGAAAATTATAATGTATCAATCTCTTTTTTCAATTTTTATCACCACCGTTCCGATTTATTGTAATATGGATCTTATGTATCTCGCACCTATTTGAAATCTTTATTTCGATAATACTTTTAACAGTTCTCACCATTACTAGTTAAGTTGGGCTGGCTATAAGGGTAAGGTGTTTCCAGGCTGCGCATTTTGATACCATCGAATAAGCAATAGAAGCCATTCCTTTTTCCATCGTTTAAATCCATATATTGCTGCTTCACTTTTACATTCAAAGGCTTTCCTGATTGTACCACTCAAAATTGATTGGCCCTTCTCGCTTTTGACGCCACCCAGAGTTTAGCAAGTAATGAAATATTTGTCAACTCCTGTAGTGAGCAATGAAGGCGACGTTCTGTGATGGTGTTTAATGCAGTTGAGCGAAGGTGGATGCACCATTAAGATTTTATCAGCTCGGCGAATGGACCCGCAAATGTTTTTTAGATATGAGTGGTCAAGATATATGATATTATCCACTGTCATTGGCTATTCTTGTATGATTGTGATAATATCGACAATGTAATAAATATTAAACTGAAATAGTAATAATTTGCGATTTTCCTTTAATCAGATCATAATTACAGCCATTTGAATGTATCTAGAAATTCTAGTCATTTTTATTTATGCAAATGGGTCCTGTGGATAAGCCACGCGAATATTTGATGAGTGCTCCTTAAGGTGCATTTTGTCTATGTGCTATGCAGATAAATGACGTATTCACTTCACTAATATTTATTAATAGTATCACAACAGAGAATTGCACTTGATGGCTAGGTCACTCTTCATCAGGCAACATACTTATGGTCAAAAGCAAAGATGTGGATTAAGAAGGGAAGGCGAAAGAGAAGAAAGAGAACGACTTATCAAAATGATGAATATGTATGGGCTTAAACACTGGAAAAGAAGCAGTAACCTATAAAGCCAGCCAAATCCGATTACATTATAGGATAAATAACAGAATTTGATGAAAACTTTGGGTTTCACTAACAATTTTTGTAGCACTGCAAATCCTTTGAATTCTTAGCAGTTAATAAGTTGTATTTGGTTAAAGTTGTGGATATTTTCTCAGAGAAATGTATGGACTTCAGATTCTGTGGGCTGCTGTTGAGAATTGTTGAATCGTTTCTGGGCCTATTGGCTAAGGCCGACGCCTTTATTCTCTTCCTCTAACCATTATTGACTAATTTAAAGCATTTCCAAGCAATTCGATCGGATGCGGTATTTGAGAGTAGCAGAAATCATTCATTTTCCCATCCATTTTTGGTTAGGCCTATTGGCTTGTCGAGTTGTATGCCCGGAAATCGCGACTCTTGGCGATAGGAAATAGGCCAGCATCATTAGTGGGATTTTTTTCTGCCATCTGGGCCCATACATATATCGTTGAATATACGTTCAAAATCTTTCCTGGTTGTCAGTCCAAGGCTTGATTGGTCCCCTTTTTGACATTATCCCATTAGTTCATCCCTTGCCCCATTCACCTCCGTTATAATATCTCACTCTTCGCTTCTTAGTCGTCATATCTCTGCTATTTCCTTGCTATGTTGACTATGCTGCTTAATCGGTGAGCAATGTTCGTCTAATTAAGATGAATTGAAATTTTTTATTTTATTGCATTTTTTTCAGAATGCCAGTACGGCCTCGTGTTGATCGTCTTCGAACAATTTATCGTGCAGCGAGAGGCTTAAATTTTGGTTGGAAAATGAGTGATTTTCCATCAACTCCAATGTATAATGGTGTTTGTTCATTTATACCTCAGTTACATCGAGTAACACTTAGATTCTGTCGTCAGTCAGAAAGTAGCACTGGTATGCGCAATTTTATTCGAAATCAACTATCACAGTTCGCTAATGAAAATCCTTCAACGGTCGTTTATGTGCAACCAGTAAGGTTTGTTTTTCTGTTTTCCTATTATTTTAAGCGACAAAATATAAGAGGTAGGATGGGATGGAGATATGAGTGATGCAGTATGGCCGGGTTTCGAGCATTGTGGTTTGGCTTCCTTGCCTGGCAGTAAATCTTAAAGGTTCTGGTGGTGATGCCCTACATTCCCAAGTGGTGTTTGTTTCCAAAATATAAATGTTGGAGCGAGCCTAATGAAAAACAACGATTAGAAGAAGAAGAAAATCAAATTTTACTGAATGAGTATGGTAAATTCATTTATTCGATTATCCATTGCACAAAGTTTGGCGAAAGAAAATAATTAGAATTGATATACTGGTTTGCATTGTCTGTAATTCATTCCTCAGTACTTTACCTATATGTTGTGCGAAAGCGAATGTACGAACCTTACGTTGAATGCTAGAAATATACAATGTGCAAGAAAATTATACGGAGTATTCATACTTATACTTAGAAAGGGCTTATTTTTAAAAATTTTGCGATTTCTTTCATAATCCTTACAGATTTTTGAAATTTTCTTCTAACTTCGACTAGTTGACTATTCTCTTCTTCGGAAAGTAACTTAGAGATAGTTTTGCGAGTGGGTTATGCGAGTTCCAAGCATCATACCGATTTCAGTGGTTGATTTATTCCCAAAAACAAATAGTAATCTTAATAGAAATCTTAGTAATAGAAATCTTAAATCGAAGCAACCGAAGCAACCTTTCAACCAGTATCAGATTTGTGAATTAGCTACTTAATGGGGCGTATATTTTTATATTCATATTCATATTTTCATATTTTTAGAAATACAACGCCGACATTACGTGGTGAGTATGGTAATGGACGTATGGTGCATATTCATGCGAAAGGATTTAGTGAAGATATCGTTGCAAAACATATGAATCTTTTAAGGACACGATGTGGCTCACCTGTTTTGGAAATGGAGTCTTGTCAAACAGCGGTAAAAGATTCAATTCAAGGTATTTGGAATCCGCTTTTAAATATCGATACGGAACAAAACATTACCAATTTACCAAACGAAAAATTCTCGAAATATCGAAGTTATGAAATGACAGCAACAGAATACGTCGCTAATTTACCAACTGAAAGTGGTGATGCTTCATGAAAAATTGTTGTTTCGTGTTAAATTGTTTCGCATTGAAGATGACGAAAAGTAATCTACTATTGGCATAAACATTCAATATCAAATATCTGTTGCAAATCTTTGGGAATTGGGTGATTTTTTTTTAGATTAATATTTTTAAAATAATGAGCCAGATAGATTCGCGTAATTAATATGTGCTGCTATCTGAAATGGTGAATAAAAATGGTAAGATAGTATAACTGAAATTCATCGTATGTTCTTCATCCTTATTTTGCTCAATGATAGATTATTCGGTTGGTCTGCTTCAGCTCCACTTCTGCACTTTTGGAATTAAGGAGTAAAAAGTCTATAGAATAAAATAGCATAGCATAGAATATAATAATTATGACTGCTGCTACATGATCTTACAATCGCTTCAGTGTTGTATTATTGTTACGTATATATTTTTTGAGATATTTCATGCGACGTATTGTGCCACATCATTGGCTAATTTCTTTCAACAGATGATAAATGGAGAAGCTCCGAATTTCAAGCATCAGATTTTCGATCTAACGAATTAGGAAAAGATAATCTATAGATTCATTTTTGGGATGGTTAAATCTCCAATACTGCAGTCGAAATCTCTTAAAAATTTAGGTTAAATTTGAGCCACTAACTTGTCGGGTGGGTGGTATTTTGTTCACTTCAAAGAGCTTCTAGAGTAGTATTAATACTGGATGAGAAGTGTTGAAGGATCGTTAGAAAAATGGGTGTATATACATTTGTTATAGCCTGTTATACAAATATATATTTTTACTTTTTTTTGATTGATTTATTTTTTAATTGATTTTGACTAATTTGGTATTTTTTATTATTTTTCTAATAGCCGTATCATTACTGGTTAGGCTGCTCTCAGGCTGAAAAGCCAGTATTTCCAGGCCGATGCCATACCCGAAAGTCATTTTTCCCCACTTTTTCCAGTGTAGGCCCCAAAACATATGTCTCGTTTTGATTGGTACTCCTCACTATCCATCACAAGGCTTAGCAAATAACGAGAATAGTCTCAGTTCTTGTGAAAAACGTGGCCTAACCAGTGTAAATGACGCTTTGTCGAGATATTCTTAATGCAAATCTATTTGGGCGATGATGTGGGATTTTACCTACTACGCGAGCCACGTAAAATATGCTTTAAATGGTAGCTTTTGAATATCTTCCACTCTCATTGGTCACGTTTCGCATCAAGATGCTATGCAAATTGGTACGATATTACGATTAGCTTAGCAAGGTGATCAAATAAATGGGGACTTTCGTTTTGAAAGTGATTTCGTGGATATTTCGTCAGACGAGTTTCTAGTTTCAAAGAAGCGTTTCTAGATGTGGTTATTCAAGCAGTAATTTCTTTCGTTTGGTCATTTTGTATAAGATTGGATCTCTTCGATTATATTAGACATTCAAAATCCAGTCCTTAACATAATCCTTAATGATCCTTGATCCTTAAAAGATCCTTGACATGCCGATCTAGTCCTGCGTAAGTAAAAAATTTGGAAAATCTCCAAGCATTGGCAGTTCCCACCACATCTAAAAAAATGTGTCTATTTTGTTGGTTACGATTATGAATAATTGTTTTGCCATTCTATCTGGCATATTAACGTTTTTTGTAGCGGGAAAATTAAATTGAATTAAATTACCTCAATTTATTCACATATTTTCGTGAGCTTTTGCTAATACCATCGGGTAAATCCTTTTGTCTGATCACTGAAATAAGTGGATCGCTGAATACTGCTTTATAGTTCCCTTGAACCTTTCCCATGATATGTCAATTAATTAGTTAATAATGTCCTGCTGCTTAAATTAGAAGAATAACAAATACTAACGAACTGTGAAGGAACCATTTCAGCTCTTCAGTTTTTCCAATTCAATGAATATTTAATTTATATATGATTACATGATGTGAAGAGAGAGTGGAATGCGAGATTTAAAAATATATCTAAGTAAACAATATAAAACATCTAATATGATTCAATAATATGATTCAAGAAATAATAAATAAATATGATTTAAAGAATTATGAAAAAAACACTACAACAAAAGGAAAGCAATTAAATAGAAAAATTAGTGAAAAAATCTAATCTCAGCTCGACATCTGCAACATACTTATTTACAATTTATATAATAAATAGCTTCATCCTCAGTTCATTAAAATATTTAATAATATCTAATTTTTTAAAATAAATGAAGCTATTTGGAAAAAATATGCCAAAACCAGTGGACGACTCAATTAGATATATAATCAAAAATTTAATAAAAAATTTAATAAATTTAATAAAATATAACCAAAACACATTGTTTACATTTTCAATTGAGAACTATTTCCGAATTGATCAACAGATGCCCACTGGTCCTGCCAAATATTTTGTCGTCTAATAGGAGGTAGAAGTCCGTCAGGATTAAAACTGGTTGCTGAAGTCCACTCAGCAGCCCCAGATTGGTCATACTGGGATGGTGCTTGAAAAACCTATAAATTAATGGCATAAAATTTGTTTAAACTATTTAAAAAATTTCATGAACAAAAAATTATTTTTAATTATTTTTAATTTAGTTGTAATCAATATAATTGACCCTAAGCAATAATAAAAATCGAAATTTCTTCAAGTTTCAAAAATAACCTGGGAAGTTGTATGCCAAGTTTCATTATTATTGAGAATAAGCACATGAGTGGCTACAACATATTCAAACTGTTCCGAATATGGGTTCAAAAATTTATGTGCAGAAACAGTGCAAGCATAAAAATCATTTGACGACCTCAAACGCACCGAAACTTGGGTCGGTTGATTCTATAAAATGAAAAGAAGCATGATCTGTTCGTTGACGAATGTTGTAGCCCTTTAATCTTCCACAAGGCAACTACAGGGAATAAAATAATAAATGGCACCATAAAAGAATATAAAATAATAAATGAAGCCAAAAACGCAAAATATTTTCATTATGTCTAGGAAAAAAATAAATATAAAAGAATAAACAATAATAGAATAAAAATTAGAAAAATAATAGGATAAAAAATGAAATAAAAATAAAACAGAATAAAAAATAATGGAATAAATAAGAATAAATAAAAATAATGGAATAAAGAATATAAAAATATGCGATGTTTTATAAACAAAATGAAAAAATATTTAAATTTTACAACTCATTCAATAAAATTATCAATCAAAAGTTGAACTACCATTTAAATTTGAAATATTTGGTATCTAACTTTTAAAATTTAAAGAATTCGATGATTAAAGTCGAAAATGGTTAAAAGCTGATAAATAAAAGTTTACCTGCATAACACGCACAAGAGTATCATGAAGGGTCTGTTCGTCAGCTGGATGTGCAATCTGCCACCAATATCGTCCTAACAGCTGCTCCGTTGAAACAGATAGTAATGAGGTTGCCCTTTGTTCGACGAATGTTATCTGCAAACTGATAATTAAATACAACAAAATACTCAATAAATTAATAAAAAAACTGAACTTTGAAATCTCAAATAGATTCCAAAAAAAATTTGAACTTAAATTTAAAATACGAAAAATTTTCAACCATAAAAGATAATCTAAAACAATACTTTTCCATCTTCTGCAAGCCGAAGAGAAAATTGAGGAGGAGAAGCAATTTCAGGGCTAACTGGCATGCTTGCTACTTGCAAACGTCCAATAGCAACAAGACAACTTGACTGTGGTGCATCCAAACCCACTGGAGGTGAATTTTTTACATATCCGGTGCAATGTACAACAACATAATTATGACCATTATAAGTGAAAAGTGGTCGACGATTGCATAAGCGATGTAAAGGTTCAAGTGGACCTAACCGCATTCTGTAAATGTGCAAATAGTATGTTGAATGAAAATTTTTGAAATAAGCGGTCAAAAAAATTGGAGAAAAAGATTTCGAAATATTATTCGGAAATCAATTGAATATCTTTTATTCAAAAGCCTTTCTTCTTGATTAAAAGGAACGGAAATACATATAATGATGACCTTTACCACCCAGAGAATAAGGTGATTTTTTTTAAAAATATGCACTCTTCGAATTATCTTATGTTGCTTCTGGAATATGTTGGAATCGCTTTTCCAGTTTAAAGTTTTGGCCTCTACTTCCCCATTCTCTGATTCCTCTTTCAATCCCTGGTATTTCTCTACTTTCTCATATTCCTTCTTCCTTTTGCTCTTTTCACTGGTACTGTTACATCCACCACCAATCCTAAATTCTAATTCTTGACCATATCTAGTTGATTGGGCAGCACTTGCTCATCCTGGATGAGAAATTCATCCCATACGGCTTTGGCCTTATTATTCCCCACGATCTCCCATACTTTTCTGGGGAATCTCTCGTTTGGGTCTTGGAAGGACCAAAGAAAGATATATACATTATAAATATAAACCTGCATATGAAACCCCGACGACAACTCATATGAACGCGAACAGAACCCTGATCCTTCTTAACAGTACCAGTTTTTAAGTCCAAAACCCGATTTAAGTTTGCTTCACTACCGTTCAATTGATCTCGTACTTTTTCTATGTCATCAGGATGTATCAACTCGTAGATTGTATGATGAAGCCAATCTTCCTAGAAAGCAAAAAGTTATTCTGCAGGCGAAAAATGATAAAAACTGGTAAGCCATATAGGTATAACCTGAGAGGAAAGAAATAAGGCTGATAAGGCCGCACATCCATTTAAGCGGAAAACATAAATAAGTACCTGTCGCATATTTAAAACCGGTATAATAGAGTCGGCAATATAAAGAACGCGACCAGTCTCACAACAAAGCACAAATAAAAAGCCATTTGCTGCTTCAAGAATTAGATGTTTCAGCTCTTGATCGGTAAGAAACGATGGTTTATACGACGCTTCCGTGCCATTCTGCGAACCACATCTAATCGCCTGAAATTTAGCTAATCACCATAATTTACAATCCATTAATAAATGAAATGCTTAATTTCTAAAATTCTAAAATTTCAAAATCAATTAGGAAACACTTTGACTATAAATTATCTATTCATAATTAATTAATAATTAATTCAATTCTCTCTAATTCTACAATAAATAATCTTCAACTAATTGTTTTTAAATTGTAAAAAAAAGGAAATTTCTATAAAAAATTTTTTTCTAAAAATAAAACTGAAATGTCCAGCAGATGCCCAGCAGATGTCCAGCAAATGCCCATGTCTATTTGCATATCCTTGTTCATTAAGAAATTATTTACAAACGCTAGAAGATTTTCTGAAAGGCTTACAGCACCGATTTATAAATTTATAAAGTAAGTCATCTGCAAAATCAAGGACTGTAATCTTTTCGTATAAGCCATTTGAAAAGCAAACGTGAGGGAAACGAGCACCAACAAGTAACAATTAAACAAGGACGTTAGTCTCCTAATGTAGAAATATTAAATTTATATTAATATTAATATTTATATTAAATAATAAATTTAAAAGGAAATGATAAAAATAGCAAAAAAAAGCAAAAATAATTTGTCCATCCTTCCCTATCGAAAATTTATATAAGATGCCTTGATTAAATTTTCTTCGTTTAGACATTAACGCAGCAAAAAAGTCTATTCCATTAAAGAAATTAAAAATCGAGCAATTTTTTCGTGCATAATAATTCCACTTGTTTTTAATTTTTTAATGATTTCCTTATAATAATAATAATAATAATAATAATAATAATAATAATAATAATAATCAAATCGTAAAGTATCACTAAATAAAATTCATTTCGAAAACCTCAAAAATATTGCCCAGTAAGTCAGAGATCTAAAAATCGGATGAATTTTATAAAATTCAAAGGCGATCAGAAGAAATTTATGGTGCAGTCCAATTATCTGATCTATGGGCAGAAAAGTGTCGATGCCAGAAGCTTTCCTCTTTTCATCCATTGATTTATAATCTTTTCTCGTTAACGAGACACCTTATCAGCATGATTTTCTCCACGATCGCCCTATTCCATTCGCATTTCCATCCATCGCCGACAAGCAAAGCCAGACAGGCAAACGGCACCACAATCCACTGCCTATTAACTGCTTGTAACCATCTGTGATCGCAAATAACTAACTTTCATGTGAGAGACGGCCATGCGAAGAATGGTCAGTTTATCGGGCTTTCGTCCCAGTGCAGCACATTGCGGAACCATTTCGGCGAGTTCATTTATATAATAAGTCATCTTATTGCGCCGTCGCCGTTCAATTTCACTATGATTTTCGCGTGCGAAGCGTTCCTTCGTATCGTTTCCGTCGTCATTTGCGTTTTCGGCTAAATCTAATCTCGCGTATTTCGACATTGAACCACTTTCATCAATAATATTTTCACTTCTTTCAATTCTGAAATTTTGCTAAATTTTTACTTCACTAAAAAACTTTATTTTCTCTATTCTTTAATAATTAATAAAAACGATCAATTAATTAATGAATTTTAAAATATTTCATCCGATCGATAGGAGTGATTTTATTTAAAAAACAATATTTTAAAATATTATTTGAATCGTCTTAGCCAATTCCGAGCGGCTTTAGAGGCAGCACGAGCAGCGCCAATTTAATAAAAAATTTAATGTTGTTCTCACCATGATGGCGGGTACCACGAGTTCATTCTCTGTAGCTTAAAAGAACTATAAATATGTAAATAGAGAAGATTATCCAGAGGGATGCATGTTTTGTCCGCGGCCGGCTCCCTAATGAACATCACGCTCAGGTCCAGGTTTAAGCTCGGGCCTAGCAAAGCAACGAAAATTGCATTTGAAGTGCCAAAAAAGCCCATAAAGCCATTTCCATTCACAGTTACAAAAAATATAATTAAAAAGTGAAATCTGCAAAAACATTGAACGACTGATCAAGTAAACCAAGAGGGAAAGAATCAAACAAGTAAGAATGCAATCCACAGAAAATGCATTTGTATTTTCCCAGCTGACCATTGCGCACCACTTCCGACCGTTCGTTTTCTTCAGCTAATCACCGATAACCCATTATCATTTAATCTTTGATCCTTCTCATCTGACCAAAGCACACTGCCATTGATCTTCAATCTTTCGCAGTTGACCATTGCCCATTCTCGACTGATCTTCGATCTCTCTTAGTGATAGCAACTAATCGCCTCATCTAAACTCTATTAATCGCCCAAAATTGACCATTGCGCACCATCACTGTTCCTCCTTAACCTCCGACCTTTATTCCCCCAACTGACCTTTAACCCTTCCAGAAAATGCAAAAACAAACGCTTGTTGCTGCATCATTGGCCAATGATCAAGAAACGTCTGTTGACCAACAGTTGTCATAACTGCAACCCATACGATACGACAAACGTCACGACATACACAATAAATGCCATATCATTCTTTCCGTCCTTCATTCCTATTTTTAATTTCCTCTAACTTTTTGATCCCTCTCCTCAAACCACGGCTATTTTCTCTATCTCTACCGTGTCTCCAATTTTTCCATAGTCTCTTGCGGATCCTTCAAACGTCTGTCAGTGCTATTCTACTTATCCACACAAATCTCGCTAATAATCTCTAATGGAATCAAATTCCCACCACAGTCTATAAATAACTTGCACGACGGGCCATACGTTTTTTTAAATTTCCCTTTATTCTCTGTTTATCTATTTCGCAGATAATATTTTCTTTAAACAATCGGGTTATGTAAATAGTTTTTTGGGGTACAAATCGACAGAATTTGGTTTTCGGTTTGTTTGATGAACCAATTAGATAAATTATTCAAAATTCTTTTTCGGACTACACCATTCACCATTTCTGGTTTTTCGTTCATCTCAGTGATAATTATAAAGTCACCGAAGGATCAACGAAATGGTGCGGCGACACTATTCGCACTTCGAACTTTTAATGACAGGTTTGCCGGCGTGAATTGCGGGACATGCACAACGAATGGATGATATCTGATGACTCTCAACCTAAGCATGAAGCAGAATAACAAATATTCGAATGAAAAAATTCCGATATATATCCCGCGTAAAACCTTATTCGCAATGGCGCAATTGACGCGAATGAGTCGCGTTTGGCTGCCAATTATTAAAACTGGTTTTTAAACGGAAAAAACTAAAATCTGAAAAAAAGTGAAAAAAATTATGAATTATTCTGTTATTTTGAATTTATACATCCCTTTTTCTCAATCCTATAATAATTCTTTAAAATATTTAAGAAAATTTGAAAGACAATTGCGCGACAAACCAACTAAATTAAAAAAGCAAAGCTATAAATGAGATGTTGCCAATGAAAGCTCATTTTTAAACACACTATTTAGCTGTAAAATGTTGATTTTTATTTTGAAACGAAAATACAATTTAAAGTTCCAATGGGTGAAAATATGAGGGTAAAGATGGGAAAAGGATAGGCATAGTTAAGGGGGATTAGGGGGTGCGGTTATTGCGTTAGGGGGCATTTTGAGAAGGAGGAAAGAGATTCGACAGGGAAATGAACATCGAATAGTAGGTTAGATTGCTGAAAATAACAATTAAATGCCGTAAATAACTTAGTCATTTAAAGTCAAATTGCAATCGATTAACTTTAAATTAAATTAATCCAAAGGCTAAATAATTATTTTTGGAATAATTATTGGTTTCAGTTTCTGTTTCAGGCTTTCGAAAACAATTTGGAAATATATGACGGGCCGGAAGGAACTGTCGCTGAATTCCCCCAGGCCGATGATATTTGCCTGTGATGATTTCCGCCTAAGGTACTTTTTATCCGTCTGCCGAGTGGAATCGGACGCACTTTCATCCGACTACCGTATTTACTGTAGTGCCACAGTAGAATCGTACAGACCACTATCCATCAGCAAAATGGGCTCTACCTGTCTTAATGTCTCATTATGGGTGCCATCAAATGTAAAGGGGATTGAGGAGGGGATAAAAGCGATTTATCAGATGAAGAATATTTCTTTCTTTCTATAAATCTATAGTTCTTATTGCTAACTAATATTTTTGGCCAAACGTTACTCTAAAGAATCTATTGCTTGTAGCAATTTTCAGCGGTATCGGGTCGAGGATTTAGAAGCGTCTCATCCTTATAGCCTATAGCCAGCCAATTTGGCAAGCTTTATGCGTTTTTAGAAGAAAAATTCGGTTTGGTGAAAAGTGTAAGTAAGTTATACTATCATTTTCATTAGCGTTTCTCCAAGTAATTCTGAAGATAATCAAATGTAAATGATTAAAGCTTTGGATCTATTTACGAACCTCTACGAATAACTTTCTTGAACCACAGCTTAAAGCTGTTGAATCATTTCTGTTCCTATTAACTAAGATCAATATCTTTGTCGCATTCTTCTAATTCTCATTCACATCATTAGTGCTTAGGCCAGCCCTGCTGGCTACAAATCTGAAGCAGGCTGCGCGGTCTGATGCCACATTTTCATCATATTATTACTCAACTAAGAAATAATTAGGCGAAAAATTCCCGTAAATTTTTATGGCGACAAATAATTTCCTTTCGTTTTTTAGATTCAAAATAATTAACTGCATTAAATTCAAAACAATTGCAGAATGCGGCCAAAAAAATTATCGTTCATCTCAAAAAAGGTCGACGTAGAAGTAGAAAGCAACAAAAGCCACCTATAAGGCCAAAAAATTTAATAATAAGAATTGAGCAATGATTTTATCAAGAAATGCACATTATTTAGATTATAAATCGTAGAATTCCAAATGAATTTTTAATGAATTATTCACGATGCTATTTTTAATTTTTTTTCTCGAGAAAATTCATGGACTTTTTATAAAATTTCTATGATATAACAACAAATTTATGAATAAATTTTTTATTCATAATTTTGTATAATTGCAATTGCGTTTATCATAAGCAAAAGCAATGCGAGAATCCTTCAAATCCTTCCGCAACTTCCTTTTCCTTGAAATCCCTTTGAAATTCAATTTCAGCTTTTCCAAAATTCCTCTAATACGAAGACGAATAAAGTTTACGAATTTAATTAAAAATTAATCATTTGATATCACTAAATCCATTGGAATATCAGTGTCAGTAAATGGTAATTCAGTGACGATGCTGTGTGCTAATGCAAGTCCAACGGTAAATGGTAATCGTTCGAAATGTTGACGATATTCGGATAAAAAACGATCATAATAACCTTTGCCATGACCGAGACGGTGACCTTGTTTCGTAAACGCTACTCCAGGTACAATCATTACATCCAGTGCACCTAAAATATCCATCGTTTTATTTCAGCCTTCGACTTTTATAGAAATTTTAAAAGTAAAAAAAATCAATAAAAAAATTTGAACAAAAAGGTGAAAAATCGAAAAAAAACCAAAATTTTTACCACTTTTCAACCAACTTAAACTATCGTCGTAAACTGGATGTTGTCGAATTCCCCACATATATGTCTTAAGATCACTGAAACTCTTGAGATCAACAAGCTCCAGCATATCCATATGAACATCATTGCGTTGAAAATATGGTACAAATAGTCGTTTCTTTAAATTCAAGCAGTCCGTAATAATATCCGTTGTATTAACCTCTCCAACCGTACTCACATAAACTGAGATCCTTTTACATTTAGCATACCAGTCACTTTTAAAAATCTATAAACTCACCAAAGGTTACTTTCTTGTCTGCGGAATTACAGTCAGTTCAGTCGATAACTAACCTTTGCATTAATAATTTGACTTTGTGAATCAACTTCTTCTTGGCTTAGATTTCTCCCAACGGCAGCAATTGTCTTTCGAAGCGTTTGTTTAGCAGTAAAAATCGAATTTTTACCATAATGTCGAATCATTTAGGAGCGATGATTTCTAAAATAACTCACCATATAGAGATGAATGAAGGAAACATAGTTTCATTGTGGTTCAGAGAAGGAAAACCTTTCAGAATTTTAATTTCCTTCTTCCACCAATATTCACTATTCGCTGATTCTATTTACTGGTTCCATTTTCCTGATTCTCTTCATTATTAAGGTAAAGCTGGACAATTATTAAAGAATAAAAGTATTCGAGAAAAGACTTCAGGGAAAATGAAAACGCTCAGAATAAACAATACAGATCCGTTCTGGGACACATGATTCGGAAAAAGCAAGCTGGATCTACACGGTCAGGCTATCCGATCGCGCTGCAAGAGCGCATATATCTAACTGTAGGTAGCTCCGTAGATTTGCACCTACGAAATGGAAAAAAAACCGATATTGAATAATATTTGAATATGGAGATAATAGCCCTTACCGTTCATAAAAAATTTTTTTGCCTACTTCGCTAGGCAACCAGGATTCGAGGAGGAATGGTCAGTGGAATAATCCGAAGTAAGGTCGAAAAATCCGTTAAAATCATCGAAGATCGATGGAGAGAGCTTTTTCCCAAACATATGGGCCATCCACCAGGAATAACTGGAACGCATTTACAACTATATGATTGCAATTGCGAATCATCAACCATGAGAGGATCCTTGGAATTCACAAACTTATGGTCAATAAATTCTTTGGAAAAAGTGGTCTACGAACCGAACTCTTCAAATGCTGCTCAGTGTCCTTTAAAACACAAAGGTTATATTCACTGGTGTAAGAGACGGAGCAAAGGCTAAGTGAGTGGATTAAGTCAATTTCCGAAAAAGATGATGGAATGCACGACGAGGATCGGCTATCGAGAAATCAGCTTATCAAATATTTCTGGGAAAGTTTTTATTCTTTTCTGATAAGAATATTGACAGCAGGACGCGTGCTAGTCAAACAGAAAAGCTAGGACGTGAATTTGCTGACCAAATTTTTAAACGGAGAAGGCTATTAGAATATCGATTCACCATCTTTCTCGCCGCTTCCGATTCAATCAAAAGGCAATGCTCTCTCTGGCAAGTCCTGCAACCTGATAGTGGTGTTAATTAGATTTATCCAGCATGTATCAGGTATATATCAGGTGTATGTGTGTTTATGGGGTACTGATAAAATCTTTTGATATTGCTAGTGTGTGTCAAAGTTGCGTTTTCTTGTTTATAATTTTCAATTATGCGAATGGATTATTGTCACTTGATAGCATCCAAGAATATAAGTATATAAATTGGTATAAAGCACGGTACCCCAGACCTTGAAAACGCTAATAATGTTATCCTTTTCAATCGCGAGGAAAAATGCGGCAAACGCTAGACCAGCAAAAGTAGCGAAAACTGTCCTTCAAATCAATGAGAAACTTTCTTATGTGTGCCAGACACTGATAAAATTTATATAAATTCGTCGATTGCCAAAAAAATGTTAGATGTCTTTAAATATCTCGGATCTACTCTTATGCCTAATGGTCAGGATAACGAAAGGTGGAACTCCAGTTCAGATGGCTGCAGCCAGAAATACCTTCTTTCGTCATGTGCAACATTTCTGGGATCAGCCTCAAAACAAAAATTCGCACCCAAATGCTTGTAGTATGAACAGTTCGATTGCGAGACTTGAATGAGGTAATGTCTGAGCTATATGCTTTTGACCATGCTTGTTTAAGGTACATCATACGTACCCGCAAAGTGGGCAGAATCTTATATAATTGCACCTATCTTCGCTTAAATACCACCTACATTATCAAGAACATCATCACAAGGAACCATGCGTCGTTGAACCATTTTGCCCACTGCAAGAATTTATGCAGATCTAGCTATTTGTTAACTATTTGTATTTGTGATACAGCTGAGAAATCAAGATTAGAATTGATAAGGTCAGAAGAGATTTTGCACTTACAGGGGCCAACGATATAATAGAGAAAAAAAATGGCATGGGATTGGAAGACATGGAAAAAACTTATCTTAGTGTAGCGAGCCAAATAGCAACAGTGCGAGCTGTTAGAGAAAGAAGAAAAGAAAAAAACTACCACAAAATCTATAAAAAAAGAGTGGAATATGAGTAAAATATAACATATATTTGTAATAACAAAATAAATAAAGTCAACCAAAAAAAATATAATTTTCGAAATTATTTATTAAATTTTTATTTTCCGATACAAAATGAAGAGAATAATTTCTCCAAGATATCTTCATTAACAATTGCGCCTGTTATTTCACCAATATAATCACTTGCTTTGCGTAAAATTTCTGCAACTATCGCCATATCGCCTATTTCAACAATCTTAAATCCAGTCATATAAATCTAAAACATCAATATTCTCAGCAAACATAGAGCAAAATCTCAGCAAAATCAGAGCAACAACCATGAAATAAAAGTAAAAAATCCCCAATACATAAATTTTATTTCTCATGCTGACGACTCATCTGTATTTCTATCATGTGATTAACCAAGTGACTCCCTGAAAAATCTATCTCGACAAGCCAGCGGAGCGAACCTAACCAGCAATGGTGAATGCTCTTAAAAAACTCCATACAAAAACAATTAAGAAAAAAGTAGTTAAATAACCTCCTCGAGTAATGCAATCGTCTCAGTTAACAAAATCCGCTGCCGATACCGGCTTAAGAGGATATCATCTCCTTCATCAGGACACAATAACTTTATCTCATCACTTATTGCGTCTACCTTTAATTTATCTGAGTGAAATCTACAAATTTAAGAAATTGACTATTATTATGTATAAATGAACAATGGCACATAGAAATAAAAAAAAATGAATTAATAACTTACAAGAGTTTGCCAACCATTCGGAATTATGCAGGAAGTATAAACTATTTTCCAGGGTAGGAATTGTTTAAATTTATCGGTAATTAAGTCAGCTTTATTACAAACAACAATTACATGGCTTTCTCTTTTCACCGAACATTCTTGCATAAGTTTTCGCACCTCATCAACGATGTCCGTGCATGTGCTTGCATCGATAACCAGTAACACAATATCAGCTTCTTTCACTCTATGAATTTCGACAATTGTTCACTATATAAATTTAAATTCCTAAACCTAAGCTTTAAATCCACTTTGACTGCATCTTTTTCCATCTTTTTTTTTTAGATTTTCACCTTTTCTTATCGCATTTTAATTAGTAAGATGGAAAGTATACCTGGCGAAGGCTCTCAAAACGCCTTCCGTTTCAATGAAATCTCTGGAATTTCGAATTCCAGCTGTATCAGTGAAAATCACAGGTATTGATGACATTTCTACACGTGCTTCTAATGCGTCTCTTGTTGTACCTTCGACTTCTGACACAATAGCAACATCTCTGTGCGCTGAATTTAAGTATGAAAGTACCATCACAACCATTTCTTTCAATAATCTCTTTATGCAAAGTATGGAAATTTTCTTTGAGCAACAACCTACAGTCTATTATATATTATAATGAGAAAAAGAAAGTAACCTATACGGTTTATAAGACTACTTTTGCCTGTATTTGTACGACCAATTAATACTACACGAATGCCATTAATAATTAAAGATCCTCTTTCAGACTGCAGTTTCATAGACTTTAAATCATTGATTATAGATTCCACATTTTTAATCAACTTAAATCGGTCCATTCCAACATCATCCGCAAAATCGATGGCTGCCTCCAAAGAAGAGCGCGTAGCGATTAATTTTGCGCGGATTGGTTCAACGACAGTTCCTGAAAGCATTAGTACTAATTTATTATAAATTTATTAATTATAATAAGATTATTTAAAACTTTATGCAAAGCAAAGTGAAAAAACTAAATTTGCCAGAAAATGAAACATTTTTTGGCAAAAAACTAAAAGAAAACTAATACCTAGAGCACGTTCTTTCACCGCAAGTTTTCGTTGCCTTTGTGTTTCAGCATTAAGTAAGAACGACAGTGATTGTACTTGACTGAAGCTCAGCTTAGAATTAAAGAAGGCACTAAAAGAATTTCATTTCATTAAAGCAAAACATCACTTAAAAATTCAATGAAATTGCGTGAAATGCGACTTTGGAATTTTAAAAGCAATCTGCTTATGGAACCAATGACGAAAATATAAAGGATGAAGAGTTTGCATGATTTAAAGTTCCAAATTATTACGAAAAAACGAAACCACATTTTCAAAGATCTTCATACCGCTTAGTGAATTCACCAGCTTTTGCAGGCCGAACACCATCAAATTCATTTAATGCATCACAAAGAGAATCAACAACAGGACGACTGCCATGTACAAAAAATTCAGCTGTATCTTCACCAGTAAAAGTTGATGGTCCCGAAAAAGCAATTTTAAAAATACAAGAGAATTATTTCCTTCTGCATTTCCGAGGACAAAGTTTCGAATTATCGAAATTAAAAAGCCAGTTTAATTCTAAAAGATACCTGGTAAGAAAACGTTCATCGCTTGATCAATCAATTCGCCATTTTTCGTGAATAGCTTTGAATAGAAAAGTTCACGCGGCACTAGTATTTTTTTCCTTGTAAGTTGTTGCATACAGAAGTAACTTTTGTCACCTCGAAAAAAAATCTCTATAAAAAATCTTCTTATTTAGAAATGTTTGAAAAGACCAACTGAAACCAAAATTTTAGAATTTTTGATAATATTTAAGAATTAAAGCATTCCACTGCAAATTTTTTCATGCCTTTCTTATAGATGTTCGAGCTGAATCGAAGAAAACGAACCACAATATTTCCAGTTTCCGATCACATTAGAACAGATGGACTTTCATTATTACATTTTTTCAGAAATTTAAAGAAATCGGAAACTAATAAAGACATAGGATATAAGATTAATGGAAAAACACCTGAAGTTCGCACAATAGCTATCGCCGAAGGCAGTGAACCAGAACTTAAGGCGAATATTGTACATCGCCTGTACGCGACACGTATTACATACCCGATCTCGAACATTGCAATATTAGATTTTTCAATTTTAGGCGAAATTCCAATCTGACTTTTTTCAAAAAAGAATATAAAAATTTCAACAGAGAACCTGTTTCATCCTTTAATGTTAAATTCTTGAAAAACCCTAGCGGTAAATAGTTCCCTGCACGATAACCAAAATTATATTCTTAAAGCGAACATAAAAACTACACTTTTGATTGGAACTGAAAAAGGCAAATATGCTCATCGATTCTATAAAAAATCAAAAAAAGAATACCCTAACATGCTAATTGCCATGCTTTATTATGCTTTTCGTGTTGACTTTAAACTCGAAACAAGCATCTCAAATGTCTCTAAAACAATTTTTCTTGCCTCAAACCTCAAATCGAAATGGCCAATCTAATAAAACATAGCTAATTTGTTAATGAATGCATCGATGTTTTATATGATAAGCGACTTCTCAAACATTTATTAACACACAAAAAAATCATCGTAAATTTCATTCTGAATTGAATAATTCCATACAACTAATGAACTAAAATAAAGATTAATAAAAATTAAAAGGAAATCTAGAATGAATCACAGCAAATTTATACCTCATTAGATATAAACAATACTTAGAAGCAAAAGAGAACTATGTAGATCTATGATATCTATCAAAACTGATCTATGATATCTATCAAAGTGCATAGCACCAATCCAAAAGAAAAGTCCATACTGAATTGAATAATCCCATATAACTAATGAACTAAAATAAAGATTAATAAAAATTAAAAGAAAGTCTAGAATGAATTATATAAATTATAATGGATTGTAAATTAACTCTAACAAATTGGCTCTAACAGAAATCTTATATCTACGGACTGATAAATAACAGAATCGCTATAAACATAAAATTATAAAGAAAAATTCTTCTCAACATTTATACCACATATCTTTTATGGTTCGGACTCTACAATGAAAAGTGGAATTCCAGTAATTTCCTGAAAATCTAGAAAATAAAATTAGAGGGAAAAAAAATTTGGAAAGATCAAATATAATATACATAAAAACCGAAAACGTTTAATCTTCTTATCACATTACTATTATGAAAACCAATTTCATCTCAGTTCTAAAACAAATGGGGGCAAAATATATCGTCGATCTTGAATATAGTTCAACATAGTTGGTGGCAGCGGTAACGAAGAAAGAGCAGTTGGATTTGCCGAATGACGAATAACCAAACGACAAAGATACTTGAGGGGTGGTAGAAATTCATGACGCTGTAAAGGACGAATTAATGCAACATTTTCAGTAGCCGATCGATCACCTTTTGTGTGCATCAACATGCATATACCACGTTTTTCACAACTTTTTATTGCCTCCTCAACAAAAGCTCTTAATGTTTTAGCTTTCACCAATGAATTTGGACCTTAAATGAAAACTTTTAAGATATCAATTTGTCATTTACGAAAAAATAATATCAATTGAAAAAATAAATATTTAAAATATAAAGAAAAGATGAAATCACATTTAGTAATAATAAAGGAACTATAAAATTAAAAATAGTTGGATATACCAAACAATTTTAAATAAATTAAAAATTTGTAACGGCGCTTATGCTTTACAATAAATTAATTCAAAATAAATTAAATGCAGTTTTGAACCGGATTAATCTTTTTTGCATTGATGTAAGTAAAATAAGTGGTTAATCCTTCTGGCCAACGAGGTTGGAAATTTTTACCTAGGCGATAAGTGGGACATTCGTATTTTTAATCTTTAACGACAAGCTCACTGCTATCGGCATCAATGTTGAAGTCTTTTCCACGATAACCATAGTCGTAGTCCACTACACCTTGATCCACATAAGTACAATAAAACCCATAATAAAATAAAATTACCAAAAATGCAAGATATTCGCAAACCTCCAAGACAAAAAAGACCACCATATTGGGGCAAACGTGTATGATGTACAGATTTTTCTGTGCGATATGATAAAGTGAAAATACAACGATCACTCGCCGAATCGCGAATAAGATAACTACCAGGCTGCGAATGATTCAACAATAATTCAGATTCAATCCAAGTAAGATTCCCCCAGTACCACGGACACTGAGAAATATTAGATATTTATTCAAATGACCAATAAATAAATTTAAGAAAAAATAAAATAGAAAAAGAAAGCTCTAAAAATTCATTTTTTTTTAACATTGAAAAGAACTGGTTGAAATCGAAAAATACTTGTCTTATGCTACGCATAGCTTGAGCAAATGAAATATCAGCTTGTTTGCTAGGCATTTTTATCCATGCATGAAAAAACTGCGATATTTATATCATGTAGATCTACATAAGCATTCAAAATCACTCCATCAGCCATTAAATCTGCCTCCCTATCGCAATAGAATGCAACCAAAAATAAGAACCAGATGTACGCTGACTATTGCATCGCACAACGACTGGTAAAAAACCTTCAATTGAACAAACTAAACTGCTGAAAAATTCTTTAATTTGATTTTTTTAAAAATTGAGAAACTGAGAAATTGAACTGGCAACGTTATTTTTGAAAATATTTTAGAAAAGTGGAACAATAAGCGAACCATTAACCATTAAAAGGATTTTAAATTAGCCAAAAAAGAAATGAAAAAAAAGATGAATAGGGAGCGGAATCAGATACTTATAATCAGATACTATTAAATTAAAATAATAAATAAAATTGCAAAGTTTTATCAAATATATTAAACAAAATAAATAGTTACCGGAAAGTAAACTCATTTCCACCGATTTGTAAATTTATTCTTTACATAGAATTAAAAGAAAACCAAAGCCAAAGCAAAAGCAAAGCTTTTCGATATTAGAAACAACAAAGGAATATAAGAAAAGTAAATATTACAGAAAGAAAGATCAAATACCCGGGTAATGATGGAGACCCATTTTCTATGAACAGTTGATTCTCTGGCAAAATAGGTTTATAACGAACAACGAACAAGCTTAACCAGAAATAATGAATGGATCTAATGAAAAAAATGAAATAACAAATTATAAAAGAGCCAAACAATTTTATTGACGATTTTATTCATCTTTAACTTAAAGAAAGATGGAGACGAATCAAGTAAATCTCTACACAATTCAGTCCAATTAATGTAAATCCTGGTTTGATAAGTTTCATTTAAATTTTTCCTGAGGAAAAAAATTCTAAATAAGGGTCACATTTCGTGCAAAGTTCGAACGAAAATAAATTATGTGAAATATTTATAAATTGCCAAATTAAAGAATTTAAAAACCGAAAGATGTACTGCTCGATTTATTTATTAATGATACATCACTAGTATTTGATTGGCTGTGTGAGATATATTTTAATTTTTCTTGCATTGAGGGTGATAAACGCTGTATCGCTTGCTCGGCTTCATTTTTTACAAAGTCACCAACATACATATATTTCATATGATAAAGTAAATCACATACTGAATCTTCATACTGTAAGGTCCCAACTTGTTCATTTACCTTCACAGTCATTTTATAGATATCAATGGCTAACTGAAATATTTGCTCTGTATAAAAAAGAATAAAAATTTAATTACTAAATTTGTCGAAAGAAATTACCTCACACCTTTAAAAATTGATGTGGTTAATAACATTAAAATCTCACAACCAAATTCATTCACCATTAGAAAAATTTAAGCTGAATAGATAAAACCAACATCCTGAATTTGCTTGCTTCGTTCCTTTGCATCATAGAACCGCTGTAAAATTGGTACAACCAAACGCAGAACAAAAATAAGCTGAGCTTCCGTAATTAATTTTGGCGCCAACTGCTCACGAACAAATTCAGGTAAAGCACCCAGTGCACTCTTAAATCAAGATATTATATGATTTTCTAAACACTGAATCAATTAAATTACCCAGCAAAAATTATTGCATTATAGGCAACAATGAATATTAATTCATATTAATTAAAATAATTCAGATTAATCTGATTTATATACAGAAATTAATAACCGTGTTACAATGTTGCAAATATGCATGTCCCAGAGCGATATTGGTTAAAAGTTGGCTCTCTGTTAATAAAAAGCACTCGTTTTCAAGAGTATCAAAACAAATTGATGGATCAGCTAAATAAAAAATATAATTAAACTAAAAATATATACTTGAATATATATAAACATAATAATAAATATCGTTAAACCAAAAAAATTTTTAAAGAAACGAAATAAAACCTTGAAGAAGCGTTTCGGAATCAAGAACAGAAACAATATGCTCATAGAAAACGCTTTGATATGGGGAAGGAAGAGAAGTTAATATCAATGCAACTGTATTAATAGTGGCGTAACTAAAGAAACCAAAATTTAGCAATAAAGAGAAATTTCCATTTTAATACTAATGTAACAGTTAATAGAATTTTTAGCACTTAAATCCATCTGGAATTATCGAAAACTACTTTATACTTATATTTATACTTTCAAAATAAAATATTTTCATAATGCAAACCATAAATGATAAAAAACAAAAGTAACGAACGGCTGATGAAGAGGACGAACGAAAACAGTGTCAATGAGTGCTCTAGTTATTACATTAGGTGGATGAGGTGAAGCAAGAATTTCTATGCATGCTCCTAAAAGAGTTTGACTTGCTGGTGGCATTTCAGCAAATCGCCAATCCTATAAAAAACGAATGATTAATTTGAAGAAAATGAATAAATTACGTATTATCCCGCTATACTGGCTATAATATAGTATAAAAAAGATGTTTAAAATACCCAAAATATTAAACATGACAAGAGAAATTGTAAAAAATACTTTTAAAGAATTTGACCTTACAAACAAATGATGGTGGTTGATGAGCGTAAAAACACGATTGTATAATGCGATCTACTAGTGTCTGGCAAAGCTGTGAGGGCATAATAAGTTGATAATTATCATTCATGAAAGCCGGTGAGACAATCGCAAATTTTGTATCACTTAAAACATTCTTATATATTGGATTAATAAATCTGAAGAAAAAGAAAAATTTAATTTTAATTGAAAAATTATAAACTAAAGAATGAGTGGAAAAATAAATGAAAGTTTAAAAAAAAGGAATTAAAATTGCAAAATTACTTTAGAACTAAAAAGAAGAGAAAATATTCTCCAAAATGAATTTACACTCTGCTAAAGTAATAAGCAAAAAGCCTTAATTAAAACGTTAATAGTCTATGCAAAATTGAAGAAAACTTATCTTCTAATTGGCCACAGATTTCGGAAACAAACAACCTTGCACGACCAGCAAGTGTCATACATTTATCATGCGTATAAAGAACGTGATACATGAACATAGTCGGTTGAGCTAAAATTTTATAAAGTAATAATTTTATAAAGTAATTTTTGATTTTTATGAGCTAGAATTTAATTTTAAGCGCGTAAAACATACGATGAAACCTGTAAGCAGATTTGAATCCCATCAATAAAGATGAGAATAACTGGTCTGAAACCACTGGTTCAAATGCACGCATAAGTAGTACATCAATCACCTTAAACGAATCAGAGTAAAATAAAGCAATCACAAAAATAAAAGAAAACAGTTAGTAACAAAATATGAAAATTAAACTACACTCGCGATAATTATAACTTAAAAATTAGGATTTGCTAAAATGCTTCAAAATATTATAAAATAGCAATGTAAAGATGGCCATAAGCTCATTATTTTACCCAGAAACATTGTAGAGGAATTTTTACAATTAAAAAGAAAAACTGATTAATCTTTTCTGAACTTTTTTAGTATCAAGAAGCAATTTTTCTTTAAAGAGAGTAAAGAAGAAAAGCATAAAATATTTTTTTCGATTTGAATAAGAATAACTGAGGAATAAAAAAGATATAAAAGAAAATAAAAAACAAACTGGAAGCATCCTTTCAACAATATTACTATAATATATAGGCATATGACACTCAGATATAATCGTAGATTCCATAGGGCGCATACCCATTTCCATTTGCATTTCGCGTCGCAATTTCAGTTCCAGCTCACGATAAGTTAACTCTGGATGTTGCTAAAATAGTAATCTTTATTTTCATTTTAAACATTTTCATCAATTACGTTTCAGAATTAAACCAGTCAGGTGAAAAATAGTAAAACATCAAAACACACGCTATAAAATTCATTCAGTTTGTTGAAATACGATAAATTCGTGTTAATAATTTTATTGGATGGAATATAATGCGATATAGCAGCCATTCGAGCTCTTAAATCTGGGAATGTACTAACCTGAAAATATCGCAGACTTATATTTCAATTAATATTTGCCTATTCTTTCGAAACTTTTCCAAATATTTTAATAAACTAAGAAAGAAAAATAAAAAATAATTATTCTAAAGAAAAAAAACTAACTAGTGAATGTATTATTAAAAAAGCGATTTCTGAAGATCGATCGTCAGTTGGATGAAGTACAAGTGAAATTAAAAGACGATCAAAAGGAATAAGGTGAAATGAGAAAATCATATCATTAAGAACAGAAACCATCTAAAAATTATGCAAAGTTATCATCAATTTTAGGTTTAACAAATTTAGTTTCTATAAAAGTTCTGTTAAAGTTATTTTTTTGTAGCGAATGATTCACATATATTTCAAAAATCGCTTAGTAAATATGGATATACCGCAGTAAAAGCTGAGTCTTCAGGCAAATTTTTTTTCAGCAAATAAACAAAATAATCCACAAATTTGTTGACCATGATAATTATCTCCTTTGCGTTTAATGAACCCAAAATCCTATAAAATTAGAACTATATTAGAAGCAAATCTGTAAAACCGCCAATATAAATATAGTTATAAATGTGGTTTAAAAATATGGCTCAAAAATAAAAATACAGTTAAAAATTTACAGGCTAAAACTGAATAGAAAATAAAGAAAAAAGAAGTCAATGATGAACGAACCCATAAAAAACTGGATGAACTTTTTTGGTCTCATAAACAATATTGTAAAGAACGCAGAAAAGGGTACATCTTTTTTCAACGGTGAAAAATTTTATTAGCTGTTCTTCAGGTGTTATCGCCTGATTGAATAGAAAGTCTAAAGAAATCTAAATTTATTTTTAAAATTGAATTTTATGAATGTTCTTAACAAAATCTAAACAGCAGAAAATATATCACAGATAATCTTGTAATATTTGATTTGGTAAAAACGAAAGTCCAGTTATATGCAAATATAAATACCGAAAAAAAAATGGCAGTACACCTTGAGTATGTCGCACATCTTGGTGCACACAATGCAGTAACTCTTCAAGATGAGTAGTATCAGTACCTTCATCGATTGTACAACCGAAAATCTGCCCACTAAACGTTCGACTTATAGAAGCCGGCCAACTGAAATTTGCATTACAACGCTGCAAAACTTCAGAAGGCATTTCGATGCCTGAAACTTTTTTGTGGGTTCTTGAGATATGCAAAAAGCTGCAAAAATACTTCTATATAATCCTTCTTTCTTATTAAACAAATTCATTAAACTTTACCTGTCATTTTCAGACCTCTAAATAATGAAAGTAGAATATATCGCAAAACTTCGGGAGACATATGTAGTGAATGCGTTCGTTCATGTACAACTGTTGAAATATGCTGAGGCTCATAGAATGAATTCGGTGAATTAATTAAAGCAGTGAATTTCCCTTGTTTTCCTTAATATAACTGAATTAATAAGCAGTGAGTTACAATAATATTAAAGCTACCTAGCAACGGAAAGAAAATTTAAATTTAGAAAAAAGGAAAAAGGGTAAATTCAAAAATTATGGGATCTTCAAAGAAAGCGATAAAAATTAAAAATTTTCGAAAAGCAAACCGAATAAAACGCTACACATAACAGACAATTCAGATGGTGTATTCCACAGCCAATAGCGCAATAAAACTTGCTCCAAAGACGAATATAAAGTGTGATTCATTTGTACTTGTGGACAGCTTATAGCCGAATAACACTGCAGAATCACGCTGACCTAGAATAACTGGATAAAAATTTTTAATTCACATCAAAATCACAAGCAAAACTTCAATTTTGCCTTTCTTTTTGAACTTTATAGAAATTAAGAAGAATATGAATATCTGATATTAAAAGGAGTAATCAATACATTACCTTGGAATATGCAGGAACTGGATAAATAATCAACCGATAAGACAAAATCTCACAAAGGATAAATAAAAGTTCTCGGGAGCGATCTGTATGGCTATTTGGATTCATGTTGGCATTTGTCGTAATTGTGGTCAAAGCTTTTGCCATAAGAGATAATAACTGTTTTACACCATATTCGAATTCGGTAGTCGCTGCGAGACGCACCAAAGTATCTAAAATACTCAGTATTTTATACCTAATAATATTTAAAACCTAAAAGTATAATTCAATCAAAATCAAAACAGAAATAACAACAAACCAATAGATGCAGGACTAGGATACTTTAAATTGTGTTGAACAGACAACAAGGTTGTTATTTTCACCATACATAATTGAAAAAGATGACTTCGAGCATGAAATGTAAGCGAATCAATTAAAGGAAGAGGCAGTGGTATCTTTTTTGGATAACAAAGAACCCCATAAGGCAAGCGCCCAACATCATCCCCGGATCCATCCAGAAATATATCAACAGCAGAAAGAACAAACTTTTGGAAATTTGGCATGTCATTGCTATCTAAAAATTTATCAAAATTTATTCTTTTACTGATTTTAAATACTACAATAATTATATATAAACAATATTAAATAATATTAGTTAAAAAAGATCATGAACAAAGAATTTATATAAAACACTACGTATAACAGTTTTAAGTTTAAACCTATGGTATGAATTAAGGAAAATATAATCGATAGATCCAGTCAAATTTTAATAAAGAGCATTGTTCATTGCCAAGAGCAAAGCAATGTTAAGAAAACTGAGAGTTCTGCATTATGTAATTGTACTATGGGAATATAATAGGTTATGAAAGGGATTATTTCCTATTTTCAAAATCATTTTCATCTATAATTGCGGTTACGGTTTTTTCAGTACCCAGTAGCAGTACCCAGTTCAAGAGTACCCAGTAATTTCAAAATATTATAAAGATTTTATCTAATACCTACGCAACATATCTACGATTCTAATTAAAAAATCCTTTTATAATTCTATAATTCGAAAATGCGAACAAAGCGGTGCAACTAACATGCATTAGCCACAGCTGCTAATACTGCATTATGATCAGCCACATTTTGAATAGCTGGATCTGAATCAGCCGTTCGCTCTTGAAGAAACTGTATCTGTCGAAATAAAGATTCTGACGGCTTTGGCAACAAATCTGTTTGGTTACCCAATTTTTTGTAGAAATGTATCCAAATTGCAGCTGGGACGAGAAAACGAACAAATAACAATGGATCGGTATCAGCCCCAGACCATGTCTGCTCATCACTGAAAATAATTTAATCATATAAATTCAGCTTTTTTCTAATATTAATAATATCAAGTAATATTCTTAGAATTTTTTTAAAAATTCAGATAAAACGAAAGAGAAAAAAAACAGAATGAAACATGTTATCCAAATTTGCTTGCCAACAAATACTCAGTTTTACTCAGTTTCAGCTCACAATGTTGTACAATTTTAAATTTAAAAAGTAAAAAGCAAAATAAATAAATACTACAAATAATTGTTATTAATTGAAAATCAACCTGTAAAGCAAACTATAAATATCGGCGATTCGCATCATATCTTCATTACTAACTTTTGCAATATATACAGCTACATATTGAAGAATCACCCACATTAATTCGTTCCTACCTTTTCGGTATATAGTCTCTATTAACTACAATATTGCACAATAGATAATAGTTAAAAGATAATTTTAATAATTATATTAGATAAGAATGCCAACAATCAAATGAAAATGAAAAGAGAATGCAAAATATCGATAGATAAAATGATAAAGATGAAAGAAAACAACTTTGAATATAGAAATCTAATTGTTTTTGAACTTACAGATTCATATAACATTTTCAGAAGCCTAGAAAAAGATGCGTTGCCATGAAGCAAAGTAAATGTCACTGTATGCGTAACATTCATCCACTGATATTGATTTGCAGGATCATCAAGTCGAATCTCTGTTTTCTCCATTTCGCTCATTGCTTCAAGTATGATCATATGTAACAATTCGTCACATTGAATACGTTGGGGACTCACATTGGTACTTTGCCGCATTACATGCTAAAATAAAATAAAAATAGCGAGGAGAAAAGTTTTATTCCATAAAAATCAAGCCAAAAACAGTTCTTACTTCAACATCGAAAAATTATATTTTTTTAAAAATGTCTTTCATTGAGGATTCATCTTATTAATCAAACTTCCACAGCAAGTGAAAAGAAAACATAAAAATATATGAATAAACAAATAAAGCAAAAATATACAGAAATAGCATCTTTTCCACGAGGCTGACGAATGAGTGTATATAAAAGAGATGACTGTGGGGCGAACAATTCTGACTTGTAGGGCAGATGAGCCCTTTGATGAAGTCTAAATGTTACTATTTCTAGTTTCCATGATGAGGCGCTAGATGGATAAGAAACATGAGCTGACAGTGGAAAGAGCCATGGTCGCCCAATTACGGTAACCATTTCCGTCAAAGGACGAAATGATATGAACATTTCATTGAATTTTTTTGCCACTCTCTGCAAAAAAATGAGTAAATTATTTTAAAATATCTTTGAATCATGTTTTGTTCCTGAAAAATTATTTCAAAATTATCTATTTCCAGACGCATGCTTTATGTAACATATAGAGCATCATTCATTTCAAAAGCCTTACTCAATAAACTCACTTTCTATCACCCATAGAAATTAGTGAGGTATCACTCAAAAAATAGCTTTGATTATCTACGCACAAATATAGACATAATTATAAAAAAATTAATATAGTAGATAAATTTTGCACAAATACCGGTAAAAGGAAAGCTCTAGAATTATTCGACACCCGATGCAGTTCAGTAATGGTGAATAAGCAAGGCAACAAATTGAGTTTTCGATCGATCATTGTAAGGAGCATCTGAAAAAAAATACGGCAGTAAATTGAAAAAAAAAAGAATCAGAAACATAACATGGCTGATGAAGCCTTTAATCTTTTATCATTAAATTAAACGTAAATTTTTTTTCCCATTAACGAAATAAAAAGCTTATTCTCATAAATCACCATGAAAAATATTTCTTCCTATACAATTAATTGCATTTTCATGAAATAATAAAGCAAATAATAAAGAAGCAACATTTTCTACAGGTAACAACATTTGTCGATGAGAATGTGTAATTGTTGGTGGTATTTCTTGCATTCTCTCCACAACAAGTAATTTTAATAGATTTCTCAATCCTTTATAATCAATAAGATGCAAATTTTTTTGCATATATTCGAACTTCTGAGTGTCTAATGGCGTTGACAAAGTAAAATTTGTGTTCAAGATAAGTAATTCACAACATTCTCTGCAAAAAAAACTCCCAATAAATTGAAGATTCCAAAAAAATAATGATTAAAAATATCATCAAATAATATATATGCAAAAATTTAATTCTAAATAAATTTTCAAAGTGAATTCCATTCGTATAAAAAATATTAACATTTCCCAACTCATCACAGATTCATTTGAAGACAAAGACATGAGTAAGAGTTATAAGACCACCGAGAATTTTTAAAAAAAAATTTACATTTGTACTTATGATAAAGAGAACTTTATGATACTCAACTTCAGTCGAAGTAATGGATATATGTTCGAACTCCTCGATTATTTCGCCCAATTAAATTTCATAATAAGATTTAAAAATTATATAAAAATTAAAAAACTCGTTGATTATTGATTTTATATAAAAATAGAAAATTCATATGAAATGTAACTTTCATTAATAAAAAATACTCTAAAAAATAATCAACTAACAATTATTTATTTATAAAATAATACAAAAAGTTTTTTAAAAATACTAAGGAAAAATTGCTTAAGAAAATATTAATAAATAATTTATAAAAGAAAAAAACGAACGATAGAGATAGTGTCCCAGCATTACAAGCAGCGATAAAAATTGCGGAAAGCATTCTTTCAATGTGTACGTAACGTGGATCATCTTTATTTGACAACAAATTCAAAGCCGATTTGCAACATTGCGTTTTTTCTTCCTAAAAAATTAAGAAAAGATAAGAATTTTTATTAATATAAAAGCCTCACTCCTAAGTTAAAAAAAATCTAAAGAAAAAATTGTATATATAAAAATGCAAAAGCATGAAGAATGTTTATTCATACATCAGTCATTGTTTTTAACAACTTTATCGCTTCATTGCAAGTTACTTCTTCCATATCCACGTTTCGGCTAATATTCCAAAACATTTCGCGCATCTGCACACTGTCCTGCAATCCCACTTTCTTGAATCGAATTTCGCAATGGAATTTTGACAATAAGTTATTAAGTCGAAATATTTCCAATAAAAAATTTTGGAAAATAGTTCGAGCGAAATACAAAAATATTAGAAAAAAAGTATTAAAAAATTAAGAAAATACTTTTGAAAAAAGCTTCATGTCACTAATAAAATCCGTCCAGGAAGTGAATATAGTCTAATATTAATACTTTTTTTGAATTCAATTTTTTGTCCAATTTCTCCAAAAATATGTGAAATCCATATTAAAAAACTTACAACATGGTTCATAATAATTGCTTGTAATTTTTCAGCTTCATTGCCAACTGCTGATTCGCTTGGTTGAAAACCAGTAATACCACTGACTTCAACAGCATTCGACATTTTTAACTGCCCAGTTCTGCAAACAAATGAGTATAAAACATTCTAAACTATATAAATTACTTCGCCGTATCTTCTGAGAAAATAAAACTTAGTAAAAAAGATAAATAAATTATTAAAGTAGAGCACCTAATAAGTGTGCACGAAAGCAAAAAATATAAAGAAATAAGACAAATAGGTTAATTCTTCACGAAAGAAGAGGCCTGAGAGCAGAAATGAAAGAGTATAAGGCTAGGAAAAACGGAAAAGGCAAGCAAGTCACTCGATGACGAAGAGTATAATTAATCTACATCAAAACCATTATAACAGTACATAAATAGGCATTAACAACAAGCAAGAGAAAAATTGTTGAAATATAAAATATAATATTGAATATAAAAAACATTTAAGATATTACATAATATAAAAGGAATGAACTAAAGCGACATAATACGTTGACTACAAAAAGCCTGGTGGGACCAACCTTCACGAACTCAGAAACATGCCCCACAACCTCGCAAACCAGGCAGCCAGGCTAGCACAACCCTTTCTGATTCTGATACTTTACTTTTCATAAGCACAACCACAAAGAATTTGAACATACCGACTAATAAAAATTCAGTTATAGCAGTATCTGTGGCACTCCTGCGACCGACAATTAGTAAATCGGCTTAATTTTTTCAGCTTTTCGGATCGCTTTTTTTTTAATTTATTTAATAATTACGGAGTTTTTTTGCGGTTGAATGGGCATCGTAACCGAATAAGCTAATCCTTAAGACTTTCCCATAATTTATTTGAACTTATTAAATTTCTAAAGTTTAAATTACAGTTTAAGTCTCTAGCAATTTGAATATTTTTCTTCGTATTTGTTTCGAAATTTGTTTAAAAAAGTTTAAATTTTTCTGCCAAAAATAGTAAAAAATTTCCTTTAGATGGCACCGAGCAAAGACACCAATTTTCACCTAGCAAGCTCGTCGAGAATCGTTCAGGAGAAGAGCGATGATTTTTGGGTGGTTGTCGCTCCCGTGCACTTTGGTCTCAGGCAAGGAGTCTTACTGTTTTGCTTATTATTATTATCGTCAGCAGTCAAGGAGTCTGATTTGAGTTCTAACGTTTTTTAAGATTTCTCTTTTCTTTGCACTAAAACTAAATTAGGTTTGTTGCCTTTGCTGAAGGCCTATATTAGCCTCCTTCTTTGACAATAAGAAATAAATGCTTCTAGTTATGTTATGAATAATTAGTTATTAATAGGCACGGATAAGCAGTTATTTATCTTTCATTGCTTATATCACATATATAGCAAGAATAATAATTTACGCAAAGCTTATGCGATAAGTAAGAACGTGTGTTTTTCTTTCTCTCAAAATTTGTCATATAATATAAAGTTGGTCTGTGAAAAATTTTTAATTCTATTATAATTATTTTAATATAAATGTTAAAGTACAAAAATTTTTTCAAAATTTTAAAAATTGTGGAAAAGAGTATATATATTCTTTTTAATTTCAATCAAATTGGATTAAAAATTGTGAATTTCAGTAAAATTATGATTTGGTGGTTTTAAGAAGAGTACGTGCTTGGCACTCGTTAGGCTAATTTCGTTAGCGTTAGTTGATTGTCGTCGCGCTTAAAAACCTAATTTTTGCTTTCATATAAATTTCCAGGGTAGGGTTTCACTTAACGACAAAAGTGCCACCTTGGGATTTCAAGGAAATAGGTAATTGTTGGTAATAGTAAGCATTAACAATTTTTTAGGAAGATTGTCTGCAGTTTTCGGTTCGAAACGTCAACTGTTAACCCGAAGAATATGTCAGAAGTAAGTATTTTCTTTAAAACTTCTGATTCTCTTCTTTTTTTTGTTTCAGTGACTTTATTTTTCCTTATTTTTCCTTATTTTCCAATTATATTAATTACTTACGGGTTCGTCGTAGAAATTTCTTTTGATAATATTTTATCTCCTGGTCATAATTTTCATTAATTGGGTTATTCAGTAATCGAGTTGTTAATTGGATTTTTATGTCTAGTGTTTTGTTATATATGCAATATTATCTTAGGCATTACCGGTCTACACATTGTGGATTTCATCGTTGGAAGACCCATTAGTTCTTTATTTTTGTCAAATGGATTCAACAAATCCTTTGTGTAAACGTTACGCATCGCAGATTTCTCGGATTCTTAAGACTCTAATAATAGGAGCTAATTTATTGCCAACAGATGCAGGAAGGTAAAGTTTGCTACATTTTATATTATTTTTATATTGCAATCCAGTTTTATCAGAAATTAATTGATTCATTAATTTAGTGCAATCATAAACTTGATCGGTGAGACCGATGTTGGCCTTATCATACGATTTCTGAATGGTGCAGTTGATTCTGACATTCCACCTGTCATTCATATTAATTTGAACACACCAACTGATGTGCATTGGAAAACCCATTTGCTTGCATCTCTTGATATCATCATGGTAACTCTTTGTTGCTTATTCATTTGTTTTGGACAATATTTTTTCTGTCAATATGGATGAAAAATCTGATTTTTACCTTCATATTACCTTCACACCAAGATAGTATAACAAGATATAAAATTAGTTTTCAGTAGTTTTCAGTATTTGATAACTTTTCTAGCATGATCTAAAACGTGAGCGTTGGCATCGAGAAATGTTAGAAAAGGATGCAGATAGTATGAGGAGTCGAATTGCTCAAGTAATGTACCAAACATTTTATTGTACTTTTTATCGAATTATGAAAGGGCTTTATTTGTTTAATCCTTTTTTGTTTTTGGATGGAGCGAACTATTTGGTGGCAGGAAAAAGAACTAGCTTTGCTTTACAATATAATACGACAACAAACTGCTGCTAGTGTTGCTGTTAATGAAAATTTTGATGCTGAACAGCTGAAATCAAAAACTGATGATGAATATGAAAAAGAACCACAAAACACTACAATTGAAGAAGTTAATGCGATAACTGCGATACTGCCCATCGATTCTTTGTCGAAGAAAAAAATTCGAAATAAGGTTTGTGTCTGCCTGTATCAATTTTTTTCCACAAAATAAAGAATTTTTGATAAATATTATATTATATTTTGTAAAATTTCTTATTGTTTATTCAATTAAGGTTTTTTTTTAGCAAATATCAAGTCGTAAAAGCAAAAATGACGATTGTGTTCGTGGCTTAACTTCACAAGATTTTTGTTCTTTATGTCCAGGCGAAGCTTCATTCACAGATCAAGAATGCATGAGGAAGCACTTTATAAGTCGTCATCTCGATGATGGTTTATTTTCTTTTTTTAAAAATTTATTATTGAAACTAAATTAGTTTTGAATAAAAATCAAATTTCTTGATCGGCAATGCTATCGTATTTTCTATGTTCAACATTTCTACATTTTAGAACTAGGAAAATGTATGGCTTGTCCGAACATATCGAATCGTGTTGATCCAGCTAGCCATATGAGGGCTCACATAATAAGGATTTATGCCTGCAAATTTTGTGGCAAAGAAGGCAGAAAACATTATCTTAAGGCTCACATTCGTACACATACGGGTGAAAAACCGTTTAAGGTTGCTTATCATTTTTTCGCTAGTTCTTTAGGATCTTTAGGAAGATCCTAAAGAATTCTTTTATTTCGGATAACTGCATTTCTTGTCGATTTTAGTGTGCGATTTGTGCAAGGCGGTTTGCTGATTCGTCAACTTATAGACGTCATCAGTTGGTTCATACGGGTGAAAAAAAATTTTCATGTCCAATTTGTGGGCGATGCATTGCGAGGAAGGATAATGTGAAGACACATATAAAGAGTCATGAAAGGTTTTATACTTATACTTTTATTTTCATGAATGTTCCTTCGTTAGTTGGAAGCTATATTGAATTCATTTTGAAATCTATTTATAAATTTTGCTAAATTTTGTTTTTGAAAATTATTTAAATTTTCAGGAATATGAAACCACTTGATAGTACCATATTATTTTCGACTTTATTGAACAAAAGTGATATTGTTTGATGCACATATTTGCTTGTTTTATTTTTTACTATTAATCATTCCTAAAAATAAAAATACACAGATCTCGTGTTCAAAAGCAAATATTGACAATAAATGTATAACAAATAAAAATTGCTTCCAAATTTGAAAACTGTATCAAACTCGAATATTATCTTCAAAAAAAGCTTTTGATTTTTATATATATTTGAGAAAAAAATACTCATCCTTATTAGGTTGATCGCAGTGCCGAATTTTGGAGCTGTTTGGAGCTGTTCGAGGATGGTTTGGTTAGAAACTGTTGGCTTAGGCGATCCATTTGAATTAATGGGCGAATTAATGTAAGACGTTTAATTTTTCTGATCACTTTGAAAGTTATTGTCGTAATTATTAAAAAGTGGTGTATGTACATATTAAGTTATAAAAATTTTGGAAATCATAGGGGATGTATTGATTACTAACAGAATTAGAAGCAATTCTTAGAGGTTTCGAAATTTTATAAGATATTTCATCCACAAATTTACAAAGTAAAGGAAGTGTGAAGCGAGTCTGAATAAATTCTGCAATTAAATTTCCGAATCTTTAAGAGGACTCCAAGAAAGTCTTTTATCACAACTAAGAAGTACCGAATATCAGGAATTCGATGCAAAAATATACACATACGTTGGTTTTTTTCATTGAAATTTTTATATTGTACACTTTTTAGGTTTATCAGCATATTTGCTTTTATTTGTATTTTCTTATACGATTGATGAAAACTAAAAGGCCTAGAAAACTTAAAAACTTGGAAATTTAAAATTTTCATTCGTAGATCTATTCGGATTTTTCGTCAATGTTTGCCAACTATTCATCGAACTGTGGCACAAAAATCACAGTTTTAATTTTTACGCCTATATTTTATCGTTTTTTAAATGTACTGAACAAATATAAGGCCAATATATAAAAAATTAGTGCACTTCCCATATTTTTTCTTGCTTTAAGAATATTGATAACAGTGGTATTATGTTAAAATAGTATCTATCATTGTTGGTAATTCTACTAACTGCTGATTTCGCCAAATTTGCTTGGAAATAGAGGGACAAATGGGTCAGAAATTGAACCTAAGGTGACTCGCCGAAGGAGTACGAAAAATTGACTTAGGTAACGGACTTTGTGTGATTTTTAGGTGGCTCAAATCCAGCATTACACAGAATTATTACATACAGTACATTCGGATATAATTGGCCTTAGTCATCGAATACGAGCATTAGCAATTCGAGCAAAATCATTAGAAAGGAATCGAGCTACTGCAGTTCAATCTCAGTTATCTTGATATGTATTCTTATTTATTTTTTTAAAGCAATAAATCTTTTTACATAATTTTTAATATTGTTTATTTCGACCCATTCTGGATGGCACAACTGATCATTTAAAATATAAGCAATAAAAGGATCGATAAATTTATTTTTATTTTTGTATTCATGGTACTTTTAAAGTTTTTTGTTTTTAACGATTAACCGCTGATCATTGATACTGATGATTGTGGAATCGTAGCGTCCATTTAACTCAGTACGATAGAAGAAAGAAGGAAGATGATCTGCGATCACTTCCAATAAAACGACTTTTTATTTCTTTAAGAATAAATCTTCCTGAAAGACAAAAAAACGATTATAAAATGAATGTGTAATGATCCTTGAATGATTATACGGAGAAGAAAAAGCTTTGACCGATATGATTGCTAATGGCAGTGACCGCATTAAACACATAATCAAAGGTTTAAGTACCGTCGAAGGTCGTATGGTCGTATTCATAGCATCCATCAGCTGTTTGGTTGAATATTGAATATTATCATCACAATTATCACCGTTATCACCGCCGCATTACGGATGAAACGTCGATAACAATCGATAGATGTAAGGAAAAAAGTTAATCGCGAATTCAATCGATTTAGTTGAAAAACGTTAAACTTTGTCGAAAAACTTTTAACCAAACATCAATCATAATTGTTGGGAAAATAATTTTGTGTAAAAAAAGAATTTAAGCTCAATAAAATATTTTTAGGTGAAATAGCAGCGCATAAATCTTTTATATTGGAGTTGAACTGCTATTTTCAAACATAAAATCAAATAATTCCATAGGAGCGAAGAGACAACCGTTCGATCCGAGGAAACGACCAAAGCTGAAAGAAAGCAGTGCGCTATTTGCACCGCTCGCCGATTTCTATTAGATTTCGACTAACCAACCTAGCAGCAAATAACCTTTTCGGTTTGCAAGCTGCGCTGACAATTAGCAGCAAAATTTCGAGTTACTCGAGAATAGGAGTTCGGTGAGTGCCTTAAGGCTCGGAATTTCTGGCGGAGCGTGGTGTCACGGGAAGTCGGATGGATTTTTTCCTCGTCTAATTTGGCTTATCGATAAATATTTCGATCAATTTCAGCTAAAATTACCAAACAATTCTCAACAAAAATTCTCAGTTGAAATTATTATAGTTTGATCAATTCGAATGGAACGGTTGAAAAAAAATTTAGCAGAAAATCGGAATCGATTGATTGAATTCAATTCAGAAATAACCGAAAAAGAAAAAAATTATCGACAAAATAAGTTATTAAAATTAATAATTAAATAATTTTATAAAGCATTTAATGGTTATTTTTTGTAATTATTGAAGAAAGGTTAAAGGTTAAAGGAAAAAAGGAGAAAGGAAAAAAGAGGGCGAAATTCGTGGAGTGTCGATGTAGAGAAAAGTGTAATAAAATGAAAGAATTACGGGCAAACAAAATACAAACATCGACGGTGATTCGAAAGCGATTCTCGATGTGATCATTTGTGAAAACGAACTCCAACCATCATCATCGTCATCATCAAATTCACCGACGCACCAGTACAGCGAAGAAGACAACGACGACGACAATTAAACGCGAACGAGCCTCGGTCGGCACTGCTCTTTATCATCTCCGTTATCATTATCATTGTTATTAATATAACTGTTTTATTCGTTTTTTATTTAATAATTTATTTCAATATTTATTGTTTGTTTGCTTATTTATTTTTATTCGACTTATATTCGACTGATATTATATAAATAAGAAATGAATTCATTTGCGACTTGTGATAATTCAATAACGACAACGACGATTACGAACGACTCTTCATGGCTTCTTAATGTCAATAAAAATTTTAGTCTACAGGCCGAACATTTGACTATCGGTTGGTTTTCTTACTCGTTTTTACTGAATTGCAATCCAGAAATTACTGCTTAATATTTCGTATTCCTAATATGCATGAATTTGCGAAATGTGGTGTCGCATTGAATTCGATCGAAATCCACTTACCAGTTGAATTTAGCAGAACTGGTTTAGCCAGTTTCATTTATTACTAGTATGAATGCCATTCGTGGGGGAGGCAGTGGAGGAGGATTGAGCTGCTTGGCTTTAAGTGTGAAAGGTTTACTTCTGCAAAGAAAGAAATATAATGCATGTTGCTTATTTGCTCTCAGCCGAAGCGCTATACCACCAGTCAGCCACTTTAATTTCATTCAAAGAGCTGGAGCGACTAAATCCTCGAAAGTTTAGCCTTAGTCCAGTCTTTCGATTTTCTTTTCGACCTTATGCTTATCTATTAAATTCTTCGATATTAGCTTTACGAGAACTGCCTTAAAGGAGTAGCAATATGCGAAAAGGGGGTGAAAGGCAGTCCCGCGGAAAACCCGTTGCTCGCTGGTGCGTTCTCTTTGCTGGTAAGATATCGACAGTTCCACTGAGTAATTAAAATTTTAACGTTAATTTGAATCGAGTGTTATAAAGGAAAGATCGATTCAAGAAAGACAAATATTTTGTTTTTCTTTCCTTAGAAAACACAGTTGCCTTCGCTTCTGATAATAAATGAATTCAACCAAATCAATGTTTTATAAACTTTTCCACGACTAAACTTATCAACGAAAAAAAAGGAGATATGCAACAATTTAAAAAATAGAAAACGTTATATTCAGCGATATTTTTTTATTTTTATTCTAAATTTTTCAAAAGAAATCGCTTTTCAGTGATTTTTAAAAAACATTCGGATAAATGAACATCCCTAAACGTAAATGAAGGTGATATAAGCATAAACATACGTGCTTCTATCCTTAAGTGATTGTTTGGCGACAGAGCCAACTATCAGCCGAATATTCCAAATATTCCAAGCGTCCATTCAGCTAAGCATTCTAGCCAAACCAGCAGTAATTTGCACAATCTTAGAACAAGTGCAATATATACATATATATATATATGAAAAGTATATAAATATATATAAATATAATTCATAGAGGTTATTACATTCATTCATTCAGAAATAAAACTAATTCAGAATAGATTTTTTATTTATTTAGTTTATTTATTTTTATTTATTTACAATTATTTATTTAAAATTGTTATTTATTTACAAAATTTGTTCAGCTATTATAGTCACTGATTCAACAATTTTATAAAGTAACATTGCCTCAAAAAATCAATTAAAATTTTTAAAATTTTAATTCTTCGCAAAAAAATATTTTTAAATTTATTCATATAAATTCATATTTAGTTTAATTAGAAAGCGCTCAATTTAAATTTAATGTTAATGAAAAGTGGAAAAATGTCTTTTCATTTCCGTGAAATTCAGTGATTAATCTTACTGGATTTCCAGTCAGATCAATTTCAGATCAAATTTTTATCTAATAAATCAAGTCAATTTTAGATCAAATTCTTCATCTAATGAATCAGATCAACACTTCTGTAAAAAATGGCTTATTTAATGCGCAATTGGCGAATCAGATTTTTGTGCTCTGTCAGCAACTCAAAACATCCGGTCAAATCCTGGAGCAATCCCACAAAAGTTAGTTGTTTTTCAGATCAAACGAGTGATTAAAAATTTATAGATTAAAATTTAGATAGAAATTATGTTGTCTTCCATAATTTTCATTATTCTAACGAGCACCATTTCTGGTTTCGCTAGCGCTATCCACTATTAGGCGGTTGGACTACTTCTCTATTCATGTCAGTGTAGATTTGTAGACTCCAGTAGCTTTTCATTTTTATTCACAAATTTATATAAGTTGATCCATGTTAGAATTCGAATCTGTGGTGACTTATGCTATGCTGAAAATGCCACTCGGTTACTGTGTCTTCTTCTAAATAATCGTCTGATTAAATTTTTTATTTTCGCTAAGGTATAAAAGTGCTTTTAAAATATTTACCTTTTGATGAATAATAGGTGTCTTAGCTAACGAAATATCCGGGTTTTTTTGGGATAATGCAACTTTCTCGAATTGTCCACCTTGCATTCATTTTATGAATTGAACTTGGCTTATATATTTTAATGAAACTCATCTCATAAATTGCTAAAAATTATTGCTTTTTTTATTCAATAAGTAAAGTTTTATTGCAAGATTAGCGACAACACATGGAACTGACATTTCGCCAGATTTAGACCGGTCCATTCCCAATAAATAGTTCCGCGATAAATCAGCTAAAGCAGAGCGCCTGACCATAAATTTTTTGTTGGTATAAGTTGATTTTAATAGAAATTGGTAATTTCAATTTTTATCAAATAATTTATCGATAAAAGTTGAAGTGCATGGAGATTAAGCGATAAAGCGCTTTTTATTTTCCTTTGCAGTTAATATAATTGCCATTTGATTTTTTCGTTGTTTTTTTCTTTGGCTGTCGAGCTAAATTATAAAATAAATATTTTTTATTTATTTTTAATATTTTTAAATATTTTTAAATTTTTTTCTCAACAATTCCGCTAAATTATAAATTTTTTCTAAAATTATTTTCTAGAATTTTTTTTGAATAAAAAATAAATTTCTCAAAAAATTCAGTTTATTTTGAATTTTGCTTATTTGGTCCAACTTTTTTTTTAAATAACGGATAGAAGAGAATTAATTCAGTTGGTTGTTTCCCATTACTTCTTTTGCTATTGGTCAGATAAAACACTTTTTTCTAGTCGAATCTCATTTGGAGATCGAAATGGAGCCAAGTAAATCGTTAGCGCCGTCTGGAACACTAGAACGCTAGCCTTTAATAAGATGAAAATTTGAGGATGCTTTGATTTTTATAGTGATGATATATTTTAAGCTGAAATGAATCGAGTATTTGTTTCTTTACGACAAGCGTGTTGCCGGGACAATGGACAATTAGGTACACCTTGCCGATTGAAAATGATGGAACTTGTTGAATTAAGAGCGATGGGTTGGAGACCAAGTTTGGCTCATACACAGTATTATTTGAACCGTCCAGAACATCAGTCACCAATTGGTGGGCCATCATTTGCTTTTTTTCAAAATATTTTACGTTATGTTCGCTATAAAATTTAAAATTCCTTTGTATAACTAAAGCCATAAGAGTAATACAAAGAAGCATATAAAATACGTAGATCGTCTCAATTTCCAATTACTAAATTTTCGTGAATACCGCAAAAATCAGAAATAATTTCCTACTTGTATTTTACGAATTGAGTTTGTGAGTTCCATTTTTTCAATATTTTGCTAATCTGCTACATTCCATTTTCTCCTTTAAAATTAAAGAAATTTTTCCAAGAGTTTCATTTGTCAACTTATTCATTGTATTAGGGATACGAAGTTAAATAAATAATTTAATTCGGATTGTATCAAACGAAAACGTTGCAGTTATTTTGTAACTTCCAAATATTTCATACATTGAAATAATATGAAATAAAATTGAAAATTGAAAATCGAAAAAAAAGATGAGTTGGGGAAATATATGTGCATTTACATGTATTTTAATTAATATTAAATAAATTATTGATCATTAAATGTATTTAGTTATATATAGTAGTATATACGTACTTTTATTTGCGAAAGCTGTTGTGCCGCAAAAGGGTTTGTTGAAAAAAAACCGCAAGCTGCCACAACTTGGCTTTTACTTACCATTCATGCGCAGCTTTTCAAGAAATTCACTCAGCGAGCAAAGTGAATTACATAAAATCTGAACTGAATAGACTGAATAGCAAAGCAAAAAAATTTATAAGAAAATCCTTTTATTGTCTTTTTTTTCCATGAAAATCGCAAGTTTGTTGTACTGGGGCCATTTTAAATTATAAGGTAATTTCAGATTCAGGTCCTGTTAGTGCACCACCATTTGGTGCCATTCCGGTGAATCCATTTTCGAATTACGCTGCACCTCCTCCACCACTATACGTTAGTGGGGAGTTAACCGGATCACAAATAATAAGTCCTCAACCACCACCAGCCAGCTTTTACCTAATTCCTGCTGCAGGTCATTTACATATATATATATAATATTTATGAGATCCACGAGAATAATTCGAATGCAAATAAATAAAAATATCTATGTTTTAAATTTTCGACAAAAAATATTTTAGGTAATTGGGTGAGACCATTATTAGCGCCTGGCGTTGTACCATCAAGTAATATCATCCCTCAGATTTCGCCAATCGAAATGGAAGCATGGGCTCGAGTTAATAAATTTCAGCCCGCCAAACTGAAATTAAAAACTCCTTCGAACAAAGTTCCTCAGCTACGTCATGAGATGGTCATTCGTAATAGCGACTCAGGAAAAAGTGAATTTTTTAGCAATGAGTTTAAGATTATTAAGCGCTGAATTTCTTTTTATTCTGAATTTCAACCATTTATCGAGTTTTATCAGCTCGCAAAATCATCAATAATGAAATTTTTAGGATATGGTACTAAACAATGTTTAAATTAATGTAAAATATCCATCTTGCTAATTGAATTATTATTATTTATAGTAATGGGTGTGAAAGGTCGTCGAGTTGCAGTAGTTGAAGAACTTAGCAAAACGGTCATTTCATTTCAAAAAGTTGATCCAAAAAGTAAAGATCGAACGTTGACAATAACGGGTAGCACTCAGGAGTCACTGGATTACGCTAAGCGTCTTATTGAACAAACCATTCGGCGAAATGTTTCACCAAATCGAGTACATCTCTTCAAATTTTTATTCCTTAACGCTTTTCAATCCATGACATTTATTTATATAAAGCATTTTTTACATTTCAATACATTTTTTATTTATATAAAACATTTTTTTTTCTTATAAAATTTGAGAGAGATGGATTAACTCTTTTTCAATTTGAAAATCACTTATGAATAGTAAGAATGGTTAACGCTTACAGCATTTAAACTCCATTGGCTTTCGAAATTTAAAAAATTTAAAAAATGTTGGAAAATCTTACAGTAGGGGGTTCCGGAGAATTTCGCAATACTCCTAATAGATTTTTTAATGAAAGATTTGCTCCTGTTAGAGGCAAAATCACAATCCTAAGATGATAATCTGAGCCATGATCTTTTGCTTATCTTGCTTTCCCATTAAGGAATAGATGTGTTGATGTGTAGAACCATCAGCACCACCCAGGTTTTATTTTAAACAACATCAAGTGGCAAGAATTTTACTTATGGTGACTTGACCTTGTCGGAAGAATACACGCTTAACTATACTATTTTTACTATTTAATACTATTTTTTTAAAACAATATTTAGATATTTTAACAATTTAGAATAATCAGCCACGAAAATGCATTTTGCCCTTTTTTCTCTCATTTTTTCGAAGAAATAAGTGATAAACGTAAACTGTGAAATCAATGTAATAAGAGAAGATTAAGAGAAAATAACGAATTTTGTTTCAAGCCAGAAGATCAAGAAGGAGTTGAAGTGGAAGATAATGAAGACGTTGGTATTTCAATAGAAACAACACAGGATGGGGCATTAAAACTTTCTTGTGCTGATCCGCAAATGCTTCAGGCTAGTTATATTTATTTGATTGGCATGTGTTCTTATCATCCCCTATTAATCAAAAAACAAAAAAGAATATTAATATAAACCAATTTAATAGGATGAATTCCTTTTGCCAGAAAGTTCCTTGGAGAGAGTTATTAAAGTGCACAGGGATCACCAACACTATCTCATTTTAAATGGCAAATTTACTCGCATCAAAAGGTAGTAATCGAGGCCGTAACATTTGACATAGTCAAAAAGGCATACTGTTGGACTATTATCCAATATTGAGTTTTTATTTCCTTAATATGATTTACAAATTAAGGCCGCACAAGCAGCACTTTGCGAATATCTTACTCGAGTTGGACGAAATCATTCAAAGCTAACAGCTGAAGAACGAGAGCTTAGAAAAGAAAGACGGAAATCGATGCCGTTGTCTACAAATATCTCCAGTAATACAGCGGCGCCCTCGACATCGTCATCGTTATCATCGTCATCGAAGTCAGCGATATGATGCTAATTTGCGAAAAAATTTTCCCCCAAATTCAATTTTTTAATGCTTCGCAATAAAAAAAAAATAGTATTTTATTTGCAAAATTTATGGGTATCACCTTATTTTTAAGAAACTTTTACTTACATGAAAGGGCGCTAAAAAAATTGTTTTATATTTTCGCAAATTATTTTTAGAGAGAAATTAAATTTTTTAAATAAAAACATTTAATTTCAGTTCCATATATAAGAACTTTATTATTTAATTGGAATAAAGTTTCTCTGTTTCTTTAATAGATAAAATAATTTGCAAAGCGCTTTAATAGATTAGAAGAGGAAAAAATTGAAAAAAAAGTTATCCGAGCATTCGCCTGCCTGTCATCAAGTACCAAAAGAAAAGGGAAATTATAAAACTGCTAGGATTCAAGCTTTCATATGTTTTGTTGGAATATGAGAGAAGAGAAATTGTGCTCTCAAAAAAATATTTGAATGAAATTTTCAAAATATCGAAATTGCAAAAATCTAATTTGTTTAATGATAAAATATTGCGACATTTCTTTATGCTTATTAGTTGTTTGCCTCAAATTTTCATTATGATAACTGAATTTTTTGAAAAGAAAAAAGAAAAATATTCCCATCAAACACAGAATACTTCAAAAATGTCCTTGAAATAAAATTTGTTGTTTTAGAAATTGGCGTTCGACTGGAAAAACAGGAAGTACACCAAATTTGGTCCGTCTCAGTACTGGTGATCGAAATTATTCGCGTAGTCAAATGCTTCAATTACGCTCGACCGCTGGTCAACTTGATTCGAAAATGGTTAAAATAATCAACGAACTCGAAATAATGCGCCCCACTGGTGATATGAATCCATAAAAAAACGAAAATTTTATGATAATGAAAAATTTTTTCGATTTTTACGAAAATTTTTTCATCATTTTATAGACTTATACCAAATTTTTCTTTTCATTTTTTCTTATGTACCGGTTTGAATATTTTATGATAAAATTTTGTGCCTTCAAATGATATTTTCAAGGTATCCTTGAAAACATCCCAAAACCTGTTATGCACTTTTTCTTCTCATTATTTCTTCTCATTATTTTCTTCTCATTATTTAAAACGAATATTTCCGCCTTAATACTTCTGATTTAGAAATAGGGCTTAGAAATATTTTCTTTTAAGGATTTAAAACCTTGCCATATTCTTTTAGCAGGCCCGATTAGAAAATTCAATCTTAATAAGCCATTCAAACTTATGTATATACATATGTATATTTGAAATTACAAGGTATTATATATATATATATATATCTTTAATGTTTATAACTGTTTCTTCATTGTAATTTCAAATGATTTTTAAAATTTAGAAATTGTTTTTTTTCCCTTTTTGTTTCATAATTTTTATATTTCGGTAGTTTGTAGAGGATTTAAAAAAATAAAAAAATTAAAATTTTATGAAATTTGTCAATGCCTTTAAAAAAAATATATAGAAAAATAATTGTTTACCGAAAAATTTTAAGGATTTGATGCTAAGAAATTCATAAAAGTGTTATCACCATAACCATTATCGGTGTCACCAATAAAGCCTTAAAAATTAAGACGAATTAAAATCGGGAAAAATTTGGAATTTTCCGATGGTATATAAGATTTTAAAAATTTTCCGACTAAAATAAATTTTAAAGGAAATTGAAAAGTGTTTCATTGTTAAAAAAATGAGAAGAAAATTGCTTGAGTAGCTATTTGACCACTTCCTAGTTAGAAGTTTTCTCCATCGAGGAACATATAGGTCCCTCTCTTCGGCTAAATAAGGTATTCGTAATGATGATCAGAAACATTATCAAAAATCAGGGAAGTTTCATGCAAAATGAGCAGCAGCATGCCAGAAATACAGAAATATTGAGCCACAACTAGAAGCAAATATTTATAACCAAATATTTTCAATTTTTTTAATTTCCCATATTTAATATTATATATGTGCATCGGTTTTGTTCATTCTTTATTGAAATATTGCTGGGAAAATGTGGGATTCCGGAAACGCCAAACTTAATCAAATGATCGCCATAAAAATTAAATTAAAAATAAAAAAAAGAATCCTTGTAATAACGAAAAATGTGGAAAAACCTTTGTTAATTTACCATATTAATGCTCACGATTATAATTCAGCAGTTGAGCTATTGCTTACTAGAAATTAGCCGTATGCAGGCCATGCAAACAGTTTGCCCATCTGTATTATGTTATTAATTATTCACATCAATTTATTACTGAAGTTACAGGAAAAATATCAGTTTTGATTGATTGATTGGCAGAATAGCCGATGTTTTATGTTTTAAGGATTACGGTTTAGATGGCAACGGAAGTAAACTACTAAGCCATTAAGACATCCGACTCGCAATCCACCTGTATTTCTATCGCCAAGCGGTAATTGTTATTGTTCTAACAGTCAATGAATCCTGCCTAACCACCAATATTGTAACTTAAAAGGTGTGGAATATATCCCAATATGTTTGCTTTCTGAATATAATCATCGCTGAAAACTATTCAAGTTATCACATTCTCAAAGAATTAGCATATAATTAAATATCTTATCTATAATTAAATGTGATAAGCATGATATAATTTGTAATTTTTATTGCAGTATTTTCGACTATTATATTATCAGAACTCAGCGAAATTTATCCTAGGAGAGCGCAGTATGTACCTCGTTGTTAAATCTTTTCATCGTCAAGAAGATATCGACGATTTTCCTCGAAATGTTCTATTTTTTTATCGATATCCTACAACTCGAAGCGGAATTATTTTTCAGTCGTTGATATGACGATTTCTGTGAAAACAATAAGGTGATAAAGTGATTACAACGAAATACCTTTTGAGTTTACTTCTGAGTTTTTGAATTTATCCATTCAATTTCAAAAATAGTTTTTTGCTTTTCAACGAAAATTTTATGGATTCTCTCTCAATCTGAGAAATTTTTCAATTCGTGAAATTTCCATTCATTTTCCATTCCTTTGGAAAAATCCTAAATGATAGCCGAATGCACCCACAGTTATTTAAAACATAATTAAAATATTTAAAAAGATATATGAGTATGAAAAACAACCAACCAACGTTCTTTCGAATAAAAAAATTTCGGTAATCATTTGACAGTTGGATTATTCCTCATTTTGCAATTTGAAACTCATAGAAATTATATTTAATAAGATTCATCAATTAACACGGTAAAACAAGAAAGGAAGAAAGGAAAGTTAAACAAAGGAAATTAGGCACTTACTTTGCCAGCGAATCGCCTGAGTATAGGAAATGGGTCCAGCCGGGACCATGCGAACTACAAATATTTTATGTTTTTGGCCAGAAACCATGCTTCTTGTTAAGAATATCATCAGTTAATAATCGGAAAAATGATCAACCAGAACAAGTAGGGTTTTTATCCATCAATTTTAATTAATAATTCTACAGGAAAAATTAAAAAAATTGGGAACCATTAGTCGCGGAGAAGTCCTGTCGATTTTCTTTAATAGCATTTTTTTTTTTTTTTAAGAAAAGATCTTCACTTAATCTTCTCATTTAAAAATTTTTAATTTTACCATCGTAAAATTTTCAGTCGAATCCTGATAATGACTTTTTTAATTCATAATTAAAGCTTAATTCGACTCATAATAATAGAAGAAACAATAAGAAGATGAAATTTACTTGAATACGATCGAATATAACTTTCAGCATCCTTAATACTATAACGTTTAAACGCAACATTCAAGCGTTTACGATCATTTTTGATGAATTGCTGTTTGAGATAGAATTCTTTGCCGATTTATAAAATATCAGCAAACGTGTTTCAAATTCACTTACAATTTTTTGTTTTACAGACCTTTGCATAAAATACCTTATCATATTATCATATTTTTCTCCTTCCTCTGACAGCTCTCACCATTACTGATTAGGCTGGCTGTGCTCGCTGTGTAAGGCCTCTCCAAGCTATTCAGTGTGACGCCATCGTCGATAGTAATTATGGAAGAATTAAAAAATTCTTTTAGCGAGCGGTCGTTTCAACAAATTATTCCTGATTTTACATTAAGGAAGTCCGACGACACGGAAAAAAGGGGTCAGCAGGCCACGAGTGTTTAAGATTCGACTTGAAGATAAGTACATGGCTATGTCTGTATTGTATAATAAGGCGTGTTGCCGGGACAATGGACAATTAGGTACACCTTGCCGATTGAAAATGATGGAACTTGTTGAATTAAGAGCGATGGGTTGGAGGCCAAGTTTGGCTCATACACAGTATTATTTGAACCGTCCAGAACATCAGTCACCAATTGGTGGGCCATCATTTGCTTTTTTTCAAAATATTTTACGTTATGTTCGCTATAAAATTTAAAATTCCTTTGTAAAACTAAAGCCATAAGAGTAATACAAAGAAACATATAAAATACGTAGATCGTCTCAATTTCCAATTACTAAATTTTCGTGAAAACCGCAAAAATCAGAAATAATTTCCTACTTGTATTTTACGAATTGAGTTTGTGAGTTCCATTTTTTTCAATGTTTTGCTAATCTGCTACATTCCATTTTCTCCTTTAAAATTAAAGAAATTTTTCCAAGAGTTTCATTTGGAAAAATTATTTCTGATTTTTGCGGTTTTCACGAAAATTTAGTAATTGGAAATTGAGACGATCTACGTATTTTATATGCCTCTTTGTATTACTCTTATGGCTTTAGTTTTACAAAGGGATTTTAAATTTTATAGCGACCATGGAAGTTTTTTGAGGAAGGATCTAACGAAAAGAGAACTATTACTAGACAAACAGTTGCGTAAAGAATGTTATGGTGCGGAATCAGAATCTCAATCTGAAGAAGTACGTTGACAGAAATCTTCAAATAGTGGAATTAAGGAAGCATCGCCAATGGTTTACAACGACCAACAATTTTTCGATTCCAATTTTCTCCCATCAGTCTACTACAACTTAGGACAACTTGCCAAGTAAGGTTAATAAAATAGGAAGTAATTTATCTTTATACATATTTAATGCAAGAATTTTAAAATATAAACTTTATGACCTACAACTCCTACTAATTGATAACCCAAAGTATTGAGTATTTTTTGTATTAATAAAACGTGGTTGGATGACTCTACTGATAATCGGGAATTAAACTTCGATGGCTTTCTAGTGTCACGCAAGGATAGAACAATAAATAGTTTAAATACTCGTGGAGGTGGGCTTATCACGCTTATTCCTGATTATTATAAATTTGTAACTTTTGATGATTTTCTTCCTCTTTCGAATATCTAATAATTAAAATTTATCTTAATAATAGAACATTTTCCTTTTAAATATATACCGCCCACCTGGCTACATAGTATATTCACTAGTGATCTTTACAATCTGTTATTTATATTAAAAATATTTGGTGCCGATTATGTAATTGTTGGCGATCTTAATATGCCAAATATAGATTGGGAAAATAATTGCTTGAAAAATAGCAGGAAATTTAAAGAGGACTTTCTAAACTTTTGTATCTATATAGGTCTAGAGCAACATGTTAAGATTGCCACTAAGCATAACACTATTTTAGATGTTGTGTTAGCTGTTTCTACTTCTTTTGTTGATAGCATTAGAGCCTTGGAGCCTTTTATAGTGATCACAACATCATTTATGCTTCATTAAAATTAGACCGTTATATACTTCCCTCGAGATATTCTAAAAATTATCGTCATTGTGATTATGAAATCTTTAATTCTATCCTCGCAGAAATAAACTGGGATTTCTTATTCTGTTTAGCTCCCTCTATTGATGAAAAAATTCACGTTGTTAATAGCATTATTTTATACCTTATAGAGCAATATATCCCTCTAAGCCTAAGTCGATTCCCATTTTTTAAAATCACTTTAAAAAAATGTCGAGAAGCTTTATAACAAATACAAATTAACCAAATTGCCAAGTGACCTTTCTGCATATAAAGAATGTTTAAGAAGTTTCCGTGGTGTCGTTCATAATTACATTTCAAATAAAGAGGAGCAAATTTTAAATATTAATAAGAATTCTTTCTGGACCTATATCAAAAGAAAATTTTCAAATCCACGTAAACAATTAATTCTGCAACATAATGATAATGTGATCACATCTGATATTGATATTACAAGTATATTTAATTAATATTTTTCTAGTGTATTTGTTGATGAGGATAATATTTTCTTACTCATAATTCTTGTTTTGACGTAAATCGAATTTGTTGCACTTCTCTCGGTCAAATTGAAATAACACTTCTGGATGTTTATGATGCTTTAAATAGACTTAAATCGCCCATTTCAGCTGGTCCCGATAATATTCCACAAAATAATTTGTAAAAAATGTCCACTATTTTTAATTTATAAAGACATGAAATTTATAAAGATATGAAATCTGGCCTTAATCCCAAAATTTGGAAGTTGTCTCATATAATTCCCATTCATAAAAAAAGAAGAACCTATGATCCTTCTAATTATAGATAATTTATCATCAAATTTTTATCATCAAATTTTTTTCAGTAAATCATTATAAATCCCCTTGCAATTTACGCTAAAAAAATTTTAATGTTTTATTCGATATTTTACTGAAAAAAATTTTAATAAGTATGAATTATGAAATATAAAATCGTACCGACCATTTCTAGTTTTGCTGGCTCCACTAACCATTAGAATATCTCTTATATTTAGTAATCTCTTCGCTAGCGAAAGACAATTTTTCAACAACTTTTAAAATTTGAGTTTCACTAGTGTGTTCGTTCTAAGTAATTAAGTGGAATTCGAGCCTGTTATGGTTTGATTCGGAGTAATATGCCATTCCACCATTCTCTCTTCTCACTATGTGATTATTTACGCATTCAGAATTTGACAAAATTTGATGGCATTTATTTATAATAGATGATATGGCTTGTTTGTTTAATCACTTTAGGCGAAAATGAATTACTGCAATGAAGAAAAAGTGAATTGCTAAAGAATTTCTATTTTTAGCAGAGATCTTTATAATAATTTTTACAGGTGAATAAACTATTGTGGGGAAATGAAAAAGAACACAGTATTAGAAAATTCGGCTTTAAAACGGAAATAACGTGGTGATGAAAATCACTTCGATAAGAACCTATCTCACCATCACGTTAAATTAGTTTCATTTTTATTTTTTAATGCTTGGTACTTTTCAATTGTGTGTGTGGAGGGGGAGA